AGAACTCAGAACGGTTAGCACGCTGTGCGTCGAGTTTGATGACATCTTTGGCAGCGACGAAGATCCTTTGGGCGAGTTCATTCATCCAGTCCGTATCCCTACAAATGGAAAATCGGCATCGCGCAAGCAGCACCAGATACAGTTCAGAAACCAAGCTGCAGTCGACGGTAAAATGGACGAAATGGACACGACCCGCGTAATCGAACCATGCAAAGATCCAAAAGGCTTCAACACTCCTATCCACGTCGTCGATAAGAAAGATGGAAGTCCACGCGTAGTAGCCAACTTCAAGGATACACTAAACCGCGTCTTGAAGGACCCTGATCCATACAGCATGCCCTCGCTCCGGGAAATTTTCAACGAAATCCGACCTGGGAACATGTACTTAGCTTCTGTCGACTACCGTAGCGGATATTGGCAGATCCTCATCGACGAGCAAGACCGCCACAAAACTGCGTTCACCTGGCGAGGGAAGACCTGGCAGTATAGGAAGATGCCGTTTGGACTGACGTGTGCGGGCCAGATATTCAGTCGATGCGTTGGCGAAGCACTCGAGTCCATCACTGACCGCGAAGGACTTTACATCTACATCGACGATGTACTGCTGTGTGCACCAACGTTCAGCGCGTATGTACAGAAGCTACGCAGCCTGTTTCAAGCTACAAGAAAGTTCGGCTTGCGGCTCCATCCAGGCAAGTGCCATTTTCTGGCGAAATCGGTCAAATTTCTGGGCCGCGTTATCAGTCCAGAAGGTATGAGCATCGATCCTGATCATGCACAAGGGGTTGACTCGCTCAAACCACCAACAACAAGGACAGAACTTCGATGTCTACTTGGTCGGTTGACCTTTATTCGGGAGTTTCTCGAGACGAGACTTCACGAGCGCATCGACACGAACTGCTTCTCCCAGCTGGTCCACGAGCTCAACAAGTTGAATCGCGACGGTGAATTCTACTGGTCGCCGGAAGCGCAGTGCAAATTCGACTTGGTGAAGAAGCGACTCAAGACTAGTCCAGTCATCTCCTATCCAGATCCAGAGCGCGACTTCCTATTGGTCACTGACGCTAGCGAAATTGCTGTTGGCGCCGTTTTGCTCCAGCTCGTCGACGGAAAAGAGAAGGCGTCGCATCTCGGACGTTCACAGCTGTGGAAACCAGGTGGTCAACGACCGAAAGGGAGGCCTACGGCATCTTATTCGGCATTCGCCGATTTGATTACTTCCTTCGCGGTCGTCCGTTTGTCGTCAAATGCGACCATGCAGCCCTCCAGTACATTGATTCTGTCGACCACAAAAACGCGAAGCTTAGCCGATGGATGGATGAGCTATCTTCGTACAGGTTTATTGTGGAATACATCCCAGGTGAGCCAAACGTCTGGGCTGACTTCTTCTCTCGGCCATTTGGGCTCAAGAAACCAGTCCACAAGGATGTTCACGTGCCAGCCGGGAAGTTTGCAGACTTCGGAAATGGTCTGCGCGCCTACGTCTCAAGTTGGTGTACTAAACAGCAAGTTAGTTGCCCTGTTGGTACATCTGAGAAGCTCCTTACAGAAGGACTTACCAGTGCTTTCATCACTAGAAGCGGCAGTTTCATCCTCAACACCCGCGTCGAGGACTACTTCAAACTCGCCAGCGATCAGCGCGCCGACTTCAGCATCGGTGGCCTCATCAAAGCAGTTACCAGCTTCCAGCGAGAGCCAAAGTCGATCCAACTTGACAGGAAAGATCACAACTACGACATTTTCCGCGTCAACTGGCCACATTTCAAAATTTGCCAGCGCACAGATCTTCTGCTCCATGTTAAGGACGGCAAGCATCGCCAGGTTCTCCCTCCAGAGCATGTTCGCCGGCTTCTCCGCATTTCCCATGATGATTCAGCTCATCCAGGCGCCAGTCGAGTCGCTGATTCTCTAGAATCGTATTGGTGGCCCAGCATGGATGATGACATCAAAAACTACGTCGCCTCGTGTGTCATTTGTGCCAAGAAGAAAGGTAACCAAGGTCACGTCTCGTCCCCAAACATCGGTCACTGTAAACGCGGCGAGAGACCCTTCGAAGTCATCTACATTGACTTTACCGTCTTCGACAAGTGTAACGGCAAGCGCTTCGTTTGTACAATTCTCGACAGCTTCACCCGCTATTTCATCGCCAAGGTCGTTCCCGGCGAGCGCGCGATCGATGCTGCTCGTACAATAGTCGACGAAGTTGTTCTGCGGCACCAGATCATTCCGAAGATCGTCTCAAGCGATCGCGGAACTGCGTTCGTCTCCGCTACAATGGATGAGATGACTAAGCAGCTGGGCATCGTCGCAAAACAGCACACTGCCTATCGCCCACAGAGCACAGGAAACCTGGAACGAGCCCACCGCAGCTTCAAGTCCTTCGTTTTCATGCTACAACACGAGCGAAACATGACTTGGATCGATGCAGTACCATACGCGTGCGCCTACATGAACAGCCACAAGAATTCTGGTACAGGTCAGTCGCCACATTCTCTAGTTACTGGTCGCCGGCCGCGTCTCACTGTCCAAGAAACCATCCACGATCCCGATTTGAGCTCGCCTTCTCCATCTTCTTATGGCAAGATGATCCGAGAACGTCTTCAACTTCTCCACTCGCTCGCAAAAGTCGCCAACAAGGCCGCGGATGAAGCGCTGGAAAGAAGGTTGAAAAAGGCTCATCGTGCTCGACCACTCAATTCTGGAGACCAGGTTACTCTGTTCCGCCCGGTCGCCAAAGCAGCAAAGTCCAAAGGATACGACTGGATTGGACCGTTCGAAGTCGTTACTGCATCTGAACATGTTGTCAAAATCAAGGATCAGAAGCAGAATTACGATTGGGTTCACCGCGCGCACTTGCGTTACGTACCTGACAGACTGGCTCATCTTCGAAATTCCGAGTTGCAGCGTGAGCTCGAAATACTAGAATCTTCTGTTTCCGACTCGCTCAACTCCGATGAAAACCGTCCAGAAAATGCAGCTGGAACTTATTCGGAAGGCCATGATTTACTTCCAAAACTTGGGAGGCCGACTGAGAAAAAAGTAAGTTCCGGAAGCAAAAAGCGGAAAGCTGGACCTACCTCAACGCAAACTCGACCGAAACGACCTCGCTCCGCAACTTTGGATCTTCCAGCTTCGTCGAATTCTTCTCGCCGAGCTTCACAAACTTCTCTTGATCTTTCTGGAACTCTTTCGGGACCGATTCCGGCGCTTGTCGAACATTTCTCTAAATTAGAAGCAAGTAGACAGCGAAAATCTAGCAGGAATCGCAAAAAGACAAGCAGAATTGAAGTTGATCCGAAGAAAAAGTCGTATTAGCTCTACTCGTCTCTGATTGGCTGAGCGCGCCGTCACTGACTCATCAAAATCGTCGGGCAAAAGTTTGCGCTCTCCGAGTTCTCTGCATCTGGCTGCGCTGTGATTCGCTCTTTCGCGCGCCGCTGACTCATCGCCGGCCGCTCCGTTTCTACTCTCATCTGCTGCTACTCCTCTGCTACTTATCACCTCTACACTTCTTCTTTCTTTTCTAGAGTCTCCAATCGTCAGAAGACTTGAAGACTGGGGGAGCTGTTAGGTCAGCAAGAAGCCGTTATGATCTGATAAGGATCGAGGCGCCGCCGCTGTTTTGCACTGCACTCAGTTCTATCTAACTCAACTTGAAATACACACCTATTTCCAGTTATACTCGAAGATTATTCTAGAGAGCCGCAGGATCTATTAGAGAAGCAACGATACTTAGTGTAGTGGGAATCAGGAGTTATTCCTGACCTATCAGCTCAGTTTTTGACAAAAGTGGGAGAATTAGTGCTTGCTCTTAAAACTGTGAGCTCAGCTAAATTCAAAATGGTCAGCTCAGCTCAACTCAATGACCTCTGAAGGAGACCCACTCAGCTTAGCTTCATTCAGCAAATCTTTACAAAGGTCAGAAAACTTGCAACTCTGCTTCAGTCTCGTGGCATTGCTTCATCAAATGGCCGCAGTAATCCATCGTCGCTATTTGAACGCATTGTTTGTAGTTTCGGTGACAGGTGGATGTCAGAAAAGTCGGTTCTCCTCGGAATCTTTGAAGAGAGTACCAGTTTGCTGAAATGTTTGAATAAATGAGTGACAACCGACAAAACTTACTGATGAGGATGATGGTCATCCAGAAGATCGAACCATTCCCAAGATAGAACATTTGCTGAGAAGGCGTTGAGAAACCATGTTCTGCCGGGTTCAATTTCTTTAATATTTTCCATGTTGGTGGTTTCTAACAAGGGGTCATCTGTTTTCTATATCATATAGAAATAAATATGTTTATAAGTCATTTTATCCGTCAGACAACCGATCCTTCAAGTCTCGTTTTCGCGTGCGTATGCTTCTTGTGGTTAAAACACTTTCTGGGACCAAGTAGACATTGTCACCTACAAGCTTTAGAACGCCAATGCAGTGGCAGTCCAGGCACTTTAAAAACTAGTTATTTACTGTTGCTTTTTGTCTTTTTCACCTGAATCTTAGGCTGCTTTATCTGACTCGCCCGGGCTTCTACCGGTATTTCTTCTTCAATAACCATACTGACTTCTCTCTAAAAGAGAAAAAGGCAAGTTTGAAGATGTGAGTTCTGGAAAAAGAGTGCTTATTTATGAGAATCGTCGTCACGACTGCTTGTCTGACACTTCAGCAGGTTGTCTCCGTTTGAATATGTCAGCTCTTCTGCTTCACCTTTCCCACCGCCGATTTTTACTAAAAATACTTGTTGTACTCATCGCCTCGGCACGATGAAGGGCAAGCAGGCGCCCCATTCGACAATCTGAGTCAGTGTTCTAAAAGAGTTCAATGAAACGCCGCTCTTCAGAACACTGACTAAGGTTTTCTTTGCATGCTACCGAACCCTGGTTAGGGTGGCTTTTTAAAGAGCTTTTTTGTCCGAAAATTTATCTTTATTGTTTTCAATTTTCTCAGATTGACTCAATTTGGACAGGAAAAATAGTTCACCACCATCGGTTAGTATTCTGGAGAGCGAATTAGGTCATGTCCCACTTGGAGAAGGAGTACATGTTGTTGTTGAAGAATCGGCTCATCTGGGCGAATCGGAAGGAAGATGGGTAGAAGAAGTTCATGTAGTATTGGAAGTCGTGCATCTCGTAGGCATCGATCATGTCTGGACGGAAGATTAAGAGGAAAGAGGATTAATTGTGGTTTACCGTTGTGGTCTCGGTCGAACATATCAACGATGGTGGAACCGACAGTGGAGTAGAATCCAGCCCAGGCGCGTCGGAACTCTTCTGGGTTGAGTCGGCCGTCTCTGTTCATGTCGAAGTATTGGAAGTGCATGCTGATGTATCGAGGAGCAAAGTGGGAGACTAAAAATACCGTGAAACTTTGATAAATGGAAAAGGAGACTTACAAAAGTCCATGTTCATGTCGGAGTCTGAAGTCCAGTGGCAATGAGTCATCATTTGGTAGTCGACGAACTGTCCGCTTCCGCACATTTCGAAGGACCGGTACATTGACTGGTCCCATTTTCCTTGCCACTAGGGAAAAATAATCTTGTGAAGTTGAAAAGGATTTCTTACCGATCGAAGAACTCGGTCGGCATTGTCGCTGTTCCACTCAGAATTTCGCCAGAAGAACTGCTCAGCCATCTGGAAGAAGGACTCCTGTCCGTAGAAGCTGTTTCCGAAGCTCATCCAGTTGTTGTTGTAGAAGTTGTTGAAATGTCGGTTGTTATTTCCGTAGAACTGTCGGTTCATCCAGTAGTTGTTGTTGCCATAGAAGCTTCGGGAGTACTGGTTGTCGTAGAATCGATCGCTTCCGTAAAATGAGCGGCCCATCCAGTTGTTGCCGTAGAAGTTGTAGGCTGGGCTCATGCCGTATCGGTAGTTGTTCATCCAGTTTCCTTGGTAGTTGTATTGATCTATCCATTGGTTGTTGTTGTTCATCCAGTAGTGATAGTGGCCGTAGGAGTGTCGGGAGAACTGGTTGTCGTAGAATCGATCGTTTCCGTAGAAAGATCGTCCCATCCAGTTGTTGCCATAGTGATTATAAGCAGGGCTCATGTTCCATTGGTAGTCTCCGCGGAACCAGTTTTGTGGCCACCACTGGTTGAAAGAGTGCCGCTGGTTGTAGTGGCGCATTTTATCGCGGCCGCCCCACTAAAGTTTTTTTTAATTTAAGGTTCTTGGCTAACCCTAATCCCACCGAAAGGGTATTCCTTTTGATGAGAAATTGACTTACGTATCCATTGTAGTAATCCATGAAGCGATCATTTCCGAAGAATCGGCCCATGTTATTGTAGTTGTTTCCCTGGTAGAAGTCGAAATGATTGTTCATCGGGAAAAATCCATTTCCGCGCCACTTAATGGAAAATAGACGAAAGAAATCAAGATTTTGACTTACCATGAATTGACCTCCATCGCCCCAAAAGTTCCCGTAAGCAGCGGAAGCTGAGATTAAAGTTGCGATTTCAAGCTTCATTTTTCTGAGTTGCTTGATTTTTTTATGAAAAACTATTCGATTAAATAGGCCCAGGAGTTTGCTTACTCAACCAGGTCAACGACGAGTTCAGTAGAGATATCGATTACGGGTGGTTAAACATTCTTTCTTGAGTTCAAATTCAAGAGTTCAGAAACTCACTCTTCTTTCGGGTTCATTTACGAAAAGAACTCAATCGTTCGATCTGAAATTGACGATTTTGAGTTGGCGAAGGAAATTTCTTTTGATATTTTTCGTAAAGCTTCAAAATTGCGGCTTTTATAATTCAAAAAAATTGCAAAATTGCCATTTTTGAACGATATCTTAATTTTATTTCATAATTCATTTTTTATTTTCTATAAATATAAATTATATTATATAATCGATGCATTTTTGGTTAATTATTTTTCCATTCACTAAATGAAGATTCGAATTATTTCTGTTTCATGCTGGGGAAGAAATTTTAACGGAAAGTCACCGAAAATGAGCGCAAAAATAAAGGTCGTTTTGAGTTCAAACTGCTCAAGTTCACTCAAAAACAATGTTTGCCATCTTCCACCCCGCGTTGAGTTCACAATCGCAGCTTGAATTTTCGGTACTCTGGTTGTTTGTTCTTTTTGACCTTGCGACAAGTTCAGTACTCTTCCCTATATAAACTCGCGGTACTTTTCTGATTTTCCCATTTTCAAAAACGGGTCCACCTAAAATGTTGCTTTTAGCGGCAGGGTTAATCCTCGTCGCTGAGGGCTATAATGATTTCCATAGACGATTCGACCAACGACAGCCAAACCACAACGACTTCGAGCGACAGGTAAAACTTTCAGCAACCAAATAAACATTTTCTAGTGGAGCCAAAATGGCCGGCAGGGCAGTGCACCGATGAACAAGAACTTCTACCCGAATAAAAACGCCAACAACGACCGTCCTTTCCACCCAAACCCTCACCATGGGCGAGCTGCTGATCACTACCACGATCGTCAACCATTCCATTCGAATCAGTTTCGACCAAACGATTTCGACTTTTTCGACCAGGCGCTTTTTGAAAATTGGAGACTCTTTCAAGTCGCAGAGAGCAATTTTTGGATGAACAGTGGACGAAATAACAACACTGATGATCTCCTCGCTACGGTGTGTTTCTGAGTTCGGAGACCTGTGGAAAAAGCCTGAGTCAGGATATGTAAGATCTTCAATAAAAGCCGCGTAGCGGCTTTTGTAGAAATAAAGCCGTGAGCGGCTTTGCAAAAAAAATCAATTGTTATGAAAATTTTCGAAGCCGCGGCGGTTTCATTTAGGATTTTCAAACCCTGACTCAGGTTTTCAAAGATTGCCGACTCAGATCTTTTATCGTTTTTTAGTGGAATGGAAAGTGGGACAAGCAAATCAACAAAGATTTCCAAAAATGCGCTGATGGAAAAACAATTGATCAAGACACGATTGCCTCTTGCGAATGGAAAGACACAAACTTTTGTAAGTTTCAACAGCAAAAATAGAGCAGAACTCACTCTTCAGTTTCTCAATTCGCTGCGCGATTCATCACCAAAAATTTCGAAAAATTCGATGTCAACGGCGACAAGGCTCTTGTAAAAAGCGAGTTCAAAAAAGCCTTTGCTGGCTTCTACGCAAACGTCGGTGCAACTCTCGTCGACATCTTTGATTTTGACCACAACGGTGAAAACAATCGCAAATTTAAATTATGACTCACTATTTCTAGACGTCCTGGAGTATTCTGAGATCTTCGAAATGTACCACAACATGCGTTTTCTATTCAAAGTCGACAAGAACAGCTTCTACGAGATCAGCTCTCACGCCAACTATGACAACAACAAGAACAGCTTTTCGAAGGCTGAAATGAGCGAGTTTGCAATTATGCTGGCCAACCGGTTTTTCTGATTTTCCTGACCGAACTCAGCGGAGTCCAAATTTCTGAGAAAGAGAGAAAAAATAATAAAAAAAATGAATTGAAAACCTAAGTCAGTGTTCTGTAAGAAGATTTATAAAATAAATTAAGGGTGTCACTCCATTATCAAAAAACCGGCTTGAACTAGATCGAAGCCTTCAAACTTCTCCCTTGACCAGCAGTTTACTTAAATGGCTGAGCGTAACCACAAGTCAATTACTCACAACATTACCTGGGGCCGCCTTACCTTCTCGGTGATTTTACTTGAAATGACAGCAAAATGTCATCCTCAAGACTTAATGCCTATCACTAGCCTTTTCGCCCGACTTTCTTCTCTCATCCCACGCTAGAAAATAAACTCAAACGTAAATAACGCTTGATTAGAGAAAACTAAGAGCAGTTATTATTTTCTTGGCCGTAAATTCGAGCTCTTGACGATTGGCGGGGATCATAAACGATGGCCTTTATAAGAGTATGATTCAAGTGATAGAGTTTAAAAAAAATGAAGAACTTTGCAATCAAACAAATTTCGTTAAACAAATTTTATCATCTGCGAGGCAAGACGTCTTTAAATTTTTTTCGCCAGAAAAATTGATTTATCAAATTATTATTTTAATTACTTAATTATTTTTAATTTGATGATTGTCTTGGTGAAAATTCATTATTTTATTTGTTAAAATTCAAAATTTTTTTCAACAAAAAATTTTTTCCATGATAAAAAATTAAAAAAAAAGCTTTTTGAAAAATTATTATATAAATTATAAATTATGCTCCTTAGCAATTTTAAAACTCTTATTAGTAAGCAAATATCTAACAGGACTTTCTTGGGTTGGCTTCGTCTTTTTTGCTGTCTTTCAATACGCTGGTCTTATAAGCGAACATCGACTGGATTCCTTGCTCTCGAGAAAACCGTATTCTCAAGAAAATGGAAGCGAAAAGAGCTCAAAATGGGGCGAACCGAGAGGATGTTACAAGTCTAAAACTAGAGAAGGGCTGGAAGAAAGAAAATTTGAGACGACTTTTAGGACTTGGTTTTTAATAGTTTTATTTCAAGGGTTGGGGTTACTCGGATGCTGATTGGCCGGTTGGCAGAATCCAGGCTTCCGATTGGTTAAAAAATTCTAGGCAATTTTTTGAGAACCAAATAAAAGTCAGTGCTTATTTGATTGTGCTGCAAAAGGTCATTTTCTCGCCGCTCTAGAATGGAAATCCTGCTTTTGCTTCTCAGACGAAATTCCTAAATCTCAATTCGACCCTGTCGACCCTGGCGAGTGCTTTTTCCCATGCTTGGATGACCCGACAGAAGAAAGATGCGGCGGAGACGATCGGATTTCTGTCTACAGAACGACACTAGAAGACACAAGATGCACGAATGTAACGCTTGGGCAAGAAGGACAGTTTAGCAAGATTATGCTTTCGTCTTTGCCTGGATCAGGAAAGAGGTTGAATTTATTCATTCTTACGGGTCGGCATGATGCCCTTGGCCGTTTCGATGCCGAATGTACTGTTTTTGAAGGGTGATTATTTCTGATGCAAGTTCGTTGACGAGATTTCCTCGCTTATAAATTGATCGGTACATCATCTCTCCATCCACTCGCCAACTCTGCGTTCGAGCAAAATCCTAATTGCAATTAAAAAATCATCAGAATTTGTTTTCTTACCTGATAGGGCTTTCCGCGATAAAATCTCGTTTCTGGTCCTAGATAAGATTGAGAAAAAGGCACAAAAAAGATGCTTATTTTCATCTTTCAGAAATTAAAAAGAATTATTTCAGCTAAGTGTATATTCCTTTCTTTTTATGGTCCAGTGAAGAGAATTCTAAAGAAAGCGGTGAAGTCTTACGGAATTTTATATAAGAAGATTTGACAATAACTTTATTGGATTCGAAGCTTCCCGGGTTGTTATTCGTTTAATCTCCTGTTGTCTTACGAAAGTGAGAGTAACCTTCTTAAAGGAAACACATGGACTAGGTATCTTATTGAGCGTGCTACTGGCTTTTATACAGGTAAATACTTTCACTTACTAAAGTCGAAAGTTTAAACTCTTTCAGGAGCCGTGGCAAATGATGCATCATTGTACCGCGGTGGCTTTTGGGCGAATACGAGTCGCCAAATGCTGGAAACACCATCGTTGTAAAAATCCATCGTCCGCAGAAAAACTCGGCAGGGCATATTTTACTGATACGGAATCCGTTCGATGCAATCATCTCCGAATTCAATCGAAAAAACGGGCGAGGGCATACAGGACATGCGCCAATAGAGAAATTTTCAGTAAGTATATTTTTGATAAATTTAGGTACTAGATCGAATTGGATGGCATTTTTTCAGCATTTGAAAATTTTATCGATATCATCTAAAAAATAGAAAGGACTCTAAAAGCTGATGATGACGTACTGATAATTTTCATACTACTAAATATTATCAATAAAAAAAAGAATTATTAAATATCTAAGCTATAATTGGCCTTTTAGAGCCTTCTTTGGGAAAGCCATGTGAAGACGATGGCAAATCGCTGGCTCAAAATGTATTCTGAAGCAATTGGATATGGAAATGCGCATATTCTATACTTTGAAAGTCTAAAAGAGAATCTTACGGACAATTTGACAGAAGTAGTAAATTTTTTGAAGAAGAATAATGCCGATCTAGATATAAGGTAACCTCTTTGAAGCGACCGTTTACCAACTCGTTACAGTACTGCTTCCGAGCGAATACAGTGTATTGTCCACGACTCCACCGGCAATTTCAAACGAGCCAAGACGAAAACCGACTTTTTCAACCCCTACTCCGCCGAGCAGAAACAATATATCGTCGAAAAAATAAAATTGCTTCAACAAGTTCTTTTGCAAAACTCGCTGCCTGTGCTACCTCTCAGTTATCTTCAAAATGAATATTTATGAAATTTTCATTTGTCATTGTTCTTCGTATCTATTTAATATTTATTAAATAATAATTCAGTTTTATCATAATATCTAAAAAAATAATTTTTGCATGCAGTAAAGTGACAGATAAGTGAACTTTAGAGAAATTTGACAAAATAAGGAAGAAATTAAAAAAAAAACTAAGGAAAGCATCCGAAAGAAGATGATTTCAGTGTTGTTAGTTGTCGAAGAATTCTTGCTCAGTTTTGACGATTAACTCAGATTCTTGCTTCACTGACGAAATTGGCACTTTTTGGTCGGGTATTGGCTTATCATGATCATCATCATCATCGATTTTTTCTTTCTTTACGATCATCGGTTCGACGGCATGATTCGCAACTTGCACTAGAATTCATTTTGAAAATGATGATCATGCATTTTTTTCTTTTACTTTGTAAGAGTTGAGCTTGTTGTTCGTCAGTAAACTTGACGAGTGTGATTGTCGAAGTTTGGATGAGCGACGTCACTGGTTTTGGCTTCGTTTCTTTTGGATTCGGATTATTGTTGACTTTGAGAGTCTTTTTGATGATTTCTTGAGCCCAAGATTGGCGAATAAATGTGGCCACGATTTGATCTCGCTGCTTGATCAACGATTCAATATCTAGCTCCTTGGGAAAGGATTTACATTTTCCATGTATTTCTATTTGAAACTGCTTTATTTTTAGGAGGAACAATGGCGAAAAATGAATGTTAATCCTCGTAACAAGTTAGCATTTTCAATTTCTAGCTCCTCAACTTGCTTTCTAAGCTTCTCTGTTGTCTCACTAAACTGTTTTCGCCTAAGTTGTTGACCTTTCTTGTTTCGTTCTCGTCGACGATTTCGTATTTCCAGCTCATGAGCGGACTTTCAGGGTTCAAAAATATAACCCTAGGATTCGTACTACCCTTGGTCTAGGCTTAGGGTTAGGGGCTGCCCGATTAATAAGCCCTTACTACCCTTATCAGACTAAATTTTGAACCCGTGTATCAATTCTTCATCAGCTCTTGCTGGCTTCTTCCCAGGTCTTGTCCTCCCTTCAGATTGGGGAGCATCGGTTGCCTTCAATTTCTTGATATATTCTGGATCATCAAGTCCGTAAGTAAAAGCCGACATTTTCAGCTCAGTTTCTTAGATAAAAAGCAGAAAGCTCGGAACCAAGGAAGAAGGGGTATTCTATAGTCGTCTTCTTTGATTTCAAATCATCTCTGGGCAGTTTATTTTTCGAAAAAAGGGATCCGCAGGGGAATTCTGAAGGGATGAGTGTCGGGGTGAGTGGAGACCATGCAGAGCGGGATGATGCTCGCTTATTTGCGGGACAACATTGCCGGAGGCGCGGAAAAGACCTCGAATGATCAACCAAACCATGGTTTAAAACCACAAATTGTATACCGTGTCTATTAGGCCACGATGTATTTCTACCTAGATGTATTTCTTTCTAGATGCTCGTAGATGTCTAGAACGCTGAGGATGGTCGATGCTCAGTCATTTCAAATCCTGCTATGCGAGTGCGGTAATCGAGCCAGCCATGCCGCGCTGGGTTAATATTTTTCCCTTCAACAGTTACTGTAATTACAGAGCCCCCTGTCCGGATAATGCTCAATGCTTAATTTTATCGATTTTATTTTCCCCTTTTTTGGAAGGTCGAAAACAAGGAAATGTCAGGAATAAGCATCCAATTCTTGTTTTCAAAGGGTGAATAGGTCACTTGAATTTGGGTGCGCCGATCCAAGAAAAGAAAATTTTAGATCGATCTCTCTTTCCATATTTTCCAGCTGTTCGAAGAATCAATAATTGAAAAACCGAAAAATCAGCACGGAAATATTTTCTAATTCAAATGAATCTTCCTTGATTTCATTTCAACAATAAATTTAGAGAAATCTTTCAATAGATAAGTAGGTTACAAATTCAAAAAATAGCAATGTTGATGCATATCTGATTATTCCCAAAGCCCTTCCCACCATAAAACTGTCCCTTTCATCCCTTTTTATGCGGCCACAGCGGGAGGCAGCCCACACTAAGTCCGTAAACAATATCGATTTTCGAAACTCGAACCGATCCACTTTAGAAATCGCGTAAATATTTGCCAATTGACGTTTTTTTTTAAATTAAAGAATTTGCTCAACCCTATTTTCCGCCCTCGAGCGCCCTTTACCCTTCCCCATAAAACCTGGTTCGACGAAAATCGAAGAAAAAAAAGCAGCGATCCGGAAAATTTAACGTTTTTTTTTCAAGGCGCAACAGACCGAAACGAACCTGGACTTGAACAGTTTGAAAACTTGGAAAAAAGAAGCTTGTGCGATCGAGCAGAAAATAATTAAAGAGAGAAAGAGAGATGGCGGTGATGTACAGATATACAGTCACGGTTACGGAGACGGTCAATCCGTATGCAATGATGCTCAAGTCCATTTTGATCGTCGTAACAGTAAGTTACAGAGTGAGCTTTGTCAAATTATTATTAATAATACTATTTTTAATACAAGTTTAAAACTAAACTTGATTTGTTCTGAATTTCGCTCATTATGAATAATCTTTCAAAGACCATAATATTGATTAAAATTTACGAATAAGTGAAATAAGTTTTCCCGTAATTTGAAGAATAAACAAAAGCTATTAGACCACTTACATGGTTACGGGGAGTCTCTGGTGCAGAGATCTAGTTTTCATCATTTATCACTCAAAATTTAGGCATTCATGGCGATGGAACTGATCATGAACATTATCGACTCTCTGATGGAGGACAAGAAGGAAAAAAGAAAAGGAGAAGAGAATGAAAAATGCGAGAAAAATTACAAATGCTGAACTAGTCTTGATTGGATCTGGAAAACCTTGAATACCAGCCTGTTGTATCTGAATTTTGAAAATCCTACTTCTGTAAAATGAATCAGTCAGCCTTTTATTTAGGTCTTCATCACCATCGCGAAATATGAAATAAAATATGAATAAAAAAAGAACCATCTTCGATCATTTTATTTTTTTGTTAAAACAAGGCTTCGATTATTTTCTGAAGGGGAAACAAGAAACAAAAGCTATTGAATAATTCCAGTCCAATGCTATGAGAGGGAGCCTTTGTCTTTCTCTTCGAATCTTTTTCCTTCCCGCTCTTCCTCATCACACAGATTTTATTCTCTTCATTGAATAATTATTGTAGTCTTTTTTATCGAGGAAAAAAATGTTGAGTTGAGGTGGCCCGGGGCGCAGAGCTTCTCAAAATATCCAATTAGCTACGTGAACCCTCTTCTGAAGTTCTGAGTGAAGTTCTACGCTGAGAGTAATACTTGAGAAAATACTGTGGCAGAGAGAAAATCGGAAGAATTGGACAGAAAGAAGAGGCCAGAGAAGAAAATGTCGACCGCCGATGGAGGGAATTTTACGGATAGTTCTGCGACTGTTGAGCATCAGGTTATTTTTGGACAAGAATAGAGGCTCTCAGTTTTAATTTGAGAATTCCCGAGTTGAACGGACTAAGGAGGGTCCTTATTTTAAGGAGTTTTTGATGAAAAAATTCGTAAAAATGAAGTCCCTCTTGAGAAAATAACATGATGAGTCCCTTGTTTTATAAAACAAGAGAAAAACTCTTAGAAAAATAAGGGTATCAAAATGTTAAACAATGAAGTAATTGAGAAGTTTTACATTGTGATACCCTTAGTTTCTAAGATTATCTCTTGTTTGATTAAATAAGGGTCTCATAATCTTAATTTCTGGAGGAATATCTATTTGGAAATTGCCTAAAAGCCCATTCTACCCCCTTTAATTTCCATTTTAGGCGCAGTTTTCGAGCGTCATGTCGGAATTAATTTCCGCCCGATCTTCAAAACGCCCTGCTCTTGCTCGTTCAAATACCACCGCTGGTTGCAGCGCGGTGAGACCGGATCCAGGACCGAAGCCGAAAATTACTCCCCGCTCGAATTCGGTGAAGAAAAGAGACTCGCCGGAGATGTCAGATAATCAGCTAAATTCGGTGGTGTCCAGCATGTCTGACGTAATGGATGTGATGATGGGCAGGAGCCCCGTTATTAGCCCAAATACGAGGAGGAAGTTGGACATTAACTTGCCCAGGCATTTGAGATACTCTTCATCTTCCGAATCAGATGAATCAAGTTCAACCACGACAGCAGAAGAGCGACCGGTGAAGAAAAAGTGCGATCTCGTCGATCTTCCAAAGCAGGTTCTCGACCAATTTCGCTGGCAAAAGAGCTTGATCTCGAAATTCATCCAAAATCCAGCACCATCGACAGGAAAAAATCCTCCGATAGCCCAAAACCCGGCGGTCCGAAATTGTCCGTTTGTCCGAGTAAAGATCCGTTGAATGTGAATTCGCCGCCGAAGCCGAGTCCAGACATGTCAAAACTGCCATCGATGACTTCGACGGAAATGAGCTCGAGTGAGGATGATGGTGTTTTTGATGAAGAAAATCAGAAGTTGATGAAGAAGGGGAAGGATAAAGATGAAGATTTGGAGGATATAAAGATCTTTGAAAGACTCGGCTGGTTTGAATCAAGACCGGTTTCTTATTGGTGGGAGATTTTGCTAGTATTTATCAAGTAAGTTTCAGGTTAATTTCATTTACTATCGATCTAGCTTCTTATTGCGTTTATTGTTAATTATCAATTCTTCGAAAAATCGCAAATACAACCTATAAAATAAATTTATTCCATTATGGTCTCGGGAACTAAGAGCAAGAGCGCAAAAAGGAGCTGTCTAGAGAAATTTTCACGCATACATATTTTGTGTTGCAAAATAAGTGAAACAGGTTTTTTTTAAGACAGCTCCTCAACTGTGGAGCGTTTTTGAGTATCTTTGAATAGACCTGTTTGAATGCTTTTAGTGCATCAACAGTTTTGACGATTTGGCTTGGACTTATTCTCAATCTCTTCAAAGAAATTGTCTCCATCAACTCAAAATACTTCAACCCATCTGTTCTTCTGTTCTCATCCCTTGGTCTTCTTCATCTTTTACTCTTACCGATCATCACGGATACCCTTAATGTTTCCAGCTTTCTCCCCTACATCAAGTAAGCCATCGAAGACGACCCTTTTTCAAAATTAAGGCATTCCAAAACATCGATAACAACCCGAAAACTCGTCCGAAACTGGAACTCAAAGTGGCGAATTTACTTCCTGAACTTGGTTCTTCCTTGGAACGCGCTCTTTGTCCAGTCAAATGTCAATTCTCAGTCGAACTTGTTGATGAAGCAAATTCAGTCGATATCAAAAGAGCTGGCGAAGGAGATAAAGCTGAAGCTCATCAATTTGAGAAGAATTGCGAACGAAATCGTTTTGATCGAATCCGCCACAAGAAATCCTTTTCAGGTAAAATTTTTGTGAAAATTGAGTTTGAAAAGGTTTTAGCTTTTGATCGGATATGCGATTTTCCTGCAACTATCGTCCAATCCTTTGAGCAATGCCTCCCTCACGGTCGATGGAAAATCAGCGATAATCGACAAGGGGCTCTTTTTCTTATCATGCTACGGCCTTTTCGGAACATCGATGCTCATTTTTGTCTGTTTGTGCCAATATTTTGTTGTTTGGTTTGAAAGTTCTTTCAAGAAGAAACTCGACTTTTCCATCAGGTAAAATGATGAGACCAGAACTTTTTCAAGAGCATGATTTTAGGTGGATGATGATTTTTTCCTGCTCCTGTCAAATATTTCTGTCTCTTTGGTTTGTTCGCTCCTGTTCGATGGATATTTTCAAAAGCACCAATGCTTCCTTTTATGAATACCTTTTCTTGACGCTGAAGATTTTCGGGCTCATCTTTGCCAATTTTATTCCAGTTTTTCTTTTCAAACAAAATCGTCAAGACATCAGGCTGGGGCTTAAAATCTTTGAATCAAAAATCAATTCTTTCAACTTTCTCAACCCTTGAAAGAACTTTTCTTCGTCAAATTTTCGTCGAGCTGCTTTTCTACGTCCCAAATTTTCAAAAAAAAATCTTCCTCGAATCTGGATCAGGTTAGCTCAACCCCTATTTGTCTATCCTTACTCGATTCTAGAGACGCTGAGAGCTCTTTTCTCGCATTTTCTCCGATGCGGCTATACTTTCTCGATCTTTTTCCTTCTCTCGTCAGATAAAATGAAAGAATCTTGGGCGAGAATCTTTGAAAATAATTTTCTACTGGCAGAATCAATTGGAGAAGTTCTGCTTTTCTGTGGCCCGATTCTTTGGATTGTCCTCATGTGAGCTTAGCTACCGCTAGCGCCCACTAAATATTTTTCTAGCTACTATTTTCTGACGGATCTGGAATGCTGCAAGAAGATTTCCTTCGTCCTATTCCTATCAACCCTTTTCAGCCTCTTGCTTTGCTTCATTTTCCTTGTAGTCCCAAGCAAGAATTACGCATGGGAGACACTCTTTGATTTTAACTTTTAAAAAAAGACTGAAAATATTTTAACTCTGAATTTTGCCCAAATAAAATCTGACCGCTGCTTCAAAATCAAGTAACTTTTGACTGATTTTTCCGATAAACTTTATTTACTTTTTTGAACTCGATAAACATGATCGAAAGCGTTTTTTTTTCTTTTTTTTTTTTTTGATAAGAGATACGATTTTGAAAACATGATACAGAGAGAAGATTGAAAATAGAGTTGATGAAAATAGAAAATTGAACAAAAGTTGAATAATTTGTCTTTATAAATAAGAGTTTTTGTTTTTTACTTTTTAGAATTGATAAGAGTTCAGCAGGAGATTAAGAAAAGAGGGACACATGAAGAAATGTATTTTTTTAAGTTGGAAAATAAAAATAAACAGAAAGTAAACTTTATCTAGAATTGAAATTGAAAACTTAAAATTTAAATGGGAAGAAATTGAAAGAAAAACGCCTTTCAAGGTAAAAATCCGCTTCGTAATAGTCTATCACGAGTTTGGAGAATCAAGGGGCTTTCTTTTGAAACGAAAAATGAATGATTTTTATCAAATTGAAAGATTGCTCTTTCAAATTCGAAAACTTAAATATTTTTGTTTTGATAAAATTTTTAGAGGTAACATGGTGAGAAATTTTGTTTTATGAATTCAGAAAAAAAAGAAGAGAAAAAATGAAAATAATAAAATTTGTAATTTTGAAATTAAAATTTTTGAGAATAAATAAATTTACGATAGCGACTCATACTGTACGTATGGACATCTTTTTCAATGCGGAGAGGGTCAAATTTTGAAGCTGACCAGCTGGGGCGAAGCGTACAGTACAATTGTCGTTTGACAGTACTTTACCGGTAGGATAAATAGCGATTTGTTTTATAAGCCGAGAATAATAAAAATGTTTGAATTGATAAAATCTAGATAAGAATAACTGTTTTTAGGGTCCCGAGCAAACAATCTTGAATCTTGAATTTCCCACATGTAACCCGTATGGTTAATATCGCTCCTTCCACGCCGCTGATTGGCTTGTGGGTATTTCTAGAGGAGCCAATGAGCGGGGGGAAAAGAGCGCCACCATGTTGAACTGTCAGGAAGCAGGACGGGAGATAAGATTCTGAAGTCGAAATGTTACGAATCTTTTGCTGGCTTTGTTTTTTGGAACTTAGCGGCGTTGGCGGGAAGCTTCGGAAAAGGCTCGGATCGAGAACATGAGCTCGGCTTGGAAGCGGGCTTCGAGGCTGATAAGATTCACGTGTACCTGAAGACGAGGTCAGTACTGAGTCTCGAAGGGACTTTCTTACCTTTTCGTCATGAGTAAGTCCACTCAAGAAGTTGTCATATTGCGCCTTGGTGACTCTCTTCGGCCGAAAGACCAAATTCTTCAGATAATCTCGCATCTCATCGTCGATAAGTTTTTCCAAATGATGATAGGGGCAGTCGTCAGACCTGAAATACATAATAAATCGATGAGCATCTGTTTTGAAAACATGGAGGAGTCACGGAAAAGCCGCTTCCTCGCGACATCAAGACAAGTGATGAAAATTAATTGCCTTGAACTTTTGTGAACCCAACTTTTTCTTTATTTACTCACATAATACTCAAAAGGCATTGCGTGTAGTCCCAAATGCCGGATCTGAAGATCTCCGTGTCTACTTCTTGTCTTGGGCCAACGGTGCGATACGTCAAGTTTCTGATGTTTTGGAATTTCTCGTCGATCAGCTGGATCAAATTCTGGCTCACTCGGAGCTCGCTGCACATTGCTTCAAACGCGCTTCCCATGCAAGCTCGATTGGCCGTCGATCGCCAACAGTACTCCTAAAGAACGATCAAGCAACTCGTTGGAAAATTATAACGAACATGGAGTCGGAGGCAAGCCTGTTCGACGTCTTTTGGGTGGTTGTATCGCGACGCTGAGAGATTTTTGTTGTTGTTGTTCGCTGTCAGAAAGCGCTTGAGCGGAGTATCGTGCAGTTCTTCGTCGTCTTCGTCGTCGGAAAAGACTGTGTCGGATAAACCCATGTTCTTCAGGTGCTTCCATGAGTTTTCGGCTAGAAGAAAAGGTAAGAAAACAGCATGTATGCGAGTTTGGATCCGTGTGATTTGAAAAAGAAGAGACTTACAAAGTTCTCGGTCATGGTCAGGATCAAAATCGGGCTTGCTCTGCGATTCGGTGCGAATCCTGTTGAATGCCTTCATATTTTTGATCAAGTGTTCGACCTTGTCGACGGAGTTGCTCGAGTCGCTGTCGCCTTCGTTCTGCTGCGCTGTTGATGGCTGCCGGAACTAGAATGCTTCCGTTTAGACTTTGCCCCTTTCTTTGATCAATTATTGACGCGAAGGTGATCAGAGAAAATCAATAAAGAACTTACGCCGTGTCCTTCTTCGGAGTCGAGCTCTGGCTGGATTCCAACGCCGGCGCAGAAGCCAGAAAGGCAATGAAACCAAGACATGATTATGATCGCTGTCAGCAGGTCTGAATCGCGCCAAAACTGAAAAAAACGATGACTTTTGAACTCAAATTCGCAGCTTTACCTTGGTCAATCCAGTGGTCAAATCATTGATATGTTCGGCCTTGACGTTCCACGGCTTATTCGCCAGTAACTCGTTTAGTTCCGCCAGCTTCTGATACTGCTCTGGCACAGCGGTGAGGCCCTCTTCCAGCCAGCGATGGTAGTTGGTCGTTGGCTGGCAGGATTGGATCTCGTGGAGGAACTCTTCTCGGAGCATGTGGTAAAGATACTCGCACTAGCGAAGATGATTCACTTTCTACAGCTCTAGAAATCCTTACATTTCGGGCAGAAACCGCCATAATGGCGATATAAACCCTCTCAATCTTCGTCAGCGCCGAATCAGTGGGGGTCATGATCAATTCTCGCATGAACTGATCCCACAGTTCGAAGTAGCTCGTGTGAATCGACGTCACCAGCGCTAGAAATACAAAAGTTGAAGCGACGAAACTTGGAAAAGACCATACACAAGTGGTCAAAACGATGAAACAAGTCCCAGTGATCTAGGAGAGCCAGCGATCTTCGTTTGTCGACATCGAGTCGCTCTCGGTCTATTTCATCTTGTTCTGCTTGCTGGAGGAGTCGCTCCGATTCTTCGTCGAAAATTGGGACTAAATACAAAATATGAACAAAAGCGCCGCTAGGTTTTGATATTACGAAGCCACGGGTGGCTTCTCGAATATCAGAAATCGAAAAATAAGGGTGTCAGCTCATACAATAAGCTCGAATTCGTACACATGTAGATCCTTAACCCAGAAAATATTCAAGTCTGATCGGATAATCCGTCGACAAAGCAGCGATTGTTCAGGGATCAACGATAGAATTAATAATTGAAACGAAACAAAGCGAGCGCCGGGGAATTACAGTAAATAATCCTGTTTTTGAGAAGCTACAGTCAGTTGATCACCGCGAGGCTCTTAATCGGCCCTACCCGGTAGTCGATCAGACCTGTTTTCAAAAAAGAAACTGCTGAATCGGCGATTTTAGGAAACTTACTTTCAGGCAAGGCGGTGACAAATAAGGATGGCCCCTTCGAAAGTCTGTGAGGTACGAGGCTGCATTGCCCGGAAAGACGACGGCGCTTCTTTTCGTCTTTCGTCGGGATAGGTCTTGCGTTTCGGGGGCTTGGAAATTCGCCTGTCTGGATGGAAGAAGTTTAATTCGAAATTGAAGTGGGGTTTTCTTGCTTACCTGTAAACGGTTGAGAACTTGATTCATCCTCTCCTTGACCTCTACGATCGGACACAGAGAAGATAAACGCAGCACTGTGGGAGTCCATTTCTTCAGAATATCAGGCTAAACGAAAAACCGATAAAGAAAAAGAAGCGGTGGGAAACGCTCACGTCTTCGTCCAAGGCAACATTCACTAGTTGGTCCAGATCGTCAAGTCCGCTTTTCCGCTTTGGCGAGTCGAATAGCTGCTGAATCTCGAAGAAAATTTGCTCGAATTTTTCATCCAACGATTCTTTCTCTAAAAGACGATTTAAAAATCAATAATTCAGGATACAGGAATAGTAAGGGGTAGCCGTCAATAGGAAGCCGATAAGTTAGAACATATCAGAAGGCCGAGAAGGCTCTTGCGGCTTCGAGCATAAAGAAGTGAAAAGCCGCGCCTCTCGCAGCTAAAACTCCTCTTTTCTCCAACCCGCAAGCGGTTTCTCGGCTTTCAAATATGTTCTTATCTATCGGCTATTGAAAGCTACGCCCTAAATTTCATTATTTCTTTCTTACCTGGAGTAAAGCCCTAGCATCCCTCAACACTTCGATTCCCGAGCAGTGAGAGTCACGTGAGTCCGAGTTCCATCGCAATTCGTCGCACGCGTCCGGCATTTAGCAGCTGGGGAGGGAGAGGCAACTGTTTGGATTTACTGTTACGAGTCTACCATTTACAGTCGCGACACGAGTGGGGAACAGCTCGAACGAATTCTGAAAATGAGAAAGGTTGAGTTATTAACTTTGTACTAATGGGTTTTGTGTCTCTTATTATCCGCTGCCGGCCGGAGCATCAGGGGATAATTGACCAGACAAATAGGTAAAAGAGCGGCTTAATTATGGACAGAAGATAGGAGCGCAGGGGACAATACCTGGTCAGAAATAACAATTCTGTAGATTATCGTTTAACAATGCTTGTCTAAAGACAGGAATGAAAGAAAAGCGGAAGAAAATCGACATAAAAACAACAATTATAGATTGCGATCGGATAAAACAGCTAAACCTAGTTTCTGATTGGTCAAAAAATGTGTGCTTGCTGAAAAATTAATGCTAGGTTCTGATTCACTAGAATCAAGAATAAAAGCCTCTTATTGGATAAAACAAGAAACACTGAAATCTCACTGGCTCATGCTTCCCTCCTATCAAAAACCCGGTCTTTTCCTGCTCCTCTTAAAAGAAAATTGCGAAAATGAATTTTTCTAGAAAAAAAGAAAACTTCTATTCTCTAAATATATGCTGGTTATTAAAGTCTTCACTCTCTTTCATCAAAAAATCACATAAAACTGGGATGAAATAAAAATGCCGGTCTTATTCAAAGAATGAAATAATAAATTGTTCTGAGACAGGTCATCGGTCCCCTGGGTGGGTGCCGCGGCTCTCAGCAGGATGCGCCCGAGCGCTCCCTCGAGGCCGCGACACAGTCAGCTCTGAGCCCAAGCGCGAGTGGCAAAAAACGCAAATTGAAAGAAAAAGATGAAAACAAGCTCAAGTTCACGCGCCCCGAGCGAGGTCAGCCTATTGCGCAACGCCGCGCAGCAAGGCACACACACACAAAGTCTGTTCCACCTCACTGGTAGCCAGATCGTGCTGATGTTGACAGGTGCTGCCAGTGAAATCAAAAATAGACTTTATAATTTTTCGTCTGAATTTTCTACCAAAGTCGTGATAGGAGTGACACCCTTAAATAATCTTTACGAACTTGCGAAGCTTGCGGCTTCGAGTCGGAAAACAAAAGAAGCCGCGCTTGGCGCGGCTCTCATCATTTTCTAGCTTTCTTCTTTCTAAGTTCGTAAAGATTAAATAAGGGTATCATTCCTTTAATAATTTCAGTAGAAAACTCAGAAGTTCACAACTATCGACAAAAACATGTAATTTTGGTAAGATTTAGTACGTTGCTTATCTCTTTTGAGCTAAAAATAAAGAAGAAAAGCTTGTGGGTTGCTCGATCCGCCCGGACTAGTAGATGTAGCTGCCAGTTCAAAAACATGTTTTCGAAGATGCCCCTCCTGTGCACTTATTTTATTGAAAACACCAACTTAAAATTGATTGTAGTAAACTGACAATAAATCGCTTATTATCATCCCAAAAATCGAAAATCGTAATTGACCCTCGTAAAAAATCTCTTGAAAAATCTGTCCGCTTTGGCTTTTTGTTGACATTTCGCAGCAACTCTTGAGTTTCGATATTAAAATGAATCGAAGACGAATTCGAGGTTCAAATCGTTGAGTTGTGCAGTCAAGCATTCAGAAAAACGCCTTGGGAAAGACGTATTCTCGTCCCTCAGACAGCAGGCAAAATCGAGCCGATACTAACGACTGTCTTCAAGAACGAGAGTGGGTTTTGTCAACTTGGGAAAAATTTTATGGGCAATAAGAATGGTCAAAACATGAATTTTGGGACGAAAAATAATGTTACGATTTTCAAAGTAGAAATCATGAAGCAGGATCTTTCCTTCGAATTTTTTTCAAAAAATTAGCTTAGTGATACCCTTATTTTATTTCAACAAAAAGCTTACGCCGTGAAGCGCTAAATAAGGGTATCACTTGGCTAATTTTTAAGTTAATTCGAAGGAAAGATCCCGATTCATGATTTCTGCATTGCAAATCTTTTTTATTTCAAAAATTATAGCTCAAAAATGTCAACTTTTTTGGATGAAATTGTTTCGAAAGAATATCTTGTCTTAGAGCCAGATAGACGAAAAGACGAATAATCAAAATTAGCAAATAATTATCTGCAAATTAATTGATCTCTTATCGAGTTATTTCTGTCTCTGCGAAGAAGTTTCAGAAAAATAATAAAGTCTGAAAAACTCTCTTTTTCTCTGTTTCCTCTCTTTAGACAGAATAAAACAAGTTCAATTCATTATCAAAACAAAACCATCACGCCATTTCGAAGTGCAAGAAAAGTATTTTTTTCATTGAAAAATTCAAAATTGAAAGTGTTTTTTTTTGCGAAAAAAAGAAAAAATACCTACAATACTAAAAAGATATGGCGCGATGCGGAGAGGCCCCGAGAGACCAAGGTAGAAATTACTGACAGTTAAATTAAAGCCAGGTCGCTGCCGGTGCGTTCGTCGCTGAACTCGGAGAACACTGTTATTATTTTTGACAAACTGACGAAACTGTGCATGGCCGAAGAAGGCAGAAGCGGAGCTGTCAAAATTGCCAGTTTTTGATCAAATATAAATAGGAAAGAAAAGTTCATTTTTCGAACTCTTTTGAAAAGTTGAAAAATGAAATAAACTTAAAATTTATTTTTCATCAAATTTTAGTCAGCTTTGTCAGATATGCTGTTGACAATTTCAATTCTACCCAGTTTTGTCTCAAAAATAATTTCTTCGTAAAAACAGAGGTGAAAGTTTTGTCATCTCCGTTTTTTGCCAATTTATTATTTTTGATACAAAAATACGCGAAACTGAAATTGTCGACAGAACTGGCAAAGCTGACAAAAATTTGATGACAAAAATAAGTTTATTTCATTTTCAGCAGTGAAAAAAAATTCGAAAAATGAACTCAAATTTCTGCTGATGTAACTTTTTTTTGACGATCGTAACGGGCATTATTTTTCGCTCGCTCAAGATTTCGTGGCAGAATTATGATGATGAATTGCCGCTCATTATCTCATTTTAAGGCCACTTTTTCTGCGAATCAGTCAAAATCAAGATCATTCGAAATTTGGCCTTTTTCTAAGCCTTTTAATTTCGAACTTTTTGAAGCAAAAATGACCAAATTTGACTTGCTCTTTCTTGTTACTGATACTCGGAAAAGTTTGTCTTTGACAAATTTCAATTTTAGAGTTTAAGAGTGGCGATAGATCAAAATCATTCTGTCGTGCTTGAAAGAGTGAAAAATATTGACCGTTACGAGCGGGCGACGTAGTGTTTGACTTGCACCCAAAAACGTCTGTCTAAATACGATACAGGCGATTGTTACGAAATCATAAAAATACAGTAATTGACATTTTAAACAGTAATTTCGTCATTTTCTGTCAATACTGTAGTCAAATCGTTATTTTGCGAAACAGAGAAAAAATGACGAAATCGACAATCTTGAACCAAATTTTCCAAGTTTTATCGACAATCTCGGACCATTAATTCAGGGTAATCTGAAGTTGACAATCTATGGAAGAGATGAATATCTCAAAAATGGAATGCCTTAGACATTGTTGATATATTTTTGGCTCTGCAACCTGTGTGGAAAGCCTGAGTCAGGGCATAAAATATTTCGAATGAAACGCCCCGTAGCGGCTTTTTTAGAAACAAAGCCGCAACGCTTCGTTTGGTCAAGAGCCGCTACGGGGCTTTTCATTCCAAATATTTTAAACCCTGAATCAGGTTTTCCACACAGGATGCAGAGACAAGAATATATCAACAATGTCTAAGGCATTGTCCATTTTATGATTTCTTAGAAACCCACAGCAGACAATAACTCGTTTCAAGTTAAAACTCGAACCGAGTGACCTCCAAAGTCAGTGGACAATAACAATAGCAAAGAAAAATTGAATAAACTCAATCCTTTCGCCCGGGCAGCGAAAATGCACAGAATCCGGAGGCTTGTTAATAAAGGATCTTGCGAATTTGAAGGGCTTTGTGGTTGAATAGCTGATTATTCTTCAGGGCCGCAATAAAAGATTCAGATTTAAAAGTTCATCTCTTAGGGTCACCATCTTCCCACTGCCTCTTTCGATCTTCAACTACTGTTTTTTCAAGCAAAGAAACGGTATAAAAACAAAGAACTTATACCGGGGCAAGAAACAAAGAAGCACTAGAATGAAGGAAAAGTCCTGAAATCGAGGATAAAAACGTGAAGCACGAAAAAAAAAATTATTCGACAGAAAAGCCGCAGGCGGCTTTTTATCTTGGATTCAAACAACAGTGTTTTTAGAATGTATTTCTCTCATAAATTATTTATTAGCATTTTTAACAAAGACTTTTTTTATCTTTTCGACAACCAGAAAAAGAGCCGCACGCGGCTTTATGGTCTTTTATTACTTTGAGCGCGGCTTTTGTTTCGACTTTTTTTCAAAAACTTCATTCAAAAACTACGAATTTTTTTGGATTTTTTCTCTATTTTTCTTGTTTTCTTCGGGATTTCTCTGTTCCGTTCAATTTCACTATTGAAAGTTGAAGTTAGTGAGATAGTGGCCACACGGCGCGTCTGTGTACACTCCCTTAGACTCAGAGTGAGCTCTTTGTTGTTAACTTGAACAACAAGAAAAAGAGTCTTGCTCTCTTTTCCTTCGAAGAAAAAAATCTCTGATTTTTATAATTTTCTTTGAAAAATAGATTTCTCTTTCTCGATTTTATTTTCAGCGGAAAAAAATGAGCAGATGAGCCGGATAGTAACGCGATTACGTCACGCGAATCTCCGGCGCCGGCGACAGCCAATCACGGCGCGCGGCGCGACTGATTGATGGCGCCCTTGAACTTGACCGTGAATTGTGGCTCAGAACGCGAAATCAAGCGGATAATCCGAGCTCGGATAAAAATGGCGCCATATTTCGCCACTTTCAGTCATTTTTTTTCGAAAAAAGCTGAAAAAATATTTCATTTTTGATAAATTTTATCGAACATGAATTTTTTTCATTATGAAGTTTGAGCAGAAACAATATCTTCAGATGGTTTCTCTTTCTCATCTGATAGCAGAGTCTCTTCTTTCTTCTGTTTCTCCAGCCTGAACTCTTCGACTGGAGTGTCCTGCAGCTCTTTGATCTTGTTGAAGAAGAGGGCGTACCAAATCGTCCCGACGACGAGGGAGAAAATGCACAAGGAGTAGTAGCTGTCCCAGCCAGTAAATTGCGTTTCTAGAGCGTTTTTGAAATGGTAAAAGAAATCAATGTACCGTTGGGGTCGTAAACTCCCGATCCATTTTCATATTTGTCGCAGTAATCTTTGTCCAGCTCCAGATCGCGGTCAATGAATCCAAGAGTTTTCAACGAGACGGTTTCAACCCAAACTCCTCCCATATTATACACTAGAAACCGCTTATGATTTCGATAACTGTAATCGTCCTTACTTGAATTCAGAAGAGTCATGTAAACTCCGCCCATTGATTCGTCAGCAATGTAGAAAAAGAACCCTTGGGAACTGAAAATGATGGTTTATGGTGGCGCTGTTTCCTTGGTGGACCAATCAGAGAGCGTCATTTTAAAATTCTTATTCGTTCAAATTTTCCCACGGAAGATGGCGCTGTTTAGTTGAGTAGCAAATCAAAAGCGAGGAAAAAAGAGAAAATCACTTCTGATTGGCCAAAAACTATCTTACCTTAGGTAGACCCCATGATGAGCGAGTAACGAAGCCATATTGACGCCGATAATCGTCCACGTGATACTTCCGTTTGCAACCAACTGCTCAGCGTACATCAGCATGAATCCGGAACAACAAGTCGCTAGAAAAAAAGATCATCATCAACCCAGCCCCCAGTTTTTTTTACCAAGCATGTAGAAAGGATAGGCATAGAGAAATGTAATGAGCGATCGTTTTCTTGTGAATTTGACCATTGCAGCTGCAGTGGCGATGTTGAAAAATTTCATGACGAAGCTGACTTTTGAGAATATTTTCTTTTCAACGCAACGGGCACGCATTTTCAGCATCAGAGCTTCTCCATGCGGGGCGAAACCGACCTTAGATGTGAGGCAGAAAATGACTTTTCGAGGGACTAGAAGGACTGGGTTCGAAAACCTGCGTAGAAAACCTGAGTCAGGGTCCAGCTTCGCGGCTTCGGTTAAAAAAAGCCTCCACGCGGCTTCTCATAACCCTGACTCAGGATTACCACACAGGCTTTCTCTCATTTATTTCGCCATTCTGGCAATTCAAGTCCCTTCCTAGCCAAATAATCGGCCTCAAACTCAGCAGCTTGAAAATATTCGTATAAGAAACCGCCACCGATTTCCACGAGTTATTCTCAGACACACTCGTGTCTTTGACAAAAATGAGGACCAGAACTGTCGTGATCAAGTAAATGAGCGAAACATATTTGAGAAAAAGAACATATCCAATCGTCTCATCCAGAAATGAAAAGTAAATGTTCCAGCTAAAAGCACCAATAAGCTGTCCGCCGAGTTGAAGATTCGCCGTCATTCCGACGTATTCTTGACTGAGGAGGGAGCAGGCCCAGCCGTCGACAGAGATGTCCTGGACGGTCACCATTCCGATGATCAGGAAATACATTCCAGTCAAAAGGGCTATTTGACCATTCTGAAAATAAAAAATAAAGGAATTCTCTTCCTTGATTTTTTACCTCGACAAAGCTTTCAAATCCCAAACTCGCAGCAAAGAAGAGCAATCCGACCGTCATTTGCGCTAGAATAATCCAAGGTTTTCTCCATCCGAATTTCCCGAAAGAAATCGAATCAACTATCGGCGCCCAGAGAATTTTGATTGAAAAAGGCCACATTGCCAAGCTAAAGATCGCCTGATCCTCCATTTCCACGCCCATGGAATTCAACACTAAGGGGACACATCCAACTACTCCAAGAGCCAGTCCCTGCAGAATATACAGCGTCAAGACGATAATTGAACCCTTGATATCTTCATTTTTGATTTTCGACATGTTTCTCTGCTTTTTCTCTATTTTGCTTTGAAAATTTGGAATTTTATGATTTTTTGAGCATGTGATTTGTCGATTTCGCAAGTCCGAAGCGAAACTTCGAGACGAGTTTATTTACTGGACAGGATTTACGGTGCCAAGAGTGATTTTACGGGGGACAATTCAAATATAGGGTCGATTTGTTTGTTTTAATTTTGATTTTTTTCGCGGTTGGATTCATCAAAACAGGGGTTTATTTCTTAAAATGCATGTTTTTTGCCAATTTCAGGGTGCTTTTCCGTGTTTTCAAGGAAAAAAGAAAGACCAAATAAAAAACAAAATAAAATCCTCTCTGTGAAAATATTTGATCAACACCCACTTTAGTTTTCTTCCTAAAAAAACTGTAAATACCAGTAAAAAACAGAGAAAGAAACATGTCTCCGGAAGATATCAGAGGATCAATAATCGTTCTCGCTTTATACACTCTTCAAGGTTTTGCTCTCGGAGTGGTTATTTGCGTGCCATTGGTGCTCAACTCCATGGGTGTTAAAATGGAGGATCAGGCGATTTATAGTTTCGCCCTGTACCCATTTTCGCTGAAAATCATTTGGACACTGGGCCGGCATCCTGTACAGAAAACCTGAGTCAGGGTCTAAAAGATCTTCTCTAGAAGAAAATTCTAGCGAAGCCGCCGCGCGGCTACAAATTTAATAAAGCCGCTACGCGGCTTTTCATTGAAAATCTTTTAGACCCTGAGTCAGGTTTTCTATACAGGCTGCCGAGCCCAGTTTTGGCGCCGATTGTGGACTCAATTTCTTTTGGAAAATTTGGACTGAGAAAAGCATGGATTTTCGTGGCTCAAATTTCTGTTGGGCTTCTTTTTCTTCTTGCGAGCTTTTGGTTTGAAAATTTGGTGGAAAGCGGTGATATTGCGATTCTAGCGGCGATTTTCTTTATGACTGTTGCGATGATAACTGTACAGGACATTTCAGTCGATGGCTGGGCCTGTTCTTTGCTCAGTCAGGAATATGTTGGAATGACGGCGAATTTGCAACTCACCGGGCAATTGATTGGGCTGACAAGTTACAATGTCTACTTTGAGTTTTTTGATGAAACGATTGGGTACATGATCTTTTTACGGTACGTTGGAGCGATTTTTCTTTGCGCTACGGTAGCTGTCTTATTCATTGTGAAAGAAAAACGCGAAAAAACAGCGAATTCATGGAACGATGTTGGAAAATCATACTTGAGCATCTTCAAACTCCTCAAACTCAAGCCAATGATCCTCTTAGCAATTTTCTGTCTCACGTACAAGATCGGTTTTCCTCTCGATGGGGAAACCTTTGTGCTGAAAATGCGAGCTCGTTGCGTTGAAAAGAAAATCTTCGCAAGAGTGAGTTTTATTATGAAATTTTTCGACATTGCTACCGCCGCCTTTTTGGTGAAATACACAAGAAAAAACTCCCTGGTTACATTTTTATACGCTTACCCATTCTATATGGTTGCAACTTGTGGAAATGGAATCATGGTCTTTTTTGCAGAAGAACGAGTCATGGGCTCGGAAAGCTGAGTAAAAAACCTGAGTCAGGCTTTGAAAAATCTAATATTCAAAGCCGCGTAGCGGCTGACTCATTGACGAAGCCGCAAAGCGGCTTTTCGAGTACACCTATTTAAATCGATGTTAGAACTCTGGCAAAGCCGCTTCGCGGCTTCGTTTTTGAAAAAGCCGCTACGCGACTTTTCATTCTTGCCTTTTCAGACCTGACTCAGGTTTTGTGCTCAGGTTGCCCAGCCCAGAATGAGAATGAGAGAAAAGCATGAGCGAGCGTCATTATCTCGGTGGGTGCACACTCTGACTCAATAAGATCAGAAGCTTGTATAAATAAGGAATGTTTTATCATGATTTGTTTTTATTACAATTGTTGAAATTACCAAAAAGAATTTTACTTTAGGCCTAATATAATGAGGTTAATATTTTTAAACACTTAGTTTTTTTTAGTACGAAAACTTTTATCTCTATAAAAAATGACATTAATAACTCCTAAAAAAGACAATAATTCAAACTTACTTTTGGCAATATTAAAAATGGGAGTCACTTAATTATCTTTAGTTGAAAATTTGGAAAAAAATACCATGTGACCGAAAGGGCGCCTAAGATTATCATATTGTACAGAAGAGATTAATAAATATTATATTTTAGGTAAGTTAAATTATTGCTTTCGAGTTGAACTAATGGTGAGTCTCATTTGGTAAGGCGCCCGCCTGTTTTGAATAGCTCCCCCGAGCTCTGTGAGCTCACAGCGCGTGCGGGGATGTTGCTTTTGAGGCACCTCACAAGGTTTTCTGTGATAGTGGCGCCACCTCCCACACTCCCTGGGAGGTTTTTTCTCCGCGCGCAGGAGATCCCGCGCGAAACACGCGCCATTTTTCACCCTGGATGGAAATATTTTACTAGCGCTCATGGTTGTTAATTTAGCAACTTTACTCGCTCACCATGGTGTATATTTGAGTTCGCAGGGGTTTTTCTATTATATTGCTGACGAATCGATGGGGGGAGTTTACATGACTCTTTGTAATTCATTGTTTAATTTGGGAACGATGTGGGTTGATACGGCTTCGCTGAAGATTCTCGGAGTTATGGATAGAAATTTGGAGATTGAGGAGGACTACTGTAAGAAATATGGAAATGGGACTGGCGTTTATGATCCAAAAGGTAAAAGAACAGCTTTTTACTTGATAATCATCATCAATGATCTTCGATTATTTGATCTTAAAGTGCTCTAGAATCGCCATTTACTGGCTGGGACAACTTCTACTATCTTTGTATTTTCTCCTTGATTGCAGGCACAACTTGGTACGCTATATTCTTCAACAGAGTCAAACAGCTTCAAAAAACTCCAGTCGAAGAATTTCGTTTGGAGAAGAAAAGTGAAATCTTTTTGAACGAAAATGACAATAAATAATTTCTTTTATTCTTTGCAAAAGTTTTCATCGACAATCAGCATTGGCGCATGATCAAGGCGCAAGTTGAGCCCGGTATCGTAGACGATAGAAGAGGTGAGTTCGAATGGTCCGGTCGTGATTCGCTCAAGTTTGTTGTACCCAACAAAAACTGCTTCAAGAAGATTTGTCGCAGAAATGTTCAGAGCGGGGGCTCGAAGTTTCCCAAGCGTGTCCCATCTGTATACGAATTCGCCACTTGGGAGGTCAATAAAATCAAGGCGATAGATAGTTTTGTTGTTTTCCGTATCGGTAATGATCACAATTCCTCGAGGATCAGAAACGAGCGCGTGGCCTGAAAGCGCGTGGACAGGAAAGTTCGATCCGAGATTTGAATACCAGCCGGTCTCTTCGACGTAAATTTCCGTGAATCCATGGCACTCTCGCTCTTCCCCCTCGCCATCGCAGCCGCCTATTGTGACCAATTCATTCTCGTAGACGACGAGATCGGCCCAGTCATGACCCCTTGTCGTTTCATGAGCGACGATTTCTTGGCGAACTCCATCGAAAGTCATACACTGATTCGCTCGGCCTTCTTTGCCGTCGAAACATGTCCAGATTTTGCCGTTGTAAGCAGCGCAAGATCCAAACATACCCCCGTGAAATGGAAGCTCGAGAGTTGTAGATTGGCGGGAGACTTTGCAATCCTCTACTTTTGCGACTCCACTTAATTTTCAAAGTTAAATGCCTCTCAATAAAATAGTCTTACTTTGGATTGAACCAGCCACCAATAAGCCAATGCTCTCCATTGAGCATCACGTAACAAGAATCCTCTTAAAACTTCTCTTCAAATCATCAAAGACTTTCTTTCTCACCGATGTCGAATTCGTTGACCTGGTAGTCAAAGTTGCGGTAGTCGATTTCCTCTGTGTAAGAGTTCCAGTGCATTCCCTTGTTCCATTCCGACATTCGCCCATCAATGATTAACAAATGATGGAGGGGAGAATTGCAAATTGAATTCGGGCAGTTTTGACAACCATCAGGACATCCTAGCGAAGAAAAGCTTGATGCTAGTAGCGAGAAGGAGAACAACCTGAGTAGCAAGGGCAAGCGTTGACACAATCGAGCCATTGTCCCTGACATCGAGATGTGCAGTTTGGATCATCACAGATCTCTTGACACTTATCAAGTTTTAGTTGGCAGTTGTCTGCGCATATCTTCCCCAAATCCGCATCGACGCATTTAAAATTTAAGCCTTCAGTAAGAAATTCTAGAGCCATATCTCTCAAATCGACAATGTTTGAAAACGGAGAAGAAAAAAAGCCGCAGCATGGGAAAAACTCATCATGCTATCTGTTAACTAAATAAACCTCTTTTTATTTCATTTGCAGAAATTTTCATCGACAATAAGCATGGGCGCGTAATCAAGGCGCAAGTCGAATCCTGTTTCGTAAACGATTGAAGAGCTGATTTCTCGATCTCCGATTGTTATTCGCTCGAGTTTGTTGTATCCAACAAAGACAGCATCGAGAAGGTTTGTTGCGGAAACGTAAAAAGCAGGTTCTTGAAGTTGACCAAGGGTGTCCCATCGGTACACGAATCCTTCGCCATTCGGGTTGTCGATGAAGTCAAGTCGGTAAACAGTGTTGTCGTAGCTTGTGTCAGTAATGATGACGATGCCCCGGGGGTCGGAAACGAGGGAATGGCCTGTTACAGAGTTGTTCTTTTCAGACAAATAAAATCACTCTCGAATCTGGGGCATTTATAAAACTTTATGCTTTGATTGGTAAATGTCAGCTGCTCGAATTTGCAGCGGACAAACGAGTTTAATATTTATTCATCACTGATTTGACCTTAAAAAGCGGCACAATATCGATCTTCACGAACTCCCAACAGTTCAATGATTTTGGTTCAGTTTCTACTATTTTGCCAAGTTTCTCTTGGCTCAAGAGCTCGTCCTGGGTTCAACAGACGATTTCAAGAGAACAATGATCAAAAGACTAAAAACGAGAATGTTTCAATGACGGCCTTTAAAACTTGCCTGTAAGAATTTTTTTCGATTTGGATCCCTTAATTTTTAACTTTGGCTTTTCTTTCAGCGATGCCGACTTGCAAGCAGAATGTGATGCACTGTGCCGAGCCGAGTACAATCGATGCCGGCTGCTTTGCGAGACGGAGTATTGCCAGTCAATTTGCGATCGAGAGTACCAAAGTTTGAATCGAATTAATAACATAGTTTCAGAATTTTTCTTAGTTTGCCGGGACAACTGCCCTTGCGGAGCGAATTGCGAGGACGGATGCATCAACTGCGACAGTTCTTTTTGCCCAACAACGACGACAATAGTGACAACAACAACGATTGATCAGAATATGCCCGTTAGTCATCCTGCGTCTCTTGATACTAATTTTGATACTTTTTTAAGAGTTATGTGCATATCTTGGTCTTTGGTTATGAAGATTTGGGAGACTCTTACATTTTCTCTGGAGATGGACTAACGAAAAGCTCGCCGAATATTTTCGCTCCTCAAACGGATTATATGAAAAAAAGCGTTTCTGCCATAGTCAAAGGAGAAATGTATATTTTTGGTACATACCAAGATGATCAAAAGGTATACCGTTTATTTCTCAGAATGTAGGAAAACCCCAAGTTAGATCGCGAAAATGATCGGTTGTTCTATAAATGAACTGCCCATTCGATTGGTTAACCAATTCTCGTATGGCGCAGCTGCAATTGACATTGATGACGGAGAAAGAGGTAGAAATTTTTTTTCTGCTTTTTTCAACGATTTTAGCGTTAATCTGTCATGCTTTTCCCAAGCCGGATTACAACAGCGAAGAAAACAGAAATTGCGATATCTTCGACACAAAAAGCGCAATTCAGACTCATTCAATGCAATATCCCCATTGGTACGGCGGTCTTGGATATTATCAAGGACAACCGACGACCGTATCAGGCGATGGTTTCGATGGATGGCAAAAGGTCGAGACTTACAATGAATCTACTGGTTGGACAAGCCTTGCGGATCACCCACGGATCGCTGCTGGCCATACTCTTACTGGACTGGAAAGTGGAGCCATGCTTATGGTAGGTGGATTTGAATTCGATTGGGAAACTCGAGACATTTGGCTGCTAAAAGAAGATATATGGACGCTCATTGGCGAGCTCAAAGAGGCGAGATAGGAATTTTGAAAAGAAAGACATCATTACTTTAGTATAATGAATATGGCTCGGCCTTGAAAATCGGCGACTATATCTACGTCGTCTCTGGTGTAGCGGACGATTCTAACGGATTACATCCAGTTGAAAGAATCCAACTCGTCAGTGACGAAGAGATCAAAACAGAAGTCATCGGTGCACACGATTTTTTGAGCTACACGCCAGTAATTCTCGAGGCAACTGCTGATTTCTGCGTTTAAAGACTCACATCAAGTGATTTTACGCTGATTCTCTACCATTTTGTCTTCAATAAATAGGTCCTTCCGAAATCAAATAGTACTTGAATCATAACTCTTGCCTGTAAGCTCGTGTACGGGAAAGTTTGATCCATAGTGAGAAACCCAGCCGTGTTCTTCGTCGTAAATTTCGGTCAATCCGTGGCACTCGCGCTCATCCCCACCGTCGCCATCACAGCCGCCCATTGTGATCAACTCATTCGTAAACTCATTTTCGTAAACGACGATATCCGCCCAGTCGTGGCCCCTCGTCGTTTCTTGAGCGACGATTTCTTGGCGAACTCCATCAAAAGTCATACACTGATTTGCTCGGCCTTCTTTGCCATCGAAGCAGGTCCAGATTTTGCCGTTGTAAGCAGTGCAAGAACCGAACATACCCCCGTGAAATGGGTATTCAAGACTTGCAGATTGGCGAGTGATTTTGCAATCTTCTACTTTTGCGACAGCACTAGAATTTTATCTCTCATATTTCACGGTGTAAGTCTTACTTTGGATAAAACCAACCACCGATGAGCCAATGCTCCCCGTTAAGCATTGCGTAGCAGGTATCCTCTAAAATCATTTTTGAAATCAACAAGAAAAATCTCGCCTACCAATATCAAATCCGTGGTTAAATTGATAAGCAAAATTTCGAAAGTCAACTTCTTCCGTGTACGAGTTCCAGTGCATTCCCTTGTTCCATTCTGACATTCGCTCATCGATGATAAAGAGGTGATGGAGGGGAGACGCACAAATCGGGTTCGGGCAGTTTTCGCAACCATCGGGACATCCTTATTTCGATTAAACTGGGCTACTTTTTGGGAGAAAACCTGAGTAACATGGACAGGCAGCGAGGCAATCGAGCCATGTTCCTTGGCATCTTGATGTGCAACTCGGATCGTCACAGAATTCGAGGCATTCATCAAGTTTTACTTGACAATTATCAGCGCATATCTTTCCAAGTTCGACGTCTACGCATTTCAAATTCAAGGTGTCGTTAAAAATTCTAGTGGCATTCTCTCAAGTCGGTGAAAATTGAAACTTTGAGAGGGTAAAGAGCATCAGCATGGGAATTAAGGGGGTAGAACTAGGATTTTCGAAAATAGCCAATTCTAGACCGGCGCTCAAAGCCAGGCAAGCTAAGATATTCAAATTCTCTCTTCAGCTGAAGATAGAGCAAACTTAGATCTAACAACATTTTTCTTAAAAAATTTTTCGTCAACAAATTTTGGCGGTAGAGAGCGAAACACCAACCTATCTCATCGAAAATCGCCATTTTAGCCTATTCGCGTCCTCAAATTTCTCGAGTCACGTGACTAGTAAAATTTTTAACTTTCATTTTTTGATAGTTTAACGCTTTTTCTAGCAACATCTATGAGGAAATTTCGTTAACATAAGTAAAAACAGGTTTTTCTTCTTTAAAGGGGCTCTCAAAATTCACTGATTTTCGAAAAATCTAGTTCTACCCCCTTAAGTAACCTGCTAACTGTATAAATAAAGCCAAAGTTTGGAAATTCTTGAAGGTTAAGATTTGAAAAGTAAAGTCAATAATTTATCAATAATCGTGAAAATGATCATAACTCAGCGGATCCATTTTCATTTATTAGTCAAAAATTCCTCAACAGAATGAAAATCTGAAGTCTTCATCCGGAAAGAGGCGTTTTCATGTCAAGTTTTGCGCTCGCACTAAGGAAAGATTTAAGAATAATTCTTAATATTTTATTTATTACTGGATTTCTTCCCTTGCCACATTGTTGTCGCCATTGAGGACTATTATCCGGCCGCTTGAGTTTTTGAGCTTCCGTCCGAGCTTCCGCCCGAGCTACCTTTTGGCATTCTAAATGTCATATTAACGTTAATAAAACCAATCAATTATGTTCGATATAAGCAAAGATCATTTTGGTGCATGCTCAGCGAATTTGAAGTAGTCATGATAGTAGACGAAGTTCTGGATGTGTTTAGGAAGTTTCTTTTTGTAGCATTTTTCATACAGAACCTTCATAAAATGTTGACAATTTCTATTATTCCAACTTAAAAGGAATTTCGATTACAAACTCATTAATTTCTTAACCTGTACTTTTGGCCGTCCAAGTTTTTGCATCTCAACAAAAGTGTCGAAAAAAAGTTCTTTTAATTGTTTCCTCTCTTCTGGGTCTTTAGGTAACTTCGCAACTTTATGAAGAGCTTGGAATAAAATTGGTTAAAAAACAATTGCGGTTATTTTCTTACGATATTCGTACCATTCAACAAGTGGATCGTTTTTTCGAACATCTGAAAATCAATAATTTCAGATTATTTTTAAGGGTAATGGTATACATCGGGAGGCGCCGCTCGCTCGATCCACGCTCCGCAAGAACCTATTTCTCACGAGGCCGTAAAATCTGAACGGATCAAGATTTTTTCGAGATTTAAACAGATTCGGAATCCTCAAAGTCTCTTCTATAAACTGATGGAAAATTGAAACAATTGTCAAAGAGAAACAATGTGAAAAGTGCCAGTTTCCTTCAAATGACATTTTCTCCTGAATTTCTCATCCAATTTTTTGAAAATTAGACTGTCTTGTAGAGAATCGTCAGCTCTACAATTCCTGTTTTTCAGATTTCTTTTTTAAGCTTTTATTAATTTTACATCGCAATTTGTAAAGAGCGCTACTTCTTCTCGCGCCTCTCCGCTGCATATTTCTCGCGCCGCACTTGGTTTGAGGCTAGAAGACATAACTTTTGAAGGCCCAAATGAAAATTCTGAAAAACAGGAATTGTAGAGCTGACGATTCTCTACAAGACAGTCTAATTTTCAAAAAATTTGGATGAGAAATTCAGGAGAAAATGTCATTTAAAGGAAACTGGCCTTTTTCACATTGTTCCTCTTTGACAATTGTTTCAATTTTCGATCAGTTTATAGAAGAGACTTTGAGGATTCCGAATCTGTTTAAATCTCGAAAAATCTTGATCCGTTTAGATTTTACGGCCTCGTGAGAAATAGGTTCTTGCGGAGCGTGGATCGAGCGAGCGGCGCCGCCCCGATGTATACCATTACCCTTAAATCATACCGATTCTTATCATTTCGGCGCCATTATCATTGTAATAATATTTCATTGGGTAGATTATAAGAGCAACGTGACTATTCCAATCGCTCCTCGAGAAAAAGGCGCCGATATGAGCGAACCAGTTGCCGATCCATTGATGATTTCAAAAAAATTTCGCGGGCCCGGAAATCGTCAAAAACTTCTTGTCTAGTTTTGTAGAGCTCGTCGAGAGGAGTCGAATGATGTATCAAACTCCTGATAGTTTTAAGATTTTCCGTCAAAATAAGTGATAAGAAGGTGTCTTATCAAAGATTTTCTGACCAGCGCCGTTTTTGTTCTAGAAAAGCTGAGGTCATGCTTGACCCCGGAAAATGATCCTCATGATCTGTTCTATTACAGCAAAAATTTCAGCTCATGCATACGTATCCTGCTGTCCTTATCAGCGAAAAATCAAAAAATAGTGCATTTTGTTGTCGCTGCACGTTCCTAATTTCTGGAAGATTTCCAGTCCCATTCTCCTTGGAAAATGAAATTTAACGATAAACTCGGCTGGGTATATGATGACGGGCTGAAATTTTATGCTGTAATAGAACAGGTCATGAGGATCATTTTCCGGGGTCAAGCATGACCTCAGCTTTTCTAGAACAAAAACGGCGCTGGTCAAAAATCTTTGATAAGACACCTTCTTATCACTTTTGGCGGAAAATCTTAAAACTATCAGGAGTTTGATACATCATTCGACTCCTCTCGACGAGCTCTACAAAACTAGACAAGAAGTTTTTTGACGATTTCCGGGCCCGCAAAAATTTTTTGAAATCATCATTCTTCAGTCATCTTAATACTTTTAGCAACTATCAAATTAAAAATATTACGAAAATATAGTCGTCGAGCTCATCGACGTATTCCTTGATGTGATAGTTTCTCTCAATTTTTCGTTTATTATTCTCGCCTGATGAAGGCATTTTTATGAGAAGTTTCCGCGCTCTCAGCAGATCTTTAAATAGGTAGTTTGTTTATAGTACAAACACAAGAAAAATGAAAAATGAAGCAAAACGAAGGGCCTGCCTCAAAGCAATGCCTTGGAAGATAAAACTCATTCGAAACAAATATCTGTATACCAATATACTGTAAGATTCTCAAGATACTTATGTACTTGAAAGTTCGGATAAGAATGCGTTGGAGCTCGCAACTCTGTTGCAAATTGTCTTATGTCTGATAAATTATTTCGGAAAGAGCATGGGTTAAATATTAGCTGATCTTTTTAATTAACCATATAAACGAAATCGAATTCAGGGATTGCTCAATTGCAGGTGATCGGAGTTTCCGAAGATATTTCTTTTAACATTTTTAAAAGTTATCGTTTTCCAAATTGTCATAAATAGACAATACGCGCATTTGACAAAATCGTAAAATGTTTCAGACACAATGTGATCGTACGCTTTCTCAGGATCATAAAAGAGCCTATTTCAAAGGAACCTAACATACTATTTGAAAAAGGCTACTTCGATTTTCATTATTTTCCAACAGAGAAAATGGCGCTTTCCGATCGAGACTTGATTTTGGCGATCACTTTGCCGATCATTTTTGTTTTACTCGTGATTTTGATTGTTTTGCTGTCTTGCATTTGCTGCTGCAGGAAACATCTCTGTCTTCGGATTTCAAATCAATTACTAATTGACAATCAGGTTTTGAAAATATAATCCCTCGTTAATCCGACAAAAGCACTTGCACTAAAAGAACTTGTGGAAAAGGAGCATGTGGAACAAACTGCTGCGGGGGTTGCAAAGGATGCGGACCGTGCCCTTGCCTCGGCTGTGGCGGAAGCTGCTGCGGCTCTTGCTGCAAGAATGATGTTGAAGGTAAGCACACAGCAGGAATCAATCTATATATAAAAAGCGATCTACCCGGACTCCTCGGACAAAAACTCGAGCAGTGGCTCAAGCGACGATCTCTCCCTGAACATTGAAGAGCAAAAGGTCCACGTCGAATCGGGTTTCCCTGTCCATGAAGGTAAGGACTCCTATTTCAACAATATATCTGTTTCTTTCCAGAATACGAAGATACAACGGTCGACACCACTTATGCCAAGAAACCAGAGCCAGTAACTCGACCAGAGGAAGCCTCAAAATACCGCTACGCCTCCGAGTACAGTTACGATGTCCGAACTGTACATGGAGCAGAGCACGAAAATGTGACTGTAAATCAGAAACGCTCCTACACTCATTTTATCCACTAATAAAACTGAAATCAAGGAAGAAATCGAAGTGATAAATTATTTATTAAATAGTATTTTCCAGTTTTGAAACAGTTGTGAACTTGAAAAAAGGTTTGAAAAGTTTCTGCGAAATGATGTGTGGCTTACCTATCGGCGTACAGTAATCGATAGATAAGAGATTCTACTGTTGGAAGTACAGAATTTCGGAAAAAGGGGGTTGCTAGTTCTTTTTTGAATGGTTTTTAGCAAGTGGGGGTCTTTTTGATCGAAAGAGGCTTTGCGATTTTGAAACCGCTAATACGTCCGATTTTCACCGGCACTGTAGCGGATTTGAGCAGGACGGTCTTGCCGACCTTGACTTTTAAGGCACTTTTTGTCGCTGTTTGTTTGCTTTGCGCTAGAGTTTCTGGAATCACTGGTGGTGGAATACGAGGCCGCTTGGTTGGGCCTCGCCCTCCTGTTTTTTCTACGGCAATGGTTTTCCAGTACTGGTTTTCGACGGTAGGCTTTGGTGCGAGAACTGGTAGGGATTTTTGGGAAGGCACGAGTGTGGGTTTTGAACGGGTAAAGATAGGCGTTTGCTGGACGTTGATTTGGGGCACTTTTTCGGGCAGCGTCTGGGAGACGGAATTTGACTGACCATCATCATCATCTTCTCCTTCGGAGTCTGTGAACGCCGTGACGGTGCAGGGCTCGTCATCCGGGTCGATATACTCGCTCTTGATAAGCGGGCTCTCACCCTCGGCGAATTCCATTACAGTGGCAGTTTCTGAAAGCAATGATTACCAGTAGTTCTCAGAGGAGAAAGGGAAGGGCTTACCGGAATCAGGTTGAGCCTGATTTTGAGGGAGCGGCCGGCCGACTCGGTTCGCGTAGAAGACTTTTTGACCGTTGAGTTTGGAAGCGTTGGACATGTAGACAAAGTCGATCACTAGAATTTTCATAAATAACGTTTTTTTAAAGAAAAATTTACATTTTCCGTCTTTTCCAACCAGTTTCATCGTCTTTTTATTATAAATTTTGAACTTGCTTCTGTGATCGGTTTTGTTGTTAATTCCTGTAACTGGCATCGACTTCCAATCCGGCGTTCTCTTTTTTTGGACGACTCGTGGCTGCTGGCTGGGTGTTTTATTATTGTTGCTGCTTGGTCTTGACAAATTCTTGAGATTTATTTTCGGCTTGAGAATTGGAAGAGATTTGGAAGGAAGAATTTCTGCTTGAAGCTCGGGTGTTTCAATGACTTCTACGTTTGATTCTTCGTCGATTGGTTCTTGTTTGACAGTGACTGTAGGTTCGACAGTGGGGCCGGTTTCGTCTTCGTCTTCTTCAGTGACAGTGGCTTCGGAGAGAAGAGAAGAAGAGCTGCTTTCGCCACCGCGAAAGACGGAAATTGGGTCTTTGATTGTTCCGTCCGCGGCGGTGTGGACTGCGTGGATGTGATGTTGCATCGTTTCCTGTTTTGAAAAAATGAGGGTCAGGGAGATCAGTGGCTAGTACCTTGTATGCGTATCGTCTGGAGCAGTAGGGACACATGATCAAGAGATTGTAGCGCTCGCCAGCGTTGTATCGAGTCGAGTGCATCACTTTATCTTCTTCTGATTGCTCCGTCTTCATGACTCGCTCGACTGTCTCTTGAAATTTTGCTGTAAAAAGGAAGGAGTCGGTAATTGATTTACCTTTTTTATTTGGCTTGGAGACAAGATGCTCTCCGGGAATCCGGATTTGGAATGAATCGGAGCCAGATTCCAAGACCTGAAAATGATGCTTCAAAAAGAAATATTTCTAGAGAAATCTGCAATTCGACTTGACTAAAAGCAGCCTCAAAAACTGTAATTTTCCTTTACTGCACTAATGTAAGGATTAATTAATATTCAAGAGAACGAGGATTAACAATAGTCATTCTGGTTGCACATAAGGAAAATTTTCAACCAAATTTTTAAAATTAAAATTTTTTTTTCAAATTATTACCATGGCGGATTGCACCGGAACAGGATCTCTTTCTCTCTCTCTCTCGCCACTGAGAGTCGCCTGAGTGAGCTAAGAGAGAGAAAAGACCAGCCAGGGGTGCCTCGTGGCAGCCAATGAGCTCCTGGGCCCACTGCGCGTACCACCCTCTCTGGCCAAAACTTGGGAAGTGTTGACACTAGCGAGCGGGCGCCACGGGCAAGCCCAAGCTACAACTCGCACGTTCTTTGTGGACTCCCTAGAACTTCTCTGTTTGACAAGATAGGGCAATCAAATCTCTTTTTAAAAAATCATTCTATAAAAAATCATCAAAAAATAATTTTAAACTAAAGGACTTTTATGGTTTTTTAGCAGTTTACATCGTTGATTTTATTGAATTCAAGCATCGATACAGTAATCAACATCAACCGGAAACATGGGCGAATAATCCATGTGCAGTTTGAATCCCGAATCATAAACGACTGAAGTCATCCCTTCGTCAGTGATCGTAATTCGCTCCAGGAAGTCGTATCCGATGAAGATGTCGCCGAGGAATTGAGTCTTTGCCAAATAGAATGCGCTTTTTTGCAAGTTTCCGAGCTCAGACCAAAGATTCTCTCGAAGTCGGAAAACCATGTTATCATCACTGCTGTCAGTGATCAAGATAAGACCTGAATTTCTATGATTTCACTTTTTTCAAGGTTGTTTACCCGATGGTTCAGAAAACAAAGCATGGTTGGTAATTCTCTCGAAGAATTCAAAGTCCGTTCCGGTCAAGCTCCAACCCTGCTCATCGTCGAAAACCTCCATCACGCCATGACACTCCTTTTCCTCGTAGCTTCCATCATTGTCGCATCCACCGACGGTGACCAAACTTCCTTCGTGAAGCACCAAGTCGGCCCAATCGTGACCGCGAGCTGTCAAATGGTCGATTCTTGTATGGTTGACCCCGTTGAAGATTTGACACTCTTTCGAAGTCTTCGCTTTTCCATCGAAGCACGTCATGATTTTGCCTTGATACTCGGCGCAGGAACCAAAAGTGCCACCGACAAATTCGTAGGTTAATGTTACATCTTGTCTCTTGACAGCGCAGTCTTCAATCTTTGCAACGGCGCTATAATCGAATTTTAAATAAGCAAAGACATTTTTCCTTACTTTTTGTTGTAATATCCGCCAAGAAGATAGTGCTCTCCATTCATCATTGCATAGCAGGAGTCCTCTATTTTCCAAGACTTTTTAAACAGTATGATTTTCATTTTGGAGGAAGAAAATAGAATCAAGAAGAGCCTGTTCCTATGTCGTATTGATAGCTGTAGTTGTAATTGAAATTTCTGAACTGAATTTCTTCCGTTTCGGAGTTCCAGTGCATTCCCTTGTTGTAATCTCCCATTCGCTCGTCAATCACAAACAGATGTTGCTGGTTTGTCTCGCCGCAGATTGGATTCGGGCAGCCCTGGCATCCTTCAGGACATCCTAGATCAAGTCTATCAAGGACCTCTAGCTTGAAATCTACCTGAGTAACAGGGGCAGATTGTCAGACAATCGAGCCAATCGCCTTGGCATCTAGAAGTGCAGCTTGAGCTTCCAGCGCAATTGGCAGTGCAAATATCGAGAGTTTTGTTGCATTGGTCCGCGCATAGTTGACCGAGATCTCCATCAACGCATCTAAGGTTGAACAGCTCAAGAGCCATTTTCTCTATTCCTTTTTATTTGAAGAGCAATAACGAACAGACATGCCATTAGATCCGACCATCGACATATTGAATTTTTCTCATTGACGTCATGAAAAAGAAACTTCAAGAATTGCTTGAAAGATATAGACTATATCATATAGTTAATCAAGCTTTATTTAATGATTGACGGAATGTATGATTAAAATATTGAACTTTTTGGAAGACAGTAGTTTTGGAACTTTGAAGATATTTTAAAAGATAATAATGCAGAGCAAGAAAAGACTGAAAAAAGCTGGAATGGAAGAAGATTCGCCGGCGAGTTTTTGGTATTCTTCGATGATTTGTTCTATGGAGAGGTTTATGTTAGTGGAATAATAGAAAAAATGATATTACTTGTGATTTCGTTGATAATATCATCGTTGTTTTCTGGATCAACGGCGAAGCGCAAAACGGGGTCAGTTTGATTTTCATTATCGCCGGAGCCATCAGCAGAAAAAATCCCCGCGTTTACGTCCGTTAGATTAACCAGCGATCGCTCAATTGCTCCCAAATCGTCTCCAGAAGCCTCAGACAAGTTCAATCCAAGCGACATGCCCGTAATTTCGATACTGTAGTCTCCGGAGTTCTCTTCTTCTCCATAATATCGATAATAGTCGATTAATGATACATCTTCATCTTCATCTTCACCTTCGCCATTTTCTTCGGTTAGATAGATCAGCGAGCGCTCCATTGTTTCTCCAGATCCTTCCGAGTCGTTGAAGCTGAGCATAAATCCTATTACTTCTAGACTAGAGCTTCCAGAGCTCTCCTCGATCTCGATAAAGTTCATAAATGATCGTCCATCAGCAGAGCCATCCTCATCCTCCCCTTGATCGTTTTCGAAAGAATGATTTTCTCGGAGAGATTTGCCAACAGCACTAGAATTTGTCGAGTCGTTGTTGTCTCCAGAAGACTCTGAGTCATCCAAAACGCCTCTTGGGCCGCTAGAATTGGAAATTTCATGTTTTCAAGACAATTTTTTGGTCTCACCGGACAGATCTTGGGTCAAAATAAACATCTTCCATCTCAAAAGTGAGCAGCTCAAATGTCTCTACGTTCGCCAAGCTAGCACCAAAAATAAAAAGGCCGAGAAAAATCATCGTAAAAATGCTTCTCTCCTCTCGCTACTCTCGCTTTTGCGAAGTGAGCGAAAAACCGATCGGTCGATCATTTTTTTCTTCAGATTTTATCAAATGGTGGCGCAAAAGTGAAGCGAACAGATTTTGGCTTTAGAAAATTTTCCGTATCAACGCCTATTTTTCTTGGTTGAAGCTTAGACACTTCGCATTGAACGAGCTAATCCCCTCGGGCGTGTACCCAAATTCAAAATAAACTCGTTAGTGCAGATTTTTGTCTAAAAATTCTAGAACTAGCATTTCGCAATTAAAAGCAGTAGTGTTATTTTACAGTGATGATCAGAGTCTCCAAGAGAAGTAAGTTGCTTTTGCGTTATTATGGTGATAAGGATGATTGTCACTAGAATTTCTGGTCTCGGCAGCATGCAACGGAACTATTGGCATTAGACGAGAGGTAATTCAAATTTTCAGAAAATACGGGTGTCATTTTTTTGTTCATTTTTTCAGAAGAAAACGCTCTCTTTCAGGATTTTCTTCCCTATGAGCGTCGGTCCCCACTAACCCCCGCCAATGTCGCCTCCCTCGTCAAAGCCGGTCACGTGGTCAAGCTTGAGCCTTCCGGAAAACGAGCCTATTCCGACGGCGAATACGTCAAAGTCGGAGCTGAACTGGACGCGAACTTGGAAGGCTGCGATGTGATTTTTGGAGTGAAACAGATTCCAATTGATTCGATTGTGCCGAATTCTACTTCTGTTTTCTTTTCCCATACGATCAAGGCGCAACCTGCGAATATGCCGCTTTTAGACACGTGCCTGAGGGACAAGGTGACACTTGTCGATTACGAGTGCATCGCAGAAAATGGCGAGAGAAAGGTAGCCTTTGGACACTGGGCGGGAGTTGCTGGAGCGATCAATTCTATTCATTTTCTCGGGAAACGGGTCGAGAAAATCTTTATTTTCATCTTTATGAGATCCTTTTTGACCCATGAAAAGCCAGCGTTTACTTTCCCTCGGCCACAACACGCCGCTAACAACGATAAATCTCGCCGGCGGCTACGTCGATTCCACCGCAGCAAAAGAAGCCATCTCCGCTGCTGGTCGAAAAATCACCGAGTTTGGCCTTTCCCGATCCATCGAACCCCTCACTTTTGTCATCACCGGCAGCGGGAGAGTCGCGCAAGGAGCGATGGAGATTCTCGATGCTCTTGGCGTCACGTGGGTGGATCCAAGTGAGCTGAAAACATTGGCGAAGAAGAAAAATAATGAAGTTTTTGCGACTGTAGTTGAGCCGCATCATCATCTGATCCACGAAGACGAGAGCAAAAGCTTCCCGAAAATCGGCACTGAAAACTGGGACTTTTTCCTCGAAAACAACAAGGACTACTCTTCAAATTTCAATACCGAAATTGCCCCTCACATGTCCTGCCTTATCAACTGTCTCTTCTGGGCGCCTGGCGATCCAAAAATCATGACGAATGAAGATCTTCAGAATCTCGTCAATTCGCAAAAGAAAAATGCTGAATTTCCTGGAGTGCCATTTTTGCCACAGAAGTTGCAGGTGATTTCTGATATCTCAGCGGACTCCAACGGAAGCTTGGAATTCGTGGTCGATTGCACTAGCATGGAGGAGCCCTTCGAAATCGTCGATGGAACAGGTCAATCAAAACTCAACCCTTCCCCCTTGAAACTGAAAATTTTCAGGTTCATCCTCACGCGACCCAAAAGCTCCAGGTGTTGTTATCACCTCAATCGACTACCTCCCAGGAAGGATATTTCTCGTCGCCAATTTTTTCCAAATTTTCGAGACCTCGAATTTCATCCCTTTTCTTTTTCTAGAATGAGAACGCCCGGAGTGCGTCGGATTTTTGCCCGTGCAATCGTATCAGGAACAGATTCAAGCTAGAAAAAGATAGAACGATAAATATCTGAAAAGCTCTTTTGCCAAGAGAAGCTTCGGATCATTTTGGAAACTGTCTCTTGCCCTTTATCGATGATTTATTGAATCTTTCGTCAGGACAGGGGGATGTGTGCCCAGCGATAAGGAACGCCGTGATTTGCCAGAATGGAGCGCTGACAACTCAGTACAGGTAAATATGAATTATATTTTGGTATAGAAATATCAGGTTAAAGAAAATAACCAAATAGTGGCCCAAACTCTCTTTCTTCGGACAAATGATTCAGTAACTGGCCATTGTCTTCTTCTTCATCGTTCCAGTTGTCCCAGTAGAGGTCTTTTAAAAAAACAAATTATAATTTTTCTTCAAAGACTTACCACTTTTGAAAAGTTTACAGGCAAAAAACGAAACGGCTACTATTTTCATTTTACTCGGATCTGACCTGTTTTCCTGCAGAAGCCTAATTTTTCAACTGTTTATTCCTTTCTATAACGTCACATAATAACAAGCATAATGTGACATTATTCATGCCAACATAAGGCTAATTTAAGCTTCTCGGTTTTCAGGTCAAAAATCACAATGATCAAACATGATAGACTAGAATTGATTCTTTCAGATACATTTCTGATATGAGAGCTGCTCAAACTTCTTCAAAGTCGATCCTTGTCCTGGGCGCTGGTTATGTTTCCGCTCCCGTTGTCGACTACCTCTCTTCCAAGGGCTACAAAGTCACGATCGTTTCCTCCGTCGAGAACGAAGCTGCAAAAATGATCTCTCAATACAATTTCGAAAACTGCACTCCCGTCCAACTCGACTGCGTCAACGACAACGAAGGTCTTTCTTCCTTGATTTCAGCGCACGATCTCACGATTTCGCTCCTTCCCTATGTTTTCCACCCCCATGTTTGCGAGCACGTAATCAAGGCTGGCAAACAAATGGTGACAGCTTCTTACTTGTCTGATGGAATGGCGGCGCTGGATGAAAAGGCGAAGAAAGCGGGAATTACAGTCATGAACGAGGTTGGAGTCGATCCTGGAATTGATCATATGCTCGCGATGGAACTGTTCGATGAATTGAAAGAAAACGGAGAAGGTAAAAACGATGTCGCCTCAAATTCATTAGTCCCTATATTTAGACGTCAAATCGTTTGTCTCATTCTGCGGCGGTCTCCCCGCCCCCGAAGCTTCCAACAACGTCCTTGGCTACAAATTCTCCTGGTCCCCGCGTGGCGTCCTTCTCAACACCGTCTCCGGCGCCAAGTGGCTCCACAACGGCGACGTCGACGAAATCCTCCCCGGCGGCGACATCATCAACCGACCCTACACCTTCAGCGGCGACGTCAAAGAAGTTCCCTTCAGCACATGGAACGGTTACTCCCTCGAGGGCCTGCCCAACCGAGACTCGACCAAATACACCGTTCCCTACGAGATCCCAAAGTGCGAAACACTCCTTCGCGGAACATTCCGATACGCAGGCTATTGCGAAGTCCTCCGAGATCTTCAAGCGGTTAATTTGATCAACGAAGCTCCAAGTCCGAATCTATACGATGCTGACAACTGGCTTGAGTTTATGGCTCTGCACTTAGGGCTGGACAAAAATGCTAGTGCGATGAAAGTAATGGCGAAGGCGTCAGAGCTAAAGAATGGCCTCGGTCAGGGAGTTAATACGAATAAATTAGCGAAACTCGGCATTTTTACCAAAACAAACAAGCTGGAGAATCGAAACTCGCCTTTGGACGCTCTGGCTGTTCTTCTCAATCGGTAAAAATGGCCTGTTTAGCTATGAGTTAAGTTCATATTCAGGGATATGCAATACGGAGAGTCGGAAAAAGACGCGATCATTATGCGCCACGAAGTAAAAACTCATCAGAACCCGATGACCATACACGGCGTCGACTTCATCTACTACGGCAATCAAGGCAAAAACGACGGAAAAGAATATTCCGCCATGGCCCAGGTACATCCTACCCCTCTTTCCTCCCCTTATCACCATTCTTAGACTGTTGGATACCCCGCTGCGATCTCCGCTCACTTGATAATGGAAGGTGTAATCAACAAGCCAGGAATGCTCACTCCTGTGACGAAGGACATCTACGTGCCGATCCTCGACGAGTTGAAGAAACTTGGAATTGTTGCCAACCGAACTTTGAATTGAAACATAACTTTGTAAATAAAATTTTCTTTTGTAAAATTTTTGTTTTATTCGTGAATATTTGTAAGCATTATTTGAAAGGGATGAGGCTCAAGAACTGTGGAGTTTTGAAGCGGGAGATTCATGAGATCTGGAAAGGGAGGAGGTTGTGGAAGACCTAAAAAAAGGTAGGAAAGGGTTAAAAAAAGGGATCTACCGAGATTGATAAGGGTCGATGGAGGCGGATTGATGCTGGTTGTCGTGGGAACGGGGGATGTTTGAATTTCTGGAGCTGCTTCTTCAGTCGGACATTGAGGAATTAAAATACTGCTTTGAGGTCTACAAGAGCATTAATCGATTGATTGAGGTCTTACTTGTTGAGTTGTTCACTATTGGAGGTCGCTAGTTTGATGGCGTCCTCGCATGCTTCGAGCATCTTCGCAATAGAACAGCTGAAAATCACATTTGAAATTTGGAAAAGTGATTCTCGTACCTTTTTGGAAGCAAATCTGTCAACAATTCATCGATCACCGGGAAGCACAAGCCCTGCTGAGCAAATTTTCGCTGCAAGTCCTTCAGTTGTTGGCCGAGATCGAGGTATTCCGTGTCTAGCGTCAGTTGCATGATTTTATCAGCGGGAAGTAGTCGCAAATCATCGGGAAGAACCAATCCGCTTTTTTGTATTTCTGATTGTTCCTGATTAATCAGCTGACTGATTTTTGGGTTGAGAAGATTTTCCAAAAAACTTGTTTTCGCTTTTTTCAACCGTTCCTTTCCTTCATCTCCTTTTTCGTCAGAAAGCGATATCCATCTGTTTCCGCATTCTGCTGGACACATCGTTGTTGCTTGAGGTGGCAATTCAAGCCCTGGCGCTGGCGAAATTTCTTGCCGCAAAGATGGCAACTGTATGGCATGGCTCCAGTGTGAAGATTCATGTGAACCATGAGTGTCGATTTCTGGCTAAATCCGCGGTCGCAAACTTCGCACTAAAAATTTCAAATGGTTAGGGTTTAGGTTGGTAAGGGCCAGGAATTCATAAAAATGGCGGCTTTCTTGAATCAGATTCTATTGAAGTAAGAACATTCTGGAGAAATTTTCCATAAAACTAGAAAAAATCCACCCCCTAAAAATAACAGTAAATTTTTACCTTGAAAGGCTTTTCTCCCGTGTGGGTGTACAAATGTCTTTTGATATCAAACTCTTTCCGAAAAACCTTCCCACATATCGGACATGGAATATTCTCTGTCTTCTTCTCTGGCTCTTTCTTCACCGGCGGTAGAATCTTTTCCCAATAAAACGGCTCTGTTTTTATTTCTTCAAAGCCTATTTCGCTCTGGTTCAAATTTGGATTCATTGTCAATTGATTGAAATTTCTGAATTGATCTGTTTCGATACTGAATGCATCTTTCGCGGGCTTCAGATGAATCGTCACGAATTCAATTTCATTCTTATCGCTTATTTTTTATTTCTAAGCCCGGACTTGATTAGTCACACGGCCCGGTGAAGAATTCATCTCTTTATTCTTGATTGAAGAAATCATTTCAACTGACATGGTTCGCTGATCTCGATGGAAATAAAGAACCGGCGATTAGGCGTACTCTGTAGATTTATAGAAATTCTAGAGATATGGCGTGATCGCGCCGCGCTTCCTTTTCCCATTCTAGAGCTGGTACTCGTGTCTGATAGACGGGAGTCCGAGTTACTAGAAAATTTAAATGGCTGCCATCGATGAGCTGAAGAAAACTGCACCTACAGATTTTTTACGACTTCCGGCCCAACAAAAAGTTATTTGAAATCATCTGCTGACAGCTCAGACAATTATCACTTAGCTCAGCTCAGCTCAATTTAACCACCAAAAAACAGCTCAGCTCAGCCAGCTCAGCTCGCCTCTAGTAAGGGTCCGCTCAGCTCAGCTCACCTAAAATTAGGATCCGCTCAGCTCAGCTCAGCTCAGCTTTAATTAGCGTTCGCTCAGCTCAGCTCGGCTCAATGAGCTTTGAAAAAGGCTAGCTCAGCTCAGAGAATTTTTTACTCAGGTCATCTCAGCTCAGCAAAAAGAAGCAAAATTTGCAACTCTGAAAAGCAGTATAAAGGGATGAATATTAAGAGAAAAAAATAAAATTAGGCAGATAAAGAACAGGAAAGTCTATTGGCCAAAACCTTTATAAACGTCATGTTCAACGAGTAAATGGTCAACGCTGACAATTGAAAAATTAAAAATACATAATTTAATCAGTATAAAAGGAAGACAACGCAGGGTTTCAATTTTGAGCACAAGAAATTACAATGAAAATTCAAAATTTGTTTCTTTTATCTCCAGCCTTTTCCGGAAAACTTGAAGGCAATCCTTGGATTGAAAAATCCGCCAAGGCGATCGAGTCGGAACGTCAACTCGGAGGGATGAGCTTTCGGAGTTCTCCACTTTGTAACCTAAAAAGAGCTCAACCAAAAAGAAGAACCTTTTTGCTGCATGAATAAAAGATCAGTCGAAAAGTAAACTTTGAAATAAAAACGTCTCGTAATCAAAGAAATCAAATAGAAAATCTGAATTTTTAATCAAAGCGTCCATTAGTATCTTAAAAAATCTCCGAGAGTTCTTTGTTTTTCAAAAAATAAAAGAGGAAAAAGATTCTGTTTTAGCTTTTTTGCCTAAAAAGAGGCGGAATGAGCAGCATTTATTCTCAACCCGAGGCATATAAAAAGAGTTCCAAATCAAGTTCCAGCTCCTAATTTTGTTTATTTTGCCTTGAATGATTTCTTTTTTTATGAAAAATTAAGCATGTAATGTTAGCTAATTTTGGTTCAAGTTAGAGAGAAGTGATTCTGAACTCTGATTTTAAAAACCCAGAGGCAACGGATTCAAGAGATGAACTGATGATCGAAGAAGCAGCTCATCACCCATCCGGCCTTGAAAACGTCTACATCGGCTTGGCAAATGGAGAGCATCTCTGGGCCGACATGATGTTTTTCCAATCTTGGAACAGTCGTCGCCACTGCCGGACGCATATTTTTTGCGGAATTTTGACAATTCTTTTTGGTTTTTTCGTCGTTTTTTTCAACCCGTTTGACCGGCCGAATTATGGGACGCAAGTTATCGCTGGGGTATTTTACTTTGTGGCTGGAGTCTTTTCGGTGGGATTCAGAAGTCCAAGGGCGACGGCGAGGATTTGTACTTTGACCACTTTTATGGGGATTTTTATCATTATTGAAATTCTAGGTAAGCAAATGATCTACGAAGCTTCCTATTGGCCAAGAGTTTTTCTGGAGTTTTGCGATTTCTGATTGGCTTGACCGAAGAAAACCGCTCTTTTATTGGCCGATAGAAGAATCTTGTTAATTGCTTGTCAAATCATTAAAACCCATATTCTAGTTCTCCTCCAGCACGAGGCGCATCAACTCACAACAATTTGGAAAACGCGAAAACACGAAGGAGGACTTTGGGCGTTGCTTGCTTGCATGATCATTTCTGGCTTCGAAGTTGTCTTGGGCTTTTCCGCGTTTGGAGCGTGGCTTCGTTACAATGACTTGGTGGATAAGTTCAAAGCCAGAAATATGGAAATTGAACTTGGTCTTGCTTATCCGACGATTTATGGTAAACTTTGAAATTAGGAAAAAATGAAGGAATAATGATTAGGGCATTATCTATCAAAATGGAACTCTTCTGAAAGCGGGCTGAATCGGATCCGTAAATCAGCTGCGAGTTATGGTGATTTCTCTGAAAACAACGGTGAAAACAATGAAGATGATGGCGACGATTACGATCGAGATGTGGATCAAGAAATTGACAATTATGCTGAAATGGATGCGGAGATGGATATTGCTATGAATGAAGAACTTGGTAAGATTGAAAATGAAGATGATCGTCTTTGAGGTTGTATTTTGTAGATGTCGATGATGGGATGGATGATGGGGCAAATGACTTGGATGCTGGAGGCGATATTTAGAACAAAAATCTGTAATAAAGAATTAGTTTTTAGAATTTATTTGAATAAAAAGTCGCAGTTGTTATTGAAAAGGAGAGAATATAGGCTCATCACAAGAGATTTTTTAGAAATTTTTGATCACTTTGGCCATTTTGAATGGTAGTCGGCAAATTGGGCAGTTTTTTGGATCAAGTCTTTTCAAACAATCGAAGCAGAAAGAGTGACCACATCTGGAAATGCAACATCGATGGTGAGTTTTTCTGTCATAAGGCGAGAAACAGACTCTGCAATAACTGTCATCGTCATTTTCTAAATGAGATTTTAATGATCAAAGAATTTAAAAAATGAATTGTATTTTTAAAGATACCTTTATTCGACTGGTTGATGATTTCTTCTGTCATGATTTCTTTTTGCGAAGAAAATTCTTTGAGTTTCTTTTCGATGAGTTCTTTTTCCTTCGACAATTTTTTGTTCTGCTCTGACAATGTTTTGATCCAAGTGGAATTTTCATTCATTTTCTGGTTGATGAAATTTAGCTGCCTCGTTTTCTGTTGTTCTTGAAAAATGATGCGCTCAAATTTCAGTCTGGCGGTTTTCAATTCATTTTCTTTGCGCTGAAAATGATTTTCAATTTCATCTGGGAGTTTGATGGTTTCTTTGAGATCATCAAAATCGCTCTCAGAGTCTAATTTTAAACTCAACGGGCAATTTTTGAGAGCATTAAGCCATGCTTCTAGTTGTGGTACCGTGAGTGGGGGTCTGTCAAGTTCTCTCATTTTCTGATTGCAATTAAGTGAAAAGGTTGAAAGTGGTAGTTATTATTTGCGAAAGTGAATAATTTTCTGCTGCCCGATTCGTTTATATGGGGCTGGAAATGTGTCAAGCATAAAATCAGAAAGGAAAATAAGGTCAGTTGTTGAATGATTCGAATCAGCGTGATACCACGATTGGAGCACGCAGACAAATAAAGATTTAAATTTTAAAAGGAGTCCTGCAGAGAGCATGAAATATGCAAATTCCTTTTTTAAAATCAGATCCAATGAAACAAAAGGTTTTAAGAAAAGAGATGGATGTTTATTATTAAATTCCATGATTTCAAAATTTACAAGTGTTTTGGACAAGAAGTTTCGTTTTTTCACAAATGTTGGGATCAGCTTCTTAGCAGTCTTCAGCGACATCAGTTGGGACTCCGGACATACCGTCTGAAGCTGGGCAGCATTTCTTCTTGTTGAGTCCGATCCAGTGGCTTGAATTTTTTGTGAAAATCGGAAAAGGACTGATGAATTTGAAAATAGGTAAATTATCGTTGGGGGTACCCTTAAATCCTTTTGAGGACTTACTATTCTCGATCGTAGCCTCCGCAGCACTGGTGCTCGACTGGGATGCCTCCGTTGGTTGGGCAGTTTTCAGGGTCTCGGTTGTCGAATCCGTTGACGGACCAGAAGGCGTGGTACTCCTCGTTGAAGACCTCGGCGGAAGCGAGTGTGTCCTTGGCGAATTGAAGATCGCACTGGAAGAGTTCTCGTTCGCAGGAGCCCTCGGCGTTGGTAGATTCGAATCGGCCTCGTTTGCCGGCGTACTTCCAGGTGTATTTTTTGAATTCACCGATGCATTGGTCACCGTGCTTTTCTCGGACGCACTTTTGGCAGTCTTTGAAGGCCTTGCACTTGTTGTCAAGAGAATCCTAAGGAAAAAATGGGTTGAAAAAAAAATCTCAAAAAGCTTACCTTGGGCGCTCCAGTGCCCATTTCAGAAAGGGGTCGGTCCCCAAGCAAGTAGCAGTGGCATCCGTAAGCCCAGTACTTTCGCTCGTCAAATCTGTTCTTTCCAACGTTTCCGCTGAGTTTCCAGAGTTTCGCGGCGATCGCTTTCAAATCGGCGTATCGGCGCTCTCCGGAGTCGATGCTTCTGTCAGCTCCGCCAGGATTTCGGCCCGATCGAGCGAGACCGGAGCAGGGGACTTCTTGTCCGTCGGAGTAGCAGACGTCGTCCTCGGGGATCTGGATCTCGTCGGCGACGGCAAAGGCGGCGAAGAAGGCGAAAAGCTTCATTTTTTTTGAAAGAAAAAAATAGACTTTTTTGAGCTTGGAGGCTTTTTTTCTTGTTTTACTTCTTATCGAAGTTTTGATGAGGAACAATGGAAAGCGCGAGGTATTTATGGAGCTAGAAATGGCGCGCAAGGAGGGCGCGCTCGAGCAGAATCGCCAACTTGCATCATGAGCTTTCATGATTTGTCAGCAGGAGCTGGAGAATGAGATAAGACTAGCACTAGGTGAGTTTTGTTTGGTTAGAAAAAACTTTGTGATAAGTGAACTTTGAAAATTCTTTCAAATGATTCAAGAAAAGTGTTTGCTATAGTAATTTTAGAAAGAAAAGATGGTTTAAATTGGCTTCAATTTTAGAGACCATAATTTTTCTTTGAAATAAGTCAACAAGCAATTTTTCGCTTTGACATTTACGATCTAAATTAAAATTGTGTTACTCGAACTTGATCGCCAGTACGAGGTATTAAAAGACCCAGATGAGCTGAAAGCCGCGAGTCATGAATAATCAAAAAATTTAAAATAAAGGTGTAAGGCCCGTAAAATACCAAGTTCTTGTTTTCCCTCGTTTCGCAAGTTCGCCTCAGATGCGATTATTTGATCCATTTTGAGTCGGGCGGCAGTGTGGTCCAGTTAGAACCGACCGGTTTGGAGGCCGACTCAAGCTTATGCGCCCCGCCAGATCATCCGACCAGATATCCAAATGCGATTCTCGAGATTCAATTTTTGAATCTTTCGCGTTTGAAAAGCCGAGTTTTTGAGAAAAGAGAAAAGGAATCAAAACATTGGAAGGCGCTTTTTCTGATTCGATTCAAGCAAGAAAATTGATTGAACTTTTTGAAAAATACCAGTTGGTTTTTCGAGTTTTCCGAATTGCGTCAAAAGTAGCGATTTTCGTGTTCGATGTTTATTTTTACATGGTTCCGAAAATATCCAAAGCAGGCTTTATCCGGCGCAACTTGTCTAGCATGATGTTCCATCCCGTGTTTGATACAATAATCTGGCCTGGGCTGGGCCCTGAGTCAGAATATTTTGGGATCCGCTCTTTGATAAATACAATTACATCCTTCCCAAAATCATTAACAAGTACCATCATGACATCATCGTCAAAATGCTAACTTTGTAAGTTATAAGGCGATTAGTTTTTCATGGATTGAGAAAAAGTTAACATAGTGACACCCTTATATTATTTCTTCAAAAGAAGGTTTAAAGCTTAATTTAGTCTTTCCAAATGCTAGAATTTTTAGTTTTGATAATTTTCATGAAATATTTACCGCTTAAATCTCCAATTTTTGACAAAATAACTATTTTGACCAAAATTTTTAGTGACTATTTCAGAAAATGCCTAAAAATATTCGATTTTCGGACGAGCAAATGTAGAAAAATGATGGCTGGACCCTTATTTTTGTGAATTACGATAAGGATGTCACTAATAATTTTTTGAAGAAATTCTTCATTATTATAAATTATAATAATTTATAATGTTCCGAAAATGCGGCTCTTTTTTCGATAAAAATCGAAAAAGTCGATTTAATTTCTAATTGAAACTATTGACCCGATAATTGATAATTCTCCATTAGTATTTAAAGAAAATTGATAGACAACGACAAGGACAGCAGTCTACAAGAGAGTCCCTGGAAGAGACTGTATTAATTTTCAGCTAAGAGTCACTGAATCACGTCATTACAAGAACAGCGCTACTTAAAAATTAAAAAAAGAGAAAAGATACGATGATGGCTGTTTTACTTGGTGTATTGAACATACTCGTGGAGTAATACGATTAGCAGTCTGCCCCGACTTTAGCCAGTTGGGTTACTTTTTGACGCAAAAACTTGATTACTCTTTATTGCAGCTTCGGAGAATAAGGGTGCAAAAAGTTGAGAAAAAAAAAGAGATAATGGAAAATAAAGCGATTGATGATGGATGCAGGGAATGGTTCATCAGTAAGTTTAAGGGAGTCAGCACCTTTTTCGCTGGATTTTACATAGTGACAACCTTAATATAAATTGAGAAAAATAGATCCTTGAACGAATCTTTTTTTTTTCTCGAAGCATATAAGTTAGAAAGGAGCAAAAATTAAGGGTGTCACTAAAATTAATCTCGAAATAAATGCAGTCCAAAAATTGGCTACTTCTATATTATCCTTAAAAACAAAATTATGAATATGACACTGTAAAAAAATAGTAGCCAATTTTCGGACTGCATTTACTTCGAGACTTGTCTCAGTGACACCCTTATTTTTTTTGCTATTTTCAACTTATTTTGCGTCCAGGGGTAAAGGATTCATTCATAGATAATAAATTTTCTCAACAAAACTTAAGGGCGTCATCATGTAAAATCAAACAAAAACACATATAATTTATACAGTAAAGTTTATACTGCATTATACTCTTTTTAAGTCACAATGATCTTTACCTCCCTGCTGGTGCTTTCAATTCTAGCGATTTGCATTCAAGAGCATTTTCGTCGCTGGTGCGAGGGACGGAAAGATTACACCGAAACGGACTTAGTCTGGACCTCAAATAAATACCTCCCTTAAATCTAGTGCTTCTGTTGATGCAAAGCAGTATTATACGTAGACTGGAGCTGAATGGAGCTTATCGCAACCTCAGCCGGATTTTCTAACGAGCGCGGAGCATGTAACTTTTTGTTTTGCCTTTTTTTCCGAAAATTGATAATTACAATCCGGTACGAGATACTAAATCCGAAATGTCGTTTCTCCATATCTCGAACTTTCTTTCTCATACTAACGAAATGGAAACGCTGGATACTAATAAATCTCGACGCTGATTTTGAATGTCTTCTATGCCTTCGATTTCGCGATCGTGATAAGACCTACAAGATCTTGTAACCATAATTCAGGAGACCAAACACTGCTGACAAGATAATTGGTATGCAAGTATTAGCCAAGATCAGTCTTTTTTGGCCGGAAATTCTCAAATTTGGCAATAAAAAAATCGGCTTAAATGGCGATTTTGCTAAAGTAGTTACCCTGCTTCCGTTCTTTTTATTTAAAGTCGACGATTTTATAGTAAAAAATATCATGTAATAAAAAAACTATCTGTATAAAGCAGTGTTTTCTTGGAAAAGGGAAAATAGAAAGTGACGTGTTTCATTATTTTGCATATAAAATTGAGAGCAATCAAATGCATATGCAAAATGCCTATAGCAAAAGAGATTAGCTAACCAAAATAAAGACATTCCATTATTTTCAAAACTCGCTTTAAAAAATGTGCCGACATGAGCAATTTTCGGCACCGCAGAGACAGAAAAAACATCCGGATTTGGAGAATCGAGAAAATAAAATATTATTCTTACGAAAGAAAGCGTTTTCCAAGGAAGAAAAGGAAGCAAAGCAAGAATTTCGCAGATGGTGCAATTTCATCAAACGATGAGCTTTTTGAGCTGAGTGGATTGATTTTTCAAGCGTTTTGGAAAAATTAGGCAGCGTGGAGGGACGGCTTCTTCGGTAGTTTTGGAAACAAGGCGAGGTTGCTTGCTTGCATCATTTTTATTGATTTTGGGACGTTGCGGAATTTCAATGAGTTTAGAAATTACACCAATTTTAATGATTTCTAGCCTCTTTACTTGGGTATAATAAATTTCGATAGCAAATTGGAAAGGAACCGTATTTTTTGAAGATTTTATTTTTGATGGCAGAAAGCTAAAATTTTTTGAATAAATTATTAATTTATATTAAGATTAATTTGAACTTTTAACGATAAGAAATCTAGTAATAAACACTGTTGGCGAATTCATTTTAGTAAATTTCTTCAAGTCAAAAATAAATTTGAAGGAAAATGATAAAACAGAAACGAAATTTTAATATGTTTTAGGATGATTGGTCGATGATCAAACAGTTTATTTTTTTGTTGAATATAGGGTCATCTTTTGATGAAGTAGAATATGAACAGTCCTTCAATAATTTACCATTATCGCTAACAGTATTTAACAGTTGCCTTTGCAAACGTTTTTATCAATTCTTTTGAGTTCATTTTATTTAATACGATCAATTGATTAGTCTTTAGAGGTGTAAGTATAGGTATGTTTCTATAAATTCTTTATCGAGAAAATTATATAGCATTTTATAACAAATTTCATGTATCAAAATACGGAGGCGGAACTAGATATGTTAAGTCATGAGGTCATTTTATATTAACTTTTGTAAGTGAGGATTTTTTTTTGCTTTTTTTCATTGAAGCTATCAAAACTATCGTTATAATAAGCATCATGTAAGAAGAAAATATGAAAAGGGTCAAAAACTTGTGTTTTTTAAATTCGCTGAACAGTTCTGCGCCGAAGGTCGCCGGAAGACATCTCTTGATAGAGCTCTAGAAATCACGAATAAAGATTATAATTTCAAATTTTCGCTCGCCATTATTTTTGTCTTCTTCTGGTAAGAGGCCAATTTTCTCTTTGAAGTGTTTTCCAATATTCTCGGGTCTTTTTTTTTGTTTTTGACTTTTTGATTTTGATATTTTTGAATAAACAATCGCAAATGGAAATCCTCAATCAAAATAAAACCTGACAAGTAAGCCGTCTAAACCAATTTTCCTTTTCATCGAGTTTCCGAGAACGTACAAAAAGAGCAAAATCGCTAAACTAAGTGCTCCAGCCAGTTCTGCTCCGAAAATCTTATCAAAGACCATTTTTCCTTTTCTCTGTCTCTATTTTGGTCATTTTTTATGACCTCTCTATTTTCATCCAGCGATTTTAAGGACCCAAGGACGCTTGGCAGTGGATTAGTAATTGAACCAACGCGCCCGAAATTCACACATTAGTGCGACAAAAAATCTTCTCCAGGCCTTTGAATCCATCAAATGTAGTTGGAAATTTTTTCTCAAAAGTTTAACAAGTAAAACCCTTATTTTGACTATTCTGAGCTTAATTCAGGCAGTCTTAGTTGGTTTTTGGCCAGATTTAATAAAGTGAGCCCCTTATTTTTAACTTTATAGAAAATATGAGAGTAAAACTACTTTTATCATCATCATAATCAAAGAATTAATAGCCAAAATAAGGGGTTCACTTCATTGAATCTGGCACAAAGCGTAAAAGAAGCTCAAAACATATAAAAAATAAGGGTGTCAATAAGATTATTTTTGATTGTAAAGATGGGTAAGGGAATTACGCCCTTTTTTCTTGCTTATAAAAGGGAAAATAATAAGGGGTTCACTTCATTAAAATTTGAAAAAGAAAAATTGCACTGTCTGAATGAAGCTCCAAACATTTGAAATCAGGGTGTCGATACCATAATTTTTCGATTTTATGATAGTCCAAAGAGTCTTGCCCTTATTTCTTTCTTATAAAAAGAAGAAATAAGGGGTTCACTTTATTAAAATTCGACAAAAACTAAAAAAACAGAATAAGGGTTGACAGCAATCAAGTCTTGATCAAAAGGAAATTACGTGTCTTTAGTAATTATCTTTTATTTTCGCGGACTCCGCTAGAAAAACGCTTGTTCGGATCCAACTCACCAGCGCGATAAGAAAGTTTTTGGTGATAATAAAAGAAATCTGCTGGTTTTGGGTTGAGTACGTGTCCAGCAGCGCTCGCGGCATCGCGCCATCAGCGAAAAGCGTCGCCATCTTCAACATTTTTCTTTCTTTTACGAAACTTTAAAACAACCGATAAGGATGTTAGTTTTCAAGTTTTTTGGCCTCCTCGCGATTTCTTCTGCTTCGAAGCCAGTGAGAAAGCAGAACGGAGTATGGAAGGAATTCCTCGATTTCGACGAGTGTGAGAGAGAAGGATTGACCAGCGATTATGGCGAATTGGAGTTCATTTCCTGCGGTGAATATGAACCCGGGAAAGAAGGATGCAACTTGCATATTGAATGCAACGATGAAAATTTAAGGTACTTTTTGAATTTTTTAAGGAGGATTTGGAAGATAGAATTTCGGATTTTTGGCGTTTAAACTAATCAAAAAGAAGATTTCGTAATTTAAGCCAATCAGACTCGAAGATTTTTATTCTTGTCCAATCAGATTCAAGCGTTTATAATGATTAATCAAAAATAATGAATTCTCTAAGTGAGCCAATAAAAAGTAAGAAAAACCTTAATAGACCAATAAGATTCGAGGATTTGCAACGTCAGCGAATCAAAACAACGGATTTTCTGACGAAATAAGACGCCTGTAAAAATGGCCAAAACATCGGATTTCCGGTCCCATTTTTATCAATAAAAATTTTTAGAGGAAACAAGCAATGGCTCTTGGAAAAAGTCAGATGCCGCCAATTCGAATTCACGAAACGCGGCCGAGCTGGACAAATTCGCCGCGCCAACTTCTTCGTTTTCGAGAAATCGCCCTCTGTCCGCGTCAACCGACTTCTCCGGCCAAAACGAACAAATCTCTGTGTATAAAGGATGAATAAAAACAAAAACTCTCTTTTTGCGCCTTGACTGGTTTATTTCAAAAAACGATCAAATGCTTTAATTCTTAGAGCAGTCGCATTCCGCGCTTTTTGAGAATTCGCATGTTCTCGACCAACGGATCGGAGAGCATCATTTTCAAGTCGCTCAGGAAAGCGTCGTCGTTGAAGTTTTGCATGTCATCTTGAAGCTGAACCGGATTTTTACGGAAAACGAAGGGGTTGGAAAGTTGCACCTGACTCATTTCCATTGGAGTAAGAGAATCAAGGAGCTGCTGAGCTCTAGTTGAAGAAGCACACGCTTCAGAAGTCAACTGAAAGTATATCTGTCTTACAATTTTTCGAATGGACTAGGGTTAGGGTCTGACTTTGGGTTGGGGATTGAGTAAGGGAAGAAAAACGATATTTTTTTTGGAAAATTCTTTCAAAATAGGAATTTCGCATGTTTTTGGGGGGTTAGGGCTAGTTGAGCTCTGTAATCTGTGAAGAAAACCTGAGTCAGGGTCTAAAAGATCTCTAATGAAAATCTGCATAGCGGCTTTATTATAAACGAAGCCGCAAGTGGCTCCGCCAAAATTTGAAAATTTACTGAATAAATTATCTTTCCAGCCCTGACTCAGGTTTTCTACACAGGTTCCCGAGCCCTGAGCAAAGCAAGAGGCTAAAGTAAGGGTATTTTTTGGGGAAAAAGCTGACAAAGTAGCAATCTCGTACGTTTTTGAATAATTTTGAGAATATCGCCAATATTGCTAGCCCAGGATTGAAGGCTCTTATGGTCATTACCTGAAAAGCAAAGATAGCCATGAAAAATTTCATATTTTTTTCTGTTATTATTTTTCTTGTTGAGAAAAAAATCTAGTTGGTCCTCTCAACTTTGCTTCGATTTTTAAAGCAAAGGCAATTATGGCGCACTCCCAGCTCTGTATCTATCTATATGAGCATGAAGATTGCCCAAGTGGATGCATTTCCCAATTGAAGCTATTGAAAAATTGATTTGAGGCCGTCGGAATGGAGCACTTTGCTTCTTCATCAAGCCGCCGAGTGACACCATGTGACTCCATGCCGTTCCGTTCGTTCCGCCCATTCTTATCGGGCCATTAACCTTCAGCATTTAATTGAATTGACGCGCTTCCTGACATTTCTTGGCAAATATTTTTCGTTATAAAATTATTCCTCCAGTTCGGTTTTGATCAATTCCAAAATAAAAAAAAGAGACCAAAAAAAATGAAACTATCAGTAGGGCTACTCGCGGCCGCAGCGGCCGAGAGTACCTCCAATGATCAAGGATCAAGAACTGGATATGCCAATTCCGGCAACATCGTCTGCTACTACACAAATTGGTCGCAATATCGCCCCGGCTCTGGCAAATTTCTTCCCGAAGATATTGATCCAAATCTTTGCACGCATTTGGTCTTCTCCTTCGCCAAAATGTGCAATTCAGGTGAGTTCAGATCTGGTCAAGGGAACCTGTGCTGAAACCTGAGTCAGGGTCCTCACACTGCTTTTGGAGAAAATAAGGTTGGTGAAGCCGCTTTGGGGCTTCTCTGTTGAAAAAGGCCGCTACGCGGCTTTTTAGTCAAACTCTTTCAAGACTCTGACTCAGGTTTTTACACAGGTAACCGAAATTTATTCAAGTCTTCACAAGTTCTTATCAATTTTCAGCTGCTGGTTGGACCCTGTGCCCTTACGAGTGGAACGACATGGACGAAACATGGGCTGATGGACTGTACACGCGAATGCGAAATCTCAAGAATCAAAACTCTTCGCTCAAGGTTCTCCTCGCTGTCGGAGGTTGGAATCATGGATCAACTGGTTTTGTCGAAATGGCTTCTTCCACCGCAAACATCGACGCGTTCATCACCAACTCGATGGCTTTTGTGAACAACATCGGCTACGATGGACTCGATCTCGATTGGGAATACCCAGCGAAGACAACTGTCGACAGCTCTCCTCCAGCTGATTACCAAAACTTCCAAACCCTTTGCGAGAGATATCGAGCGCGAATAAACGCCAATCAGCCCGGCTTCATCCTCACCGCCGCTGTCGGAATCGGCCAGGACAAGATTTTCACCATCGACGGAGCTGTTCCTTCGTACAACGTCTCTCACTTGTCCAACAATCTGGACATGATTCACTTGATGGCTTACGATATTCACGGGCATTGGGAGGACGCGACCGGGCATCATGCGATGGCATATACGAAGGAGAGCGATGACAGACTTGGATACACAGATTCGATTGATTGGATCATTTACAACTGGATTGATCAAGGAGCTGATCCAAAGGTTAGCGCTTTTTGATTCTGTTTTCTTATTGGCTGATATCTGAGCCAATAAAAAATAATATCATAGTCATGTCTGTAACGAATAACTTCAGAAATTGGTTCTTGGACTTGGCGCATACGGACGAACTTTTAAACTCGCTGGATCTGAAACAGGTCAGTCTCCTACAGTAACAAGAGTTGCTGATTCTCATTATAAATTCTTTTTAACCCCTTCAAAAGGCTTTCTCGCGCCAGCCTCTCTCGGCTCAAATGGGTATTATTCGGGCGCAGCTGGAACTTATACTCGCGAACCAGGCTACCTCGCGTACTACGAAATCTGCGAAAAGCTCCGAGCTGGATGGACGAGCGTCTATGACGATGAAGCCCAAGCGCCGTACGCTTACGGTGATGGAGATTGGGTCGGATACGATAATCAGCAAAGCATCGGAGTAAAGGTCAACATGGCAAAAAGCTACGGACTCGCTGGAATCATGTGGTGGGCGATCGACGTTGATGACTTCGACGGATCGTTCTGCAATCAAGGAAGATACCCGCTGATGAACTACGCCAAGCAAGTGCTTCTCTCCGACGATCCTGTTCCAACCAATCCTCCAACTACTCCCCACTCGACTCAATCAACCCAATCATCTTCGACCCAAAGCACTCAGCAAAGCTCCACAACAAGCGGCAGCTCCTCTGGAACTTGCGATTCGTCTGGCTATGCTCCTCATCCTTCTGACTGCTCAAAATACATCCAATGCACCAATACTGGCAATATTGAAGGGCAGTGCGGAAATGGACTCTACTGGGATCAATCGGCGACTGCGTGCAACTGGGACTACTTGGTTGATTGTCCTCATGATTGACTTTGACTGAAATATGACTGTAATACATGTTTGAAAAGTTGAATTTGTTTTCAGAGAAATTTTTCTTTGATAATATTTTAATTTAAAGTTTTCATCATTAATAACAGCTCCATTGAAGATCTAAAGATTCGGTACTTTGACAAAGATCATCAAGAACAGATGGAGTTCATCAAAGACCAATAATTTCCTGATTTTTATCTCAGCTGGAAAATCGAAAAGCTGAACTCCAGATGTGAGGGAGGATATAAGCGCTTATGGAAAGTGAATCTTTATCAAATTCGAAATGATGCTTTTATTTAGAACAAAAAACAGTTAATTTCATTGATGAGATTAAATGTTTATCTTTTTAAATACAGATGAATCCAGACGGTCGAGCTTATCTATACTGTATAGACTATACAAGGTTCACTTTTCAGAAGATCAAGATCATTTTTTGGTCGATTTTTTTCAGAAAAAGAGGATTTATAGTAAATCGACTATCAGGATTATGATAATCATAGTGAGAGCTTCTTAAAATGTAAGTTTCTTTAACTGCCCCTAGCTTCTCAGGAACCTCCGAACTAATAATCAAAACTTTCTGTTCAAATTTATTTTTTTTACGAATAACAATAAAATAATAAAAACAAATACAACTCCTAAACGTATTCTTTCATTTTTCTTTTTCATTGAAATCAAGGAAGAGCACGCCTTATTTGAACAAATGAATGAAAATAAAAATAGACTGCCAAAATCAAGTAGCTCGGCCTTTCACTATTTGACGAAACGTCACAGGAACACTGCGACCTTTGTGAGGTCAATAATTCATGATGCAATACAAAAAAGTGGCTGTTGAAAATATTTGCTCTTGCGTGGCGCTAGTCAGAAGAACGTTGAGCTGAAAGCAGGGCTAGTATCATCTGACTGCCAAATATCAAGGTCGAACAAACAGAACTGTTACAGATACGGTCGGAAGAAAGCACAGCCGCAGGTCACTCTGGCGAATTCCATGGAAAGGTAAATAATGTTCTGAGAAAACATTTTCGAAATAATTTTCAACTTGTGAAATTTCCAATTTATCAAAATTTTGATTAAATGGGGTGTATCCCCTTAATTTTGAGCCGAATTTTCAGAACCTCATTTATAAATTTTCTTCGGTAGAGCATAATTCTGATTTCTCAGTATCGAAAATAATAAATTTATAAATTATAAATTATCTAATAGATCAATTTAAATGATATATTTGATAAATAACCAATTAAAGTATAATTGAAAATTGCTTTAACGAAGAAAGTTAATTGATGATGATTGAGATGCTTGAATTCGGCTCAAAATTAAGGGGATACACCTCACTATATCAAAATTAATGTTTTTTATCATATTGATAATAATTTCTAATAAATTTATTCTCAAATTTTTCTCAAAAATTATAATCCAAAACAAAAAAATTCTAAAAAATTTTCCCTATATTTAATACATCGTTTAGTACATCGTATTTCAAAAGTTCTAAAGTTCGCCTCGACTCCTCGATAAGTGATAAGCCCAACTCTTATCATTTCGCTCGACTTTCGAAAATCCCGTTTTTTCCTTCAATAACCCTTGTCCGAAGCTGCTCCACCAAGAATAGACCGCGCTTTATTTTTGGCGTTAAACACCACCGAGCTCGTTTTGTCAATTGTTGATTAGGCGGCACCACACCGCGCAGCGCGGCGCGGGCTGGTGCGTCAATCACGTGGGAAAAGTATTTCGCAATTTTCTCCCTCTCTTTTCGCGAAGGAAAAAGAGATCATCGTTGAAAAGAGCGAGAGAGAGAGAGACTCGCGCGCTACTACCACACCAGAAATAAAAAAAAATATAAGAAAGGAATTTACTTAAAAAAAGCTTCGTTTTTTCGCCTTTTCTGCTTTTTAACCTATTCATGCGCTTTTTAACCCACCGCAGCACGAAAAGAGAATAAAGGGAGAAAAGAAAAAGGTGATTGTTTTTGGCGAAAATGGGTGTGGTGACCCTAATTTCGAAATCGTTCTAGTTCGGTTATTGTGAAATGGAAAGTTTACAAATGATTTCGAACTCGTTGTCTTTTGTGAAATTCGCGAAATAACGAAATTTTGAAATTCGCAAGGATTTTGAAATACTACTAGACCAGAAAGTGGGGAAAGAATGTGGCATTCCGTTCCAATGTGCTTGAAAAAAACGTGACTAGGGGGAGGTCGCGGACGTAAGTTCAAACAATGTACAGTCCGATTGCGTAATTTGTCCTGTTTTCCAATTTCGGGGCTATTAAATTTCTGGCTTTCGCAATCAATCTCAAGGGAGGAAAAAAGAGACAGTTTCCGGTTGAAAAATGGCCAAAATAATAACCATTTTGACGATCCATTTTTTCGTAATTGACCTTCTTCCTAAAGAATTAACCAAGTGACACCCTTATCACAAAAATTCAAGCTTTCTAGTCAATCACATGCCTCTCTTCTTTACTTGTCTCTCATTGTTTCATCCTTTTTTCGTCTGTTCAGATTGCCCTAGACATGAAAAACTCCGTCTGGCCAGGGCAGGGCGGTCTAATTTGCATTCTTGTAAATAATCTCGAAAATTTGCGAGATTAATCTTCTTTGGAAAAAGATTCTGGGATTAGTCAAGACTGGACTAGTTTCGAGATTAATCTTTTTAGCGAGGGTCGCGTGGCTCGGGGGAAAAATTTGGGTGGCGCTGGCGAGCTGTGAGCAGTGCGAGGCGGCGCGGACAAAATTTCAAGCTGCGCTCCAAGCATGTTTGAGTTTCATTTTTCTCTCGCGCCGTCGGCCATTGGTCCACCAATCACAGCGCGCGTTTCAAGATTATTTGAAATAATCTCGGAACTATTTCGAAAATTTCCCGAATTAATCTTTTTTATTCAAACAGACTAATCTCGCGTCGAGATTAATCTTATAAGAATAAATGAATAGTCTTCGGAAAAAAGACTATTTACAAGAATGCAAATTAGACCGCCCTGGGCCAGGGTCTTAATTTGCCTCCGTCCCAGACGGAAAACCTCCGGATCATGCTAAAAGGGCACAATAAACGTCAAAAGCTCGTCCAAACGCTGCCCCAACAATTTCACAATCAACCAATTTCTTCATTTACAACCTGACCTATAAACTAACCGCCAGACCACTCGGCTGCCAACCATCAACTTGCCTAGGAAAATCCACCAGACAAGACCTTCAACTTTTCTAGTACCAATTTTCAGACTTTCCACCCCCTTTTTTCAACCTTTTCCCCCTCCCCACCCTTCCTCCTACCCTCTCTCGTTCGAGGGGGAGGGAAAAAACCACCAGAAAGTTCAACTTTTCACCTTTTTTTAAAAAGTTCACTCTCGAATGAAAGAAAAACCGTCCAAGTCGTAATAATCGTGGTGGCGCGGTCGAGCTGAAACGCGCCCCGCTTTTCTTCCTGCTGTCTATCGCTCCTCTCCAGAACGCACTTTTCAATTAAACGACAATTTTAAAATATTAAAACTTTCATTTTCAAACTTGAAACTTCAATTCATCGATTGATTTGGAATCAACAAGGACTCAATTCAGAAAAACATGAGCTCCAGAGAAGAAGAAGCTGAAGAACACTCTTACTTAGAACACCTAGATGATCAACTCGATGATACTGTATCTGACAGTGAAGAAGCCCAAGCCTGCTGTACCCAAGCACCAAAGAGAGAACGAAGGGCGCATCAGATTTCGGAGAGCAAGACCGTCCGGGTCAATGAACCGAGCGTCATTTCCAGGGTCACCAACAATGTATTCGCTTTTCGAGATGATTCAAGGGAAGACCAGCGGCTCTGTAAGGTAAGATCGCTCTATTACAGTTCTCCCTTTCGTTTCTCTTAAAATTTAAGAAGTTCAGACAATGAACTCAAGCGAGAGTTCAACCCTCTTTTTTGTGTAAAGTTTACACTGTAAACAAAACTCTTCTAAAAGGACATTTTTGATGCCTTGGAAATTCAATGAAAATAGAAATAAGGGATTCTTGGGTCATTTGGGATTTCGCATTTTCGAAATAGTTCTAAATTAGAATTTCGACATAGAAGCGAGAATTACGCAAAACGGGCGGACCGAGCCGCGGGCCATGGGAGAGGCCTTGTTTTGCAACGACCGTTCAAACTATTTCGAAATTTTTTGATTACTGTTTGTTCTTTATACAGATTTAGTGGCAAGAATCAATGATCAAATCCACCAGGGGGGTTAACAAATCAATTAACTAAAGGCTGCTAAAATGCATAAAATTTTAACATTGATTTTTTACAAAAAAAAAAAGAATAAGACAGTAATACCCTTAACAAAAAATCAAGTGTATCTCTTTCGTTATCTCAGATAACTTATCTGCCAATTTGAATAAGCTTTGAACCTTCTTATTATAAAATGAATTTTTATAAAGATTTTCTTTCAAAATTATCGCCGGTCTGACCCTTATTTTTCAGGTCCACTACGGCGAACTAGACGAGGACTTCCGGGAGGAGCTATCCATCATCAACCGCCTTAAACACCCCTGCTTGACCCCGATCGAGGAGCTTCGCCATAAACCGGAAGTCGGCTCTGTAATCATCTACAAAAAGAGCTCTGGCAATCTTCGAGGTAACAATTTAATCGACACCTCCGCGGTTTGGTTTTATCAAACGCGGTTGGCTTCAAACTTGGCCTGATCAAGTTTGAAAATCGAGTTCATTTTCAAATTCAGATTTCATCGAGCAGAACGGACCGATGAGCGAAAAAGTCGCTTCGAAAATGTTTCGCAAAATCGTGGATACAGTCGACTACTGCCATCAGAAGAATGTCGGGCTTGGGAACAACATCAGACTATATCATATAGTTTACGATGATGGACACAGGTACGTTCAAAATATTCATAAAATGTCCTAAATATGCATTTTCCCACATAAGATATAATTTTATTTCTGAATAAAAATATGTTACGAAAAAGATATTTTCATTACAAAAGATGAATATTCAGCTTTCATAACATTTTTCAATCTTCATTCCCATAAACATTACCTAATATAACATCATCGAAATTATTTTGATACACAGAAATCGAAATTTGAACACAATATCTTTGAAATAGTACATCAATCGTTTCATAAATCAAATGAAATATTGTAAAAAACTCATAAAAAAGTCGGCAAAATAAGAAATGAAAGCAACAGGTATCGCTTGTTTTTTGGTTCTTATAGGTAATCCTAGTCTTTGATTGGTTAAATTAAGTTAAACTGCCATCTGATTGGCTTAAAATCCCCATAACCCGCACTGACTCTGAGCTGCGGTACCCTATTGGCTGCTAGACTTGCCAACCTATCATTTTCTCTTTCCGAAAAGACATCAACTCGTAAAAGCTTTCAACAAACTTTTCAGCTCTCAAATCCGTTTTGACATGCTTGACTCCCCGATCGACACGAGCGATTCTCCGGTCACCTCTCTTCGAAATTACTCGGTCTTCTACTGTGCTCCCGAGCTCATCTTCGACATCGAAAACGACTTCGACATCGTCAAAGCAGACCTCTGGTCGCTGGGAATTCTCCTCTTCAAGATGCTCACCGACAGCTACCCCTTCCACGACACAGACCTGAAAAAGCAATTCACGCGCATCTGCCACCAGCGACTCCCTCTACCCGGCCATTTGTCGACCTCTGCGCTTTCCGTTCTCGCGAGTCTGCTACACAAGAATCCCGAGAAGAGAGCGACTCTCGAAGACCTCAAAAACCATCCCTGGCTCAATTCGAATTCGGAAATTGATGAGCCCAAATCAGTGCTATTTTAGACTAGCACGAGCTTAAAAAAACGTTTCAACTTTTTTCTGACCTCGATTTTTTCAGCAATTTTTACCTATATTCATTCCTATTTACCTATATTATTTTATATTTATTCCAATAAAGCTATAAACCCTAGGCTCAGCAACCTGTGAGAAAAACCTGAGTCAGGGTCCCCTACGCGGCTTATTGAAAAGCCTTTTCGAGACCCTGACTCAGGTTTTTACACAGGATTTTGAGCCAAGAAAAAAAAACGAGGTAAGTTCTTGCCAAAAAAGCTTCTTTTTCCAAAAAGCTACTACTGTAAATAGACATCTTCAAACGACAAAAAAGGTCTTATCTACTGTAACTTTTACACTGAACCCTACAGTCTTTTTCCAGCTTTCAGTTCTAGTTGCCTTGTTTCTTAATTTTTTATCTTCTATTTTTTTAACAGCTTTCTGTTGAATCTGTAGCTGTATATTTTTCTTGAGCTGTTACTGTAAATATATGAATATAAAGAATACAAATATAGTTGCATCATTTCCTTTCCCACTCTTGGGAAATAGAATTGCGATTGATAATCAACGATTTACTATTTCGATCGGGTGGGAAATTGACTTGTTTTTGAGATTCGAAAATGATTGCTTCAGAAAAAGAGAGGGTTCATTTTTTATCACAAGGGTTTTTCGACTGTAACTCCTCGAATTAGACATAAATACTTAAGGATACACACCTCGATAGAACCATTGTTTGATGCTATTTCTGATGATGCCAAAACCTGCGAGATTCTTAAGGGTGTCAACGAGATAGGACCGTTTTTTGATGCTCTTTCTGATGATGCCGAAACCTGCGAAAGTCTTAAGGGTGTCAACGAGATATAGCAAAGAAGGTTGCACCAATTTTTTGGCATCCAAACCATCCTTTTTTCGATTATTTTTTGGCATCATGCTGCTGCAAGTTTATTTTTTGAAAATCGAATAAGAGCAACTCAATAATTAAAGTATAAAAGATACAGATATGTAGCTAAAGACATTTGTTTGGATTTGAAACGGAGAATTGAAAGTTGAAAATAGCGAGATTTTGAAAAAGAAAAATTATGAAGATCAGTTTTTTTGTTTGTTTTTTGTTGTTGTAAGTTGGATAGTAAGATACTTTGCTTGCTTTTCAGGTTAAGATAAATGATTAGGCATTTTGATGGATAGAAATAAATAAACACAGAAACACGCGAAAATGAATTGAAAAAGTTGAGAACAAAAAAAGGGTTGAATTCGTAATGATAGGAGTATGAATTTTTTACAGATGTAGTTTTTTTTTTGAAAATAAATAATAGTAGCTTCTTTTTTTGGCTTCGGACACAGTGCCGATTTTTTCGATTAGAAAATTTTATGAATTTTTTTATATATTTTGCGAGCGCGATGAATAGTTTAATTGATTCTAGCGGCGATTTTCACTTTGGCCGTCTTTCTTTTTCGCGAATCTTGGTCGGATCTTCTTCTGTCGCTCTTCATCCCTGAACCGCCACTTCTTCGGCTAGAAAGAGGCATGAGTTGATTGATTATTGGTAATAATGGACTCTTTATTTTTACACTTTAATATTTACACACAAATCGAGCAATTCTATTGTAGAAAAAAAAACCTTCTCTTTTGAAAACAAACTCACTTGGATGTAGGACTCTCTCTGTCTGAATTCCCCTGTCGTTGGCTTGCCAACCCCCCTCGGCTTGTAAAACTCTTTGGTCGGCCTTTTGCTCTTCGAGCCAGAACTTGATGGAAAGGAATCGGTCCCTCTTGAGCCGGTAGAGCTGGCATCGTTGATGTTCACATTTCTCGCGTTCACTCGATCCGGCTCGCCTAAATTAGCAAAAGCGCTTCTCATTATTCTCGGCATTCCGAGAATTCCGCTTCCTGCGGACATTCGGTTCATTCGCTCACGCCGCTGTTTTCTGTCGCTTTCGCTTTCTGCCTCTGATTTTGGCTCCTTTTTCGATCTTAACATCAAATAAAAATGATGATCTGGGATTTGGGCCCGAGTCAGGGTCCTGAAAAGCCAAAATCGATTTTGATAAAGCTCCTGCCAGGAGGAGCCTCCTGCAAGACCCTGACTCAGGATTCTACATATACACAGGTCGCTAGATCGGATCATTAATGCTGTACCTAGTTCTGTTGTCATGATCATCCCTCGGCCTCGGCATATCATCATTATTATTTTTATCGGATAGATAATTCGCCGACGATGCCTTTTCCGACGGAGCATTTTTGCTCTCCGAAATGTCCGGAAAGTTTTCCTCGTAATTCGCTTTCGCCGAACTGTCCGAGTTTGACCTTCTTTCTTTGTTTGTGACTTGGTCTGAGGATCGTCGATACTCGACTTTTCGATCTTTTCTGATCGGCGAAAGTTCTTCTTCTGAAAGAATCGAGCTCTCGCCGTCGGAAATGACGCCGATGGAGCTTTGTTCGTCGGGAAAGAAAGATTGCTTGCCGACGCTAGAATTCCTGCTTTTCTGCGCGGGAGGGGGCTGAATCTCAATAAAAAAAGTGCTGGGAAAAATGAAAATTACCGGCGTTGGTTCGACGATTTTGATTCTAGGGACTTTGTTCTCCCAGTGCTTGTTGACCCATCTTCTGTACTCAATAACATCGTCGTCAAAGTTCAGAATCTTCGCCAAAATCGAGCCTGTGTTGTGATAGCTCGCCTGTGGTGCCACTGCCCGGCTCAGGACCATGAAGGCGTAGTGGAACTTTTCCTTCATTTCTAGCGCTTTGTAGGAGGATCTGAAAGAAGGGATGAGAGAAATGTTCAGCTCCAGAAAGTGGGCAACCTTCCAATATCATTCCACTCAGTAAGAGGATCTTCAATCGACAGAAAAGCCGGAACCTGTCCGCGACTCTCCATCTGCTTCGCCATCACTTGCTTTGGGATAAAAGCGCCGCCGGATTTTACTCTAGAATCGATTGGCAAAGCGAAGAAGTGAAAGTCTTACCTGATAGAGCAGTTTTCATAACTGTAGTTTTTGCCGTAGAGCTCAAAAACTCGATGAGAAGGAGTCCAAGATTCGCGTTTTCGGGACTTGTCGCTTGAGCGCCTCGCGGATGATTTTGGAGGAAGCAGAGGACCATTAGAATCAAACCATAGGAAGAAATACCGCCGGTCCAGACTTCGTTTAAATTTTGTTGCAGGAGGAACTGCTTGAGAACGAGGACCAGGACGGGGAGGACTTGGTACTCGCGGATAAAGGTCTTTTATATGGTTCGCAAAAGGGAAGCTCTGGTGAGTGATGAAAGAACTAAAAGGAACCAGACCTTGATGAGTGAAACAGATTGGATTCCAGTTTTGACATTGAAGGAGATATCGACCTTGATGTCTGACAACAAATCTCGCATCTAAGAATTCCCTTTCAGCGCTAGAAAAAGGCATAAAACCCACCTTGACAATAGGAACAGAAGCGCCCATCAAAACTTTTAGCGTGAGCGGCTCCGCAATTTTTGCCTCAATGAGCGCTATCCTCAGCGCTTCGTAAGGTTGCTGGTTAAGATTGGAACTTTCAAAGTCGCAGATGACCATGTCGATGTCGGAAGTGGGGAGATTCAGTCGGGTTTGAAAACTGCCGTAGATTTCTACTTTTGAGCCGGGGAAGAGCTTTTCAGAGGGCGGAAAAATGAAAACTAGTAAGAGAAAAGAAGAGCTCCAGTCAAAAATATGGGTATCATTGCCAAAACTAAGGAAAAAAACCGCCCATTCCTTTGCTATAACTTGTTGCACTCGAGACACCACCTCGTATCGCATGATATATTCCTCTGGCGTCTGCTGAATCCATCTGAAAAACACATTTTTCCCCACTCATTGAACCATTTTTGTACCTGTAATAGTCGAGTATTTCATCATGGAGTCCATCAAAGCCGGGTAAATATCTCGTTCTCGTCGGTAGCGCCCAAACCGGCAGTCCCGCTTCATGCCTCGGCAGCGGACTGACTGGGACGCCGCCAAAAGCGACCCTTGTCAGCGGCGAAAGTTCATTAATTCCGACCGAATTTAATCGCTCGAGTTTCTTCCTCCTCAAATCGGCCAGCTCAGCAGCTGAGTGCTCGGCGTAGCCTTTGATGTTCGTGTTTTGTGGCGCGTTTTGAGCAGAGCCGCCATTTTCACCGTTTTCGCCCTTTTCGACGATCTCCCAGAGGCGCTGCCAGAGGTCAGTCGCCGGACAGAATTGCTCGGGTTGAATCCATGGGATGTTCGAGTCCATCAAATCAGCATCTGAAACATTAAAGTTTCAAAATTGCTCTTTCCTTAAAAATGGAGAGACAGAAGTTGTTCCCCGCTAAGATGAGACCCCTTATTCTAAAAGTTATTTTTTCATATTTTAAATTTATAAAAATTCTCTGTAGTACCTTGCTCTGAAGTTAAATATACTGTAGCTTGATGCTGTTCAAAATGAAACATTCTTTTTTTTTTTATTTTTAAAATTGCACCGTTATCTTTGGAGAAATTATTGATGAGAGGGGGAATATTCTGGAGCTGTTACGTCATGACGTAAGAGAAGGAGGAGGATCGAAGAAAATGTAAATGAGCCCGACTGTAAATTGGTTACTGGGTACTGTAATTAGACAACTGAAGAAGAACGAATTGGTAGATTTTGAACTTTGAATGGCACTCCTCGTTGATTTCAGTTTTTCAATTTTATTGAATGAATACAGATCTTGATCGAAGAAATAATGGCTTGGGTTGAGTACTTTTATACAGAAATAATAAATGAATGGGAAAGATACAGGTTCAGCCAATTTCTTCAAGTCGGCGAAGAACCAGATCAGCTGGAGGGCGATATTTTGGATCCTGATCGAGCATTTGCTCTACCAGCGCTTTCAACTAAAAGCAATCAATAGAGAGACGATTGGGCTTTCGACTTACCGGTCCAGAAACATCGTCTAGTCTCCTTGTGTCAAAGTTAGCGCTTTGAACGGCCAAATGAACAGAATCACCTTTCAACCAAACGGAATCAAAAGGACCTTCGAGATAAACCAGCGAGTACAAAATGCATCCCACCGACCAAATATCTGTAGCAGTAGTGATACTCTCACCCACCGGGACAGCCAAGAGTTCTGGTGCTCGATAAGGGAGTGTGCACCTTAATCGCAATTAACAACGCGCCGCCCCTAAGGTTCAAACCTTTCAGAAGCAAGATCTTCGAGAGTTTGCGCCTCCTTCTTTGTCGAAATCTTGACAGTGGCCTCTGCTAGACTTCCAAGGTCGCATATGACTGGAATATTTCCCTCTCCCAGGAGGATATTCGCCGGTTTGAGGTCCCGATGAACCATCCCTGCTTCGTGGATTGCATTGACTCCTTCGACGATGCCTCTGAAGAGTCGTACGATTTCGTTGAACTTGAGCGTTTTTCCCTCTCCCTTGAGTTTTTGGTAATGATCCCAAAGCGTTCCTTTGTCGAAATATTCTAGTACCAGCCAAACTTCGGAATACGGTGATTTCTTGACCACCTCAAATGACCGGCATTTGATGATGTTTTTTGAAGATAAACTCTTAAATTCCCCATTTTACTTTCTCCTTAATGTTTTTTTTCGACAAACCTGAGTAGCTTTAGCTTCATCAAGTGCTTCCTTCTCCGACTTTGAGTCGTGGCAGATTATTCTTTTCAAGGCATAGAACTTTCCATCCTTGATGTTTTCAATTTCGTCGACATAGCTGAACGCTCCCTCCCCAAGTTGACGATGCTTGATGTATTTTTCCCCAGCGATTACAGTGACACCCACTCCGCACAAGGTTGAGCCGATTCGAGACAGTGCCTTACCCATATCAACATCTGAAATTGCAATGACAGAATTTGAAATATTTATTTTGAATATCCATCAAATTGAGAAATTAGTCCGTGATTCAGGAAACGCTTCATTGTATACCGGAACCTATTCGATCTAAACAAAAACAGAATGCTGGAATTCGAATCATTTTAAAAATAATATATTAATATAAAACTTATTATTTAAAGATTCAGTCCTTTTAAAAACATGGGGAAACTTCTTCTGAGACTTTGCGATTAATGTGCTTCATTTTATTATTTTGGCAAACATCAATTTTTTGTAAGAGTATTTTATTTATTTTCATTCAATTTTACAATTCATTATAACGTCAAAATATTATAGAAAATGACGGCAGCCTGTGTTAATCCAATTGCTACATTGGCAGGATTCGGCCAAACTTGCCACCATCTCATCCAGTCAAGCACCAACACTGGCGCGCTCAGGAGATGGGCAAACACAACTACGGTGAGTCCTAATTTACGATTGCTAGAATTCGAAACTGTTGCGGCAAATAATGACCAAATAAGAACGTCGATGGGGGACTGGGGGAAGAGTTTTTGGCCGAAAGAAACGGAGAGACAGTAGAAAAGGATCATGTCTTGGAGCATCGTTGAAAGGCGAGGAGAAGTGAAGATAAATGCGAGGAGAATGTATAAAATAGGACAGTAGGTTGTCAAAAGATTTGACTGAGAAGAAAAGATGGTGGAAAAGAATGGCAGAAGAAGAGTCAAAAGTTCCAGAATTGTTTTAATAGAGAATTCACGCCGTTCCGATCGAAGAAGCAGCTTGAAATCAACGAGGAATGATTTGAATTCGTGGAAGTCTTCCATTTCCGAGTTTTTCTGAACACCATAATTACCGACTTTGTTTGTAGACATGGTGGGTTATCAAGCATTTTTGAAGTTAACTTTTCAAAATCATAAGGTCGAAGATGTCACACAACTTAGGACACCTCTTGAATTTCACAAAGAGTGGAATCATGAAGTCACAAAGTTATCCCTGTCTGAGCCCTACTACTCTTTCAAGGAGGCGTATCATACACTCACACGAGTGTAAGTTCTAGTTAAAAGCTGTTGAAAGTCTATCATATTGAAAAATTGATTCTGTTGAAAACTTACATTTTCAATCGAGAAAGTAAGGTATTTCCCAACTTATTCCCGACTGACTGATTCCAACATCGAACTTATCTGAACGTTTCTTTTGATCGAGGAGCCATTTCTTCAGAAATAGATAGTTTATTATGAGCAAAACAGTTGGTTGAAGACATATATAATTGATAAATTTTCGGTGCAAGCTTCGAAGAACAAAAAATAGTATGTAAAATTGTATAAAAAAGCTGGGGCTTTCATCATTGAATATTGATTTGTTAGTAATAGGTTCTTTGTTGTTTGAAATTTTGAGGAATCACGATTCGATGATACATGTTACAAAAAATTTTATGTATTGATAAGTTGATCATAGGTAGACATTACTGTGACAGTAAAATTCAGTCAGGAATGAACAAAAATTAATTCTCTAAACATTTTCTTCTCCGATTTCTTGGGCAAAAGGTTTGAACTCCGGTTCCAGGACCAGTTTCTTCCTCCAGTCGACCACCAGCGCTTTCTTGCCGCAAAAATCCAACTCGAAGAAATCGAGAAAATTTTGGAACACGCCGCGGTTGAATGAGTTGTGGACGATGCCGCCGTTTCTGACTGTTAAATAGCTGTAACGATGGGCACGGATGCGCTCGTTGGTCGTGACGCCTTGGACGAGGACGAAGTTGAGCTGCGTCACGAGAAGGAGGGAAACCCAGATGAGATGAAGGCAGGTGTGGAAGAATTGCCAAGTGACGTAGCCAGAGCAGGCGAAGGCGCGGAGGATAGAACCGCGCTGCGAAAAGCTAGAAAGGATTGAATAATGGGCATTTTCAAAGCCTTTGGTCGATATTGCCGTCTACTCTTACTGTACTTACTCGACGTTACAGCCCTGTTCTGAACCCCAGTACAGTGTAATTGCATAGAAGTGCCAAGATAAGTTCACGATCAGCAAGGATAGGTACATTATAAAATACTAAAAAACTGTCAGATCGAGTAACAGAGGAAAATTGTTACTTTGTGATTGCCAAAGCCGACAGCATTGTTGACCCACGGACAGTAGTGATCGAATCTTGCGATGAGTTTTTTCGAGGTGCCGCAGTACTTTGAGCGAAGAGGACGCTAGATAATGATAAAAAGAAAAGAAGGGAGTTTTTTCTTACTTTGATAAGAGATGAAGTGCAGAGGGTGGAAGAGTCGAGTTTTTCGGCTTCGGCCAGTTCAATAATTGAGCTGTATTGGACGTTTCTGTCGGTTGGAATGTAGCCTGGATCGGCGGTGACAGTCTTGAAGGGGTTAACAGCTCTGATAGGGCGGGGCGTACTTACTTTGTAGAAAACATAGTGCAGCAGAGGTGTACAAATAAGCGTGCCGAGCCATCCAACATTAATGACGGGCCAGAGAATCAGGAGTCCGACCCCGGTGATGTACGTTTTTGTTGCTTCGGACCAACAGATTGGCATTTTTAGACTCACTTCGCTAGAAGGAACGGCCTACGAACTTGTTAGACAAGGAAACGAGGAGGATAGGACTTACGATTTTGATTACAAGAAAGACGAATATATACAGACAGATAATGGCAGCGAACTTTGATGCCCATGGACCAAGGTAGATGTTGTTTGTGTGGAAAACGAAGCCAGCTAGAGAGAAAATAGCAAAGGAAAAGATGGTATAAACTCACCAGCAACTAGAAAGAAGAGCGAGACAGCGTACAAAAGGCCGGTTCTTCTGGCCTTCGAGCTGAAAATCCTCCTTACACCTCTTGTTCTTGTTATTCCACGATTTTCCAGCTCAGTTTCAATCTGCTCGGCCATCCATTCTTTTTTGCCCGAGGCGAGTGAAATCGGCGAATTGCCCTTGCCATTGTGTTGTTGTAGGTCTTTCGTGATTTCGAGCAGTAATTCGAATGAATCAGGGCTGAAAATTAGGATTTCTTCAGTGATTACTGAAGATAAGTTACCTTGGTGTCTCGATGGCAAAATGAATTGGCAAGTTTCTGAATTTCCTATCAACCAAATTTGGATCGGCGCCGAGTCCAAGCAGCACTCGGACTGTATCAGGTCCCCTGCTGCGCAGAACAGCCCACATAAGAGGAGTTAACCCATTTGTATCGTACGTATCCACATCGACCCCCTTCGCGACTGAAAACCCATTTAGTCTCTTAGCCCATTTAGGTATATTTACCAAGATAAGCGACGATCGGCCAGAATGAGTACTGAGCAGCGACGTGAATAGCGGCCGATCCTTCTCCATCGCGAATTGACGGGTCAGCCCCGTGGCGCATCAGACAAGCGATCATGCTACAGCGGATGAAATCTGACAACATAATTTTTTCTACCTTTGATGGCCTTGTCGGACAGCCCATTGAAGAGGAGTGGCGTTCAAGTCGCCTCCGATTGCATCGACAATGGCTCCTAAGGTCGATGAAGATGGTTTGAAATCAAGGAAGAGTACCTTTTGAAATGTAGTAATCAACGACATCGTGTCTGTTGTTAATCGCAGCCCAGTGAAGTAAAGTGATATTATCCTTGTCTGGCTTACGTACGTCTATTCCTTCTTCCTCCACGATATCCTAAAAGAAGGGATGAAAAGGAAAAGATGGGGGTTAATCCTCCACCTTGCATCTGGTAAGGATCCCATATTGTGTGGCTTTGACAATATCCCAGTGATTTGGGTCATTTGGGTCGACAGCTACTGGTGCTGTGTCTACGATTTCTTGATTGTTCATCTTTATTTCATTCTAAAATAAGGGCTGAAGCTGGTTGAGCCAAGGGAAAATAACTGGTAGCAGTTTGTACTGATGTACAGAGCAGTGGTAAAACGCGCAGATAATCTGTAACTGGAACGATAATACAGATGGACATGTCAATGGACAAAAAATTGTTTATGTTTTCTTGAGACTGTAGAGCTTCTTTTTGTCCTTGGTTTCTGACACGAGCGAGCCTTCCTCATTCAAAGCTTTCATAATCTTCCCGATTCTAGAAACGATTAAAACTGTACTTGTTAGTATGCTGTACCTTTCGATGGTTTCGTCCTGAGTCAAACCAGTTTTCTTCGTCTTGAATTTCTTCAAGATTTCCTTCGTCGTCAGAGGCTTGAGAGCAAGAACCTCTCTAACGGCTTCGAGAGAAATTCCAACGCCACCGGAAGAGGGGCCAGGAGAATCACGCGATTTTTTGGCAGAGGTGGAGTTTGGAGAAGCTTGGTCGCGCACGCGCTTGAGGCTTGAATGAGTTGGCGTCGGGGTTGCCCGTTTCTAGAGGGAGAAAAGTAGAGAAGAAAAGGTAAAAAGGTTTACCTTGTCGGTCGGAGTATTCGGCCGAGAAGTCTTTTGATTTTGGGAGAACTTGAAAAGCGCGGATTTTGAAACGATGTCCTCGATGTCTGAGTCTTTTACATCTGGATCGTCTTTGTCCTAGAAGCAAAATCAAAAAGGAGTCGAAAACGAAGGGCGATACTTCTATTTCCTGAGTTTCTTTCTTTGTTTCCTCTTCTTCCTCTTCGTCCCCACTCGATTCGGACAGCTCCCGGTCAGAAATGTCTTCGTTGATCCCCTTTAATTCCGGCTTGTCATCTTCTTTGAGCTCAAAGTCGGATGAATCATCGGACATGTAGTCGACTTCATCACCCTCTCCGTCTCCATCATCAGAATCTTCGAACGCCGCGTCCCCCTTTTGTTTGCCACCGAGGTTCTTTTTGCCTCTTCCCGCTTTTGTCCGATTCGCCGCAAATTCGTCCTCGTCGAAGCCCATTTCGTCGACGTTTTGATGAACCTACAAAATTATAGACGGGTGAAAGGGACAAAATAGTACCTTTAGATCAGATTTGGAAGCCCCTTCTTCTTCGTCCCCGTCTCTTTTTGCTTTCATAAGATTGAATTTGTTCATGATTTGATCTCTCCTGTCCCATTCTGCCTCTGCTTCTTCGTAGTTCAAAGTTCGGTGGCGGATATCAGGTCGAAAGTTGTACCAGTCCTAGGATGACTCGGTTAGAGAAGGATCCATTTCAAATAGACTCGTACCTCAATTTTGAAAGCTTCAAAAATCTGTCCTTCCTTCTGATGCATAACAAAATACATGCTATTCTGCGTTACATCTCCCTCTCGATTCCCCGTAAATTTCCTCGGCTTCTTCTTCGCCGCTTTTCCTCCCTTTCCTTCTTTTTCAAAATCCGAGAGGGTCAGTTTCCATGATTGAGCGTCAATGTCAAATTTTTGAATGCGATGTCCGAGGGTCATTTTACGAGCGATTTCTTTCTCGCGAGCTCGGTATTCGGAACCTTCTCCGAACTGAGGAAGTGCTTCGGATTTGAGATCGTATGCGCGCTTTTTGGACATGTCTCGCTCAATTTCGACGTCTCGTTTGTTCCACTTTTTGAAGGGGTTTTCTGTGGTGTTTGATGCGGGAAAATACATCTTCGATTATCCAAATACATCAAGAGACATCTGTAGACATCTGCAGACCTCAAAAGACATCTAGAATGACCTTAAGATAGCGCTACAGTCCAAGAAACATCTTTTAACAGCTCAGATAAACTTAAGAACTATTGAGACATCTTGAAGAAAACCCGATCCTGTGGCATGTCAACGGGAACATTGAACTTCATCATACTGTATTTCCTAGTGCTGCGCGAGACATGAACCGAAAATGTACTCACATCGTTTTGCATCTTTCTGAGAATCAAAAAATATAAAATCTTTCTTTGAAATATCATCTCGGTAGTACATTAAAATAATTAAAAGAAGAAACAACCAGCATGTCACAAGTGTGTTGATGACAGAAATTAAACTCTTTGGCAGTGAAAAAAGAAAGAGAAAGGAAAAGATACGGAGAAGAAAATTGGTTTAAAATTGGTTTTAGAATTTTCGCTGTTGAAAAACTTGTTGCTGTCCAGTCGCGTATTTATTGCCAGGCATCATGTTCGGCTGCTGACGGATGTTTTGCATGTTTGGTCGTTGGTTTTGAAAGTTCTTGGAGAAATGAGCTTGCTTCAACTTTTCTTTGTTTACCTGATTTTGTCTTTCAGGCTCATTTTGCTGCTGTTGCTCGATTCGTATCCTCTTGGTTGGCGGTTCCTCTCCTTTTCCAGCAGGACCAGCTTGAGCTTTTGCTTTATCCTTTTTTCTTTCCTCGTCCGTGAGAAATTCGCGTTTGGGATAAACTATCGGGCCATCGCCAAATGCGTCCTCTGAAAAAGAGTTGTAAAAATTGATCGATTTTCGATCCTACCAAGTGGGATTTCGTCCTTTTCTCTGAAATAGTAATCTTCCATCGCCGCTGCAGAGGTCATTCGCTGCTTTGGATCCATGATCAACAAGCTAGAATCGTTAAAAAAGGGTTGAAAAGCGGGGAAACTCACTTTTTGAGCAATTTAAAAGCATATGAATCTTGCCGCAACCGATGCTTGTCCATGTATCCAGCCAAACTCTTGCCGCTGAAGTCAACTCTTCTAAAGTCTTTTTGAAACGTCATGTGCTCCGGCATCTTTTTGATATCATCCCAGTCAGCAGGAAGGCCCATGACTTGGAAGATTTTTTCCAGCTGATCGTGGTGGTATGGATTCGAAGTTTTGATGTCTTCTTGGCGGCAGTGAAAGATTGGCTCGGAGGTGAGCAGTTCTGCGAAAATACAACCTTTCTCACGGTTCAATTTCAATTTTTCGACAAAACGAGGGGTCAAAAAATGAAGATGAACCGTTCCCTATCGCCCAAATATCAATCGCTTTCGTATAATGCCGCGCTCCAAGGAGCAGCTCAGGCGCTCGGTACCAAAAAGTGACGACCACTGGATCCAGATCTGCCAGCGGCTTTAGCGGCGAGTTAAAAAGACGGGCGAATCCCATGTCTGCAATTTTCACCCTGCCGCGTTCTTCGCCCTCTCCCATCACCAAAATATTCGCTGGTTTCAGATCCCTAGGTTTTTTATTAGCGCTGGGAGAGTCTAAATGCTTCTACCTGTGGAGAACCCAGTTTTCATGAAGATAGTGAATTCCATCGAGGATTTGGTACATTAGAGACTTGACCATTCGCTCTGGGATGTTTCCATGTTTCTTAGAAAAGAACTTCAGTTCAAGGGAAAGGAAAACCGAAGAGGGTACCTTATTCGCGCGGTGAAACTTGATAATGTGCCAGAGATCGTGTTCGGCGTAGTCGAAAAGCAACCACACTTTGTGGTCTGAATGGTTCTCATTTTGGATTTCAACCGGCCTCAAAAGGAGGAGAATCAGATGATCAAAACCCTTGCCAGAAAGACCTTCTGCAGCGCAATAACATTCGGATGCTGTAGCTCCCTCAGAAGCGCGATTTCTCGACAGGCTGAAGGCGTAATACCAGTTCCTTCAATCAACTTCAGCGCGTATTCCCGCTTGTCGTTTTCATCCCGCGCGCGAGCCTTGTAAACATGGCCGTATGTGCCTCGGCCTACTTTGCATCCTTCGTAGCTGAAATCGTCGTCGACTTTGCGACGCAGCGAGCTCAGTTTTTGAAGAAATCCATGATCCATTTGATTTCTAAAGAAATGGAAAAATGAGTTCAATCGTTTGTTGAAAGAGAACATTTCTAAGTTGATGAAAAAAAATAACATAAAAATGAACTTTGCTCGTTTCGTGACGAAACTTTCGTCTCTTATTCTAGTGGAATGAAAAAGCTTTCTGAGTTGGGATAGTAAAGTAATTTTAAAATATACAGAAAGAAGCAATAACTTTAGACGACTTTCTTCTTCGGACTCATCGGGTCAAGTTTATACAGCTCTTCCAGCTTCAACTGACCGCCAGTCTCGTTTAGCCAATCCATGAACAATTTATTCGTGAAACTCTTTAAATTTTGCTTCATTTCGGCTGTTAGTTGTGGGTCTTTCGTAAGTTTTCGGCCGTTCCGCAGGACTTTTTCCTGGCTGGCGACAGCTTGAGCGTACTCTTCGGGAAGATCGATGAAGAATTTAGCGACACGGGGAGCGGGATTTTGAGGTTTTGAAGAGGCAAGTTCGAAAGGGATATTGATGTAGAAAAACTCTGAACACACAGTTGCCAAATACATTCAAAGGAAGGATGCAAGCTTTAAGTAAGGCTGACTCACCTTTAGGGTCTAACTTCTCAAAGATTTCTTCAACCGGAACTGAGCTTCGTCTGACCGTCAAATCAAGAGGACTGTCCCACAAATTGGGATGCGATGGAAGAGCAGCTTTCTTGACATCTTCTGCCAGTCTCGAATGATTCACATTTAGTGGCGCCAGTTTGATTCCGGAGCAACTGACAAGAACTGGATTCGTCGGGACAGAACTATATACGGTAGAGTTTGAGGTCGTGGAGATGAAGAGACATCTGGAGTAGGTAACTAGGCTTATATTTGATGATTTGGTGAGGCGAACGATTCCGGATACTGACGGGGCGACAATCGTACAGTTGTTGCACTGGGAGATACTCACTGACTTGATGTTGCCGATAAGGTAGAGGGTACTCTTAAAGAAAATATGAAAAGATGCTTCATCTTTATTTCAAACATACATTTTCGCACTTTGAAATTCGTATACAAGAGTCTTCCAAAATCTGATGATTCAAGCAAGCAGTTTGATCGACCATCCTTTTCAAATAGAATTCCCTGTCTTCTGATTCCGTCACGATCGAATGATTGCCGATGAATCGGGCCGGTCTGTCGATAAGTCTAGTCGTCGCTCCTTGGAGGGCTGAGACTGGGCAGCCATTGATGTGACTGGTGATGAAATTTTTGAGTTTTGACGTGGAACAGTGCTTCGTCTCGCGATTGTAGATCATTTCATCTTCGAAGCGCGCAAGGATACGGGAGAATGGGAGGATGTTTCCATCCACTCGGCCTAGAATTGATTTTTAGCGAGATGTCTAGTTTGCTAAAAATGACCTCTTATCAGAAATTCCAAACCACGAACTCCATTCAAACTAATCGTCCCCTTACTCGTCGCGTTGTAAGAACAAAGTTTGAAAATCTGGTCAAGATTGTTGAGAATCCATTCTGCGTGCGGCGAACTGATCTGTTTCCAGGGACACATTTCGTTGATGCTCTTGTTGAGCGATTGAACCTTGACGATCGTCTGAGCGTAAAGAAACAGAGTAAATTGCAGCGTGTTCACATGTCGAGTCGCTTTGAAGTCAGTCAGGGAAAGAGCAGCGCGTTTGTCAAGAATGGACTTTGCTTCGTTTTCGTTCACTTCCTCAGAAGAGTTCATTTTTATTGATTTTCGAAATTCATACTTGGAAAGAGTCGAAAGTCTCAAAATACACCCAAGCCAGTTGTTCCGCCATTCCTAGCTTCTCACAAGCCATGTGCCGCCATACCTTCCAGCTGAGCATCGGCCAGTTTTCCTTCGACAGAGAATATTTGATGATTCTCTCCGCGTTGGTAAATGTGATTTTAGGATGAGAATACACCATCCCATACTCGAAGAGTTTGCGACTCGGCCACAGTTGAACTTCGTTCATTCTTTCTCAAAATTTCTATTATTTATGCTCTACAGAACCCCGATACAGGTTTAAAAAAAAGGTAACCGAGTCCAGAAAGACATCACTCTTTCAAGTAAGGATGAATTGTATTGCACTGAATATTGAATTGAAGGATATAGAAGGAAGGTATATATTTTCGGTTGTTGTTGTTGTTCTTGAGTACAGTTGTGTTTCATGTGAGAACTTTGAGTATATTTTGAGTTATAGGTAAAATAGAATAGTAACACTGCAAGGCACTAAAGAGCAGAAATAAGGAACAGTAGCAGATTCACAAGTAGAACTAGAATTGAATCAAAAAAGAGCAATCATTTCTTCAATCAAGCAGGATTCGGAAATTCAGACAAACGCACGGTAAATGTCAACGGCTGCGGAAGTCTCGATGGAAATTGTCTCAGCTGCCGAGGCGTAGAAAACTGCTCCCCGGGGAGCTTCATTTCCATTGATTGACGCACTTCCTGATGTTACGATCAAAATCGAGGCTGAGTCGCGCACTTACACCCGATTGAATAATTTAGCAATAATTTTGCAAAAGAGATGGAAAAATGAAACCGGTTCCTGGAAGGGCTCGTTTTCCAGCTTCTTTCAGCGAAGTTGCTTCGAGGGAAAAGTCCGGAATGTCGGGATTAAAGACCTTGACTTGACCATCGTCAGATTCAGCTTTGAACTTGAACGAATCGGCTTCGTTTGGAGAGTACTCGAGCATATCCACAAGTGTATCGACATCCATGAACTAGAATTCACATGTTTGAAGTTGGTCGGAAAATTGGAAGAACAAACCTTTGGAGTGAGCCCGGCGCGCACGACATTGTCAGAACAAGCCATGCACTCGACACAGTCGCCCGACAAATAAGCATGTGGCAAGTTGGCTTTCAAAAACATCGCTTCTCCTTTTGCAACTTTGATGTAGTTGAGAAAATACGCGACAAAAATGCCCACATCGCCGGGGAAGTCTGAGTTGAGACGGAGAACAAGATCTGCTTCCACATCGTCTGGCTTTGTTGAATTGATTCTAGCGACGAGCTTTGCGACTTGAGCGGAAATCAGTTCTTTTGGAAGATTCATAAGCGCGGCAAAACCAGATTTGAGGGCTAAAATTACCGCTCTTTTATCAAATCATGGGCAGATTCAAACCTTTTGGGTACTCAACAGGGTCATCTTTTGCTGCAATCATTTGTCCTGCCTTTTCTCCGAGCAAAATCGCTAGTTCTGGAACCGAGTTCAAGAAGCCAACTGTCTCCCGAGCGGGTCGAAACCCACAGAGCCCGTTAAAGTCGGTCAGAGCAACGCACATTTCTGGCTTGTGATTGTCATCAGGATAATGAGCTGGGTCCTTAGCGTGGAGAATTTCTGCAAGGGACTTATTTGGGTGAGCTTTTTTAGAGATTTTCATGACGTTCAGTGACATTTGATTCGTTTATACATATATTAAGCGACATTAAAGAAAATTGGGGGACCATGCAAAATATAATATCCATTTTCGAAAAGATTTTAGCAAACAAAAATAATCATTTGAATTGTGAAAATCCGACCTTGAATAGAGAGAGCTTTATTAACAGATAGAACTTTCAGGAGGAAGGGAAGTTTCTTGCCGAATTTCTCCAAGACATTCTTGCCAAGATCGGATCCATCCGTATTCTTGATGTGCTCGGACAGAGCTGTTTTATCCTCCCAAAAGCTTGCTGGACCTAGACGACATTTGTAGACATCAAAAGACATTTTAGGGTACCTTTGGGGTGAGTACTCATCCACAGCTCCGCATAAGGGACTCCCTCATCAACGGCGAAATCCTTGACAGCTTCTCCCGCCAACTGTGCCACAGTCGACTTTGAGCCTGGAACTCCCCAAGCATAATTATTCGCAGCACAGCTTATTCGTTTCAAAACCATTTTTCGCTGAAACAAACGGGTTGAAAAAATGGGTGGTTTCGCTTTTTTGGCTAGTGTTGATCTAATGATGCTAATTGACGAACTTGTGACAGCTGGACAGAATTTAAAAATGTGAAAAATTGATGATGGCCGCGGATGTACAGTCAGAGTTACAGCGCGCAAGAGAGGGAGAATTTGAAGCAGTCCAGGAGAAAGTCAGTTGTTCGAAAAGTGGTGGTGTTTTTTGGTAGTCGATCGTTTCGACTAGAGCGCGATTTTGCTAGAATGGAGGTCAAGAATACGGTATTCTGAATACCGAAATAAGGGACTGCCAGTACCTTAAGCCTTTCCAGCCTGGTTTCGGAGAAGAATGTAGATCTTCTCCTTGACCCAATCTTTGTTGTAGGGCAAGTAGGTCTGCGAGTTCTTCTGGTACACGAGGCAGGACAAGTCCGAAAGCTCATCGATGAAATCGAACAGCTAAAGAATAAAAACAAGGTGTCCAAACGGGAAGTGTACCTGGCTAATGTCGTAGGTGATCTGGGGAGAGCTAGGGTTGAGTCGTTTCAAGTGCTCCTCGTAGATCTTGCAGACGCCCTAGAAATCATCAGATTAGTTTCGAGAAGGTTGAAAGTGGGGATATACCTCCATGCAATCATTGACCGACTCGTAGTCAGAGTAGGTTCGACCTTCTGGCTTTCTAGTGGGCTGGACAAGGAGGATGGTGTGAGAAGACATGACCTTTTTTCTGAAGCTGAAAATTGTTGAAATCGGGAGAGAAAGGTACAAAAAGATAGGTTTAAATAATATTGGAGCAGCAATTGGATCAGTGGAAAAATAATGGAGACAACGTATAACTTTGAATATTAGTTTTTGAAGGGAATAAGAATAAATAATAAGTAATTGGTTGAAAGAAAAAACGACAAAATGATAGAGAATAAAAAGAAAGGGTTGAATTGCAAATGACAGAAAATACTAATGAAATGATGACTTTATGTTGCAAGGGGGAGCAGGGGGCCTTGGGGACCCAAGCTGGGGACGGGGTTAGTTTTTTGGTCGACGAACATGTCCATCCGGATAGCGGGTACGGAAAGAGCGAACAAGCTCTTGATCGTGGATGTGGACTCCTTCAAGCTGGTTGCCTACAGTGACCCAGTTTGGCTAGAAAAGTGATTAAAACCCCTGTATGGAAAAGATTCTCTACCTGGATGTTGTGCATTCGTCCGAAGAGCTCGAGCTTCTTTGTTCCAGGTGTGAGACGCTCAATTATTCCATAAATTTCGTCGGGTTTATGACTCGTGTCTCGAACTTCTATCAAAGGTTTTATGTTTCAGTGAGTTTTATTGCTTAATTGTTACCAGCTACAAGTACGTCACAGTCGAGTCCGCGATTCAGATTGGGAGGAGAACCCTTAATCCCGACAAGGCAGTGTTCTTTTCCGTGGTTAAGCCAGTGCCCAGTTCTTCCTGTGCGGATGAGTCGTTGAAGCTGGTTAATCTGAACGGAAACGTAAGAGTTGGAAGACAGTAAGATTCATTTCGAGACATCAAGATACATTTTAAGACATTGAAAGACATCTGAAAACATCTCAATACACTTTTGAAGCATTTACCTTGACCCAAGTAATTTCATCGATCCAAGTGTATCCCCAAAGCCTCAGGAGCTCCCTCCCAAGTTCCATCGCTCTTCCAGTTACCCAAAGAAAGAAGAGTCCGTCGTCTGAAAGATCCTGTATTCTCAAGTTGCGCATTTCTTCATCCTTCATGGTTCCATACGGCAGTTCCATGTGAATGTCCCACGGCGGATCGGCCATTATTACTGTATACTTGCCAAGTACAGTCAAATCGAGATGGCGAATATCGCAGTTGATCCATTGGGGCTCGATCATTCCTGGAGCGCATTTTGGCCGCGCTTTTTCGCTAGAATTTTTGATAAAATGGGGGAGAAAGGGATGGTGTTTACCTGTTTCTGGTGATTCTTGAGCTTTTTGTTCTTCCTTGGAGTCCTTCTCGATTTCGTAATGGACGTATTTACAAGTGTCATGGTTGAAACAATTGTTGAGGAAAGAACAATCCCCTACAGTATGAAATTAGCCAAGCGTAAGAATTTACAAACGTACCTAAATGCTCTTGAGTGTGCGGCTTGATGATCTTTTTGAAGTGAATCTTCTGGCAGTTTGGGACCGGGCAACGCCGCCTCGTTTGAAAATCGCAAAAAATCTAGAAAGCATCTTTGAAGCTCCCTTTTCTTTCGAAATATATACTTTTAGCCCGTCGTTCGACTTGAACTTTTGCGCGTTATTTTTCTCCTTGATCGATGGAGTGCCAAGAAGCTTGTCTATTTCCTCCAGATTTCGCTTTGATTCGAGTTCTTTCGCGCTTTTAGTATTCAGCAATTCGTCCAGCTCGCAATTTGAAGAGTCGCTTCTTCGAGTCTAAAAATATGGAGATGAATCGAGAAGATCAAGAAGCTGCTTGCGGTTTCGAATAAATTCAAATAAAAGCCGCACTATTGCGGCTTCTTTTATTATTTAGCTCGAAGCCGCAACCGGCTTCTCGACTCGAGGAAAAATCATAAAATGAAAGGGAGTGTTAAAACCCCGATATTATTTGGTGGCAAAATTATTTAGTAAAGGATTACACAATGAGACGGGCGGACAGAACGAACACCTGTTGAATGTCTCGATATTTATCTGATACAAGCCAGAAACATATGGCGAAGAAAACAGGCATAAGCCTGCTCTATTTTATGAATAAAATGAACCATGAAGCTTTATAAAACTCATGTTTTATTAAGACATTCGTCTTTTCACATCTCGAGATGTTTAAAAATGTCCAGGGACATCTAAGATATTTGAAATGTCTTATTGAAGACATTTTTTAGTAAAATAAACATCTTTAACTTTCGATAAGAGTTGTAAGTCCTCAGACCATCATTCCTTTTATGAGAAAACGTACCTTTTTTGGAAGAACATGGACTTTTTTCGCCTCAGAAATGGCGCTCTTCTGAATCGTCCTTTTCGTCCCTTCATTCGGCACCGGCCCAGGTGATTCAGAAACAACTGCGTTTTCTGCTTCTTTTCCTATCTCTTTCAGATTCAAAATTTCATTCGCCAAAATGATTCAAAAAGAAAAAATTCTATTTTTGAAATTTGAAATCTGGTGCCTGCGATTTGGCCAACTGGGGCAATAGCGGCGCTTGTCCACGAGCCTCGCGCCGAGCCGCCAATTTGCTTTTCAGAGATTCCGACATTTATTTTTTGAGAGCCCGATTTTCAGTCTGAATTTTGGGCAATTTTTATTGAGGTCTAAAATAAGTTTCCAAGTCTCGAATCGAGTAATTAGAAAGAATTGCCTCGGCTTCTACGATTCTTAACTCAAAGCCGCACGCGGCTTTTCGAAGATTTTTCAGAAGTTTTTTTCGGAGACAAATTTTATTGTTGTGTTATCAAAATTGTGGTCATTGTTGCATGAAATTTCATTAAATGACGCGATTCTTTGATGAAGTGCGCAATATCTTTCGATAATGAAAAATTCTTGAATTATTTTATCGTCAGCAAATCAATCAATCGTGACTACATATATCTTTACCGCCGAAAATAGCCTTGGAACTTAATAAAAATAAACTTTTAACGATTTTAAGCACTGTAGAATACCTGAGTCAGGGTCTTGAAAGAGCTCTGCTTAGATCGAAGTGCTTTTTATAAGCTCTGTCAAGAGCGTGACTCAGAATTTATATCTAGAGTTTTTAATCGTGAAAAGTTTATTTATATTCAGTTTCAAGTAACTATTTTTGGCGATCAAGATATATGTATTCACCATTGATTGATTTGCTCAGGATAAAACTATTCAAGAATTTTTTATTATCGAAAGATATTGCGCGTTTTATAAGACCCTGACTCAGGTTTTTTCACAGAACGCCGAGCCCAGTTTCCGACAACCCAGTAACACGCTATTTCAAAATATAGGAGTAGAACATTAATTTAAACTTTATTTCTAAAAGAGAGGAAGAGAGAGGGGAACAATGAGAGAGGAACATGAAGAAAGAGAGGCAAAATAATGAACTAATTTTAAAATTGAAATTTAACGAAAAAATCGAATCAAAGATAAATTAACAATGAACAATTATTTGAACAAAAAAAAAATGAAGCCCAAGCGCGGCTTATCAGTGAGAAAAACATACAAAAAGGGAGGGACAGGAAATGGCAGCTTTTGGAACATTGAAATACAACGGAAATAAGAATTTTTTGGATTGACAGATGATTGAGCGAAATCAGGAAGTTTTGAACAAATTGCAGTTGTGGTAGAAAATTGAATATGAATTAATCAAGTTGAATCAGAAGCGTTTTGTTTTAGCACCAGGATTGAACTACCCCCTCCAGAAGAAAAGGGGGCGTTGATTTTGACAGCAGGCTGATTTTTTAGGCTCTAGTTGGAGCCAATTTTTGAGCGTATCGAGCGAGGGCGACGCCGCCGAGGATGTTCTGTCGATCTTCTTTCGGAATTGCGGGGTAGCGGGCGAAGATGGCGGTGATTTCTTCGACTGGGCAGGTTGTGTAGAGGTTCAGGTTCAGCATTTTGTGCTTTTTCAGGGCCTGAAATTCGGGCTTTAGAAAAGTTTTGAGATATTTGATGGACTAAGGAGACATTTGAGGACATTTGCAGATGTCTCCAAGTAAAAGAAGACATCCCGAAACATCTGGGTACATTTTCTGATGCCAGATGACATCCAGGCATATTCAGACATCTTTATACATCCCCTGACATCGCTACACATCTTGATTCTTCAAGAGAGATCTAAGGGACCCTTTCTACTCCCAGAAAAGCAAGATAAAGTCAACTAACCTTGAGGGTAACTTTCGAGGAAATCGGCAGCGCTTTCGTGATTACATTTTCCGGCATCATGAGCGGCTGTTTCTCCAATTTGTACTGTCTAGCCGCATGTAGCCGCGCTTGAACAACCATGCATTTGAGCGCAGTAACATCGCCCTCAGGAATCTCGAGTTCTTCAAGCTCTCGGTCAGAAATTCTGGCAAAAACTTGTTCGGAAACGAGGTTCTCTCGTTGAAGGGTGGAAATGGTGCTTTGGGAGAGTTTTGAAAGCGTCTTTTGGAATTGAATCGGAAAAGCAGCGACTGAGCGGCGTTTTTCAGCGGAAAAATTCGGAAAGAGCAGATTTCTTCCTTGAAAATCAAGAGCAGTTGGCTCGGAAATTCCAGAGGAACGACCACAGTAACCCGAATCGAAGGAGACGGTGGAGGAGGAAGCACGATCGGTCTGGAACTCGGCGACGGGCTCGGTCGTGAAAGTGACATCTTCGCCTTGTTGCTCGCTAGAATTGTGCTTAGGATTGATTCCGAAAAAGTTGGCGGGTCAGACTCGTGACAGCCAAATAGGGGGACTCTTGGGGGGTCTTGCTCGGCTTTGATTGGCAGAAGCGAAACATACAGTATGTTACATACTGGCTTCTCTTTGGCTAGCTCAAGACGGGGTTCATTTTTGGCACGTTATTGGAAAATTTAAAGGAACCCCTTTTAAGCAAGCCAATGAGAAGCCAGTATGTGTCGCTTGAGCCAATCCTAGTCGACCAACCCCCGCAAATAACCCACTGCTTTCGTTTAGGGCCCCGAGGAATCAATTCAGAAATATAAAACTCACCAGAACTGCTGTTGCTGTTCAATAAACTCAAATTGCGCTTCCATATCCTCATCCTTCAATCCATAGACCTTGGGCTTGATATCCGCCATGGACATCTTCGCGGCTTCGTTGAGATCGAGGCCGATCTTCTTGAGAATTCGCGAATAAGTCGCTGAACGAAAAAATTTCATTTTAAAATTATCTGATGGAAAAAATTTTGGTCCTTGAATTTTTAATTTTACCTGTTGGCGAGACATGTTTGAGCACTGGCATCGTGTTTTCTTTTATTGAAAAGAAGACGATCTCTGATTTCAGTCGTTGTGGAAGAAAGTCTTCGTCGCACGCTCTTTTTACTCTCCATCCTTCGAGGCTGACCAATCGGCGCGCCGCGCGCTGGACTACATAAAGTACGAATTTCCCGGAGCGAGACGTTTTCGCCAGATGGCGCAGCGGAGCGTATTGATTTTATGAAAATTATTGATGGACCTTTTTTTTCAAGAAATGGTGAAACTCTCAGGCAACTTTTATCATTTTGAGTAACAAAAAAATTTACGATAATCGAATCATTCGATCGTGAAAAAATTCTTAGCGGCATTCTTTTCAATAAGGCTCGAATCTGCCACCACTCGCCCCCTACACTCAGCGTGAGTCCCCCGGGCGGTCTGCCCCCTTGCATGTTGTTTGCCCTTGCTTCACACCTGGCCATGTGCAGAGTACCCCCTACAGAAAGCGGCAAACCCCATCTGAGCTCGGCAACCTGTGTCCAAAACCTGAGTCAGCGCCTGAAAAACCTAGAAATTCTAGCCATACAGCGCCCCTGACTCAGGTTTTGGACACAGGCTGCCTGGCCCAGGTTCGATGCCTGAAATGACTGCAGTTTTTGTGGTAGCATTTTCTCTTCAACTCATTTTATTCGTCGATAAGTTGAACTAGGTAGGTTAAGATATGTATAATAAGGTCGTTAGTCAACCCATTCTTCGTCAGACAGCTCATCCACAATATGTTTGTTTTCATGAACTTCAATCTGGCAAATTGAATTGTCGTCATTTTCAAATGCCGTATTTCTTTGTCGAAATTTTCATCTTTTTTAAAATTGAACTTAGTTTTCTATGACATAGAAAACATTGTTGAGTAAATCGATCCTTGGCGTCATTGTATTTCCAACCATATTAGCAGTTGATCTCAAAAGAATTGCAAACGAGCTTTTCATTTTCGCTGTTCCTCTGAAAATTTTGTTCTGAAAAATCTAAATCATGCAATTTCTACTCTAGTACTATCTACAGCGTTTGCACAGTCAAAGTGTCTCAGCAAGCAGTTGTTGATTAATGCTATTCAAGGAATACTCCTTGTTGATTTCAGGCAAGGATTTATCGTCCGAGTTTTTCAGCGGCTTGAAATCAAGCTGGCCAGAAATCGGGTCATCTGGCATTTTTGCTTCCAGATGGTTGTTTTCCTCTATGATTGCAACTTTTTGCAATGGGTAAAAAACAGGTCTCTGACGAAAAAAGAACTACAGTATCGAGCTAAATCTACAGCGAGGGAAGGAAAGAGCCTTTACCCACTACCTTGGATGATTTTAACAGACCTGATCACATTGTTCAACCCTTTTACCATCATCGTTATACATGTTCCAGTGAAGCTAGCGGAGATACAGTAATGAAGAAGAAAGAAAGTAGTGCTACCTGAGACCGAGAATCATCCAAAAGAAAACGCCAATCCTGTAGATCGCGAAATACATGGTCACGTGCCACGGCCAGACGGATTTTTCGCACTCCAGGGGCATCTTGTCCTTTCCTTCTTTGTAAGGAGTTGGGGAAGGGATGATGAGTTCGGTCAAACAAGCGGTAGAGTTGTGAACAGTTCTAGTAAAAGACTTAGCGCTAGAAAAGATGAGTTATTTACGTAGCCAGTCGATCAGGCGGGCTCATTCGAGGAACATAATCGCCAAACCCGATTTTTGTCAGCGTAATTGTGCAGAAATAAATTGCGTCGAGCATCGTCCAACCCTGATCAAAAGAGAATTGAAGTGAGAGAGCGAGAAAATGAACCTCAATTTCGGTGAAAATGAAACTGGGCAAGATAATGAAGAAAACCACTCCGCAGGCGAAATAGATCATTTGCATCGTGTGGATTTTGATAATTTGGCGCTTCAGCATTTGGTTGATTTTCGTCATGATTGTGATGAGCTGAAATTTCAAGAGTGCATTATTACAAACAAGCTTACTTTTTTGTCGATCAAATTCGAAATCGACTGAACCAAAATCGCGAAAAGCGGAACTGCGAAAACTGCCAAAAACACGCAAATAACTCTTCCAGCAAAAGTCCTCGGCACCAAATGACCGTATCCAATCGTCGTCGCCACTGTACCCATGAACAAAATCGTGTTGTCGAGCGACCAGTCCCAGTTGCTATAGCAGCTGCTTGCCAACTCGCCGTAAGTAACGAGACTGAACTCGACCGTGTCCAAAAGCATCTCGGTTATGTCTTCTCCGCGGACTACGAACTCGGTCTCTCTTTTCAGAAAGTTACAGTAATTTGTTCTGATGATGTAAGATACCGAAATTTGTTCAACTTGAGTGGGATAGCAACTCGTTTCCAAACATCGATGAATTTGATATGAATTTCTTCAATAGTTTATGATTTATAAAATCGATCTTTGAATTTTTTTCGATGTTATAAGGTAGTGACACCCTTAATTTTCTTCGGCAAAAATTGCTTTTCCCCAAAGAGCTCTTACCAAAAATAATGGATAAGAATGTTTTGGGGAAAATAAGCATTTTTTCGCAGAGAAAATTAAGGGTGTCACTATCTTATTACATTGAAGATGGTGTTTATGACATCAACTCAAATTGATGAATAAACTGTCCTTCCCCAGCTGCAACCATTTCTTCATTCGTTCGATCAATAATTTCCTGGCTACTGTTTCAGAATTATTAATTTCTGATTAGTCTTCTGATTAATTAAAACTCCGAATTGAATTCCGTTCCAGTTATTCCTCGCAATAGCAAAGTAAGCATTCCCGATTATATCTCCGTTTCTTAATAATCTTAGATCGAATTTGGACGAAAGAAGACTGTTCTTACTTGGATCTGATTGTATCGACGTAGTGGTTGAGCAATTTGCATAAGCGCACGTGATAGTTGAACTTGTAGAAAGTGTTTCCAACCAATTTGTCTTTCAAAGTTTCAAAAAATATAATTTTCAAAATACTTCATGATTTCTAGAGAGCATAAATGAAAAGCCGCGTAGCGGCTTTTTCAAAAACGAAGACGCAAAACATAAATTTTGCGATGCCGCTCCGCGGCTAGGTCCTTGAAAAAGCCGCTGCGCGTCCTTTGGGTCTTGTTTTTCAGAACCTGACTCAGGTTTTCTACTCAGTTTTCAAGCCCAGACCCAAATCCTAGCCCAAATCAAGCCTCTATCAACCCTTACCGACCAAATTTGAAACCTTCTTTTATAGTCACGTGCTTCCAACTTCGCCCTCTCGCACATATCCTGCTTATTCTTACTCTCTAGTTTCTTAAAAAGCAAAGCTCCGATGAACAAGTAGCAGACATAGACGATTCCGAGGGACAAAATTCTCGAAACTTGCATATTTTTTCGTTTTCAGGCTTGCTGTTAATCAAGTTTTAAAATTGTACGTATGCTCCGAAGGAGAAAATGATGCGAGATGATGGCGCGTTGCTATTTCATGCAACATTTAATTCGTTTTTCGCTCAAGACGGATAATGGATTTATGAAGAACGAAGGGCTTAATTATGCAAACTTGCGATTACCAATACGAACACGAATGTGTCTACTTATCAAAACTAACGAATCTTTATTTAATCAAAAAGAAGAGCATCAGAAGAGCAATGATGAAGGGAGAAGTAGTGGCAATTGTGCAGCCGCCGCAAGGCCATTCGAATGCGTCTTTAAAACCGTCACACTGGATGTTCTCTTCCTTGAGCATGGTGTTGATTTCCTTGTAATAGGCTTTCTTCGCGGCTTTCGTAGCAGCTTCGTCATTGATTTGATTAACCTGGTCACACATGTCCGCACTGATATGACTTTTTTAAGTTTTATTAATTATAATCATTATTGGCAATAATTTATTGCCTCGTAGATCTTGTGAATAAGGTTGAACTTTTCCTCATGACTTGTTGCCAATAATCCGTGGCAACAAGTGATTCCATCATCTCACAACCTTTTGAGATCAGAGTTGAAAATTAAAAAAATACAATACACTGTTTGATGTCAGTTTAGCTCAATTTCGAGCTCGACTTCGAAAAAAAAATAATTAAAAATTTGCAACTCAATCTTCATTAAGGGGCTCTTTCTTTTGAGAGATCTCATTATTGTAGGATACTGGAATCTTATTGTAGGAATAGCTCATTTTTTAAATTTCTTGTACCTCAAAAGTGATCAAAGCGACTTTTATACCCGTTTCTGTGCGAGTGACTGACATTTCAAATGCTGCTATTTAAAGGTCAAAACTCGGAAGTGTTTTCGAGAAAGAGGTATATTTTCTTGTGATTTCTAAATAGGAATTCTGGTCATGAGCTCATCGAGGGTCCTTAGAATGCAATTTACAGGCATTTGAGAAAAATCATGATGTAATAAAAAGGACGTGTTTGAGCTAATCATGAAATCTCCTGCGGTGGCGCTGCGGTGATGTAACTTTATAAAGCCTGAAATTTCCAGACATTCCAGTCGGACAAAAAATCAGTTCAAACTTTTTCCGTCATGAAGTTACTCCCGTTTTTCGCCATTATTTCAGCGCAAAAGCCTCCAGAGCACAAAGTTTTCAAGCTCCAGTCCAAACTCGAGTGGGTAGTTGATACTTATTACGCTGATTCTTTTCCAAAATGGAGTGCGGGAATGAAGGCGAAAACAAAACGAGTTGGGCTCAAGTAAGAAATTTTTTGAAAGGAGAAAATTGAGCTTTTAGACTCGTTGATGAGTACAAACGAAAAATCACCGAAATGGAAAGTGCTTGTTTTGAAGGATCTGGATCAGAAGAAGAGGATAATCGAGCTGGAGAAGTTCTCAGAAGCAATATTGAAAACTTGAGGTGGGATTTCCATTCTTCGAATTTTTGCCTGAAAAATCATTCATTTCAGATTTGTTCAAGATGACCCATGCCGAGGCTCAAAACAACTCACCAGAAACATGATAAAATGGGCGAACGAAAACATTCTCGACTACAACTGTGATGGTTCTCCTAAAGAAGAGCAAGGTAATTCAATGATGATTTTCTCTTCCTTTACATTTTCTAGGAGAAAACTCAAGAAAAGAGCGGGTCATCAAAAAGTGGGAGAAAATTCAGCGCCGATTTCAGACACGAATTGACTGCAATTGAGACTTTTTTTACCTGTACAAATGAGCATTTTTGTAATAAAAAATGAACCCGATTTGTTCTTCCAGGCTTCTAGAATGGAGTGCTTCTATATTTTGCTCAGAAAACGACGAGAGCTTGTTTTTGTAGCCAGAGAAAGGGTTGATCATGGCAAAATGTGAGTATTGATTTGCCAACATGATGATATTTCAAGTAAACATGATGAGAGAATAGTTTTTGTCAGAAACAACATTTCCGCCTTTTAGTTATTTTGAAATCAACCTCGAAACTTCGAATAACATGGGACACGATCGTCCTTATCTTCCTCGCCATCGACTTGTTCCTCCTCCCCCTCGGTAAGCTCAGAAATCAAGGAAGAGAACGCTCAATTTTTCTTTCCCCTTCAGACGCGGCAATGGGCGACCAAGTCCGTCAAATCTACAGCGCTCGATTTTACATCGACATTTTGTTCCTCCTCGATTTGGCGTTGAACTTCAGAACAAGCGACAAAAGCGACAGGACCAAGATCATCCGCGAGGATTATTTCAAAGGCTGGTTTGTGATTGATTTCTTGTCTTCCTTCCCCTTCGAGTTTCTTTTCTACAGACATGTAAGCTGAAGGAACTTAAAAATATCAAGGCTGTTTGTTCTAGCACTCAAGTTTGGAATGGATCGGAAAAATTCTACGATTGCTTCGGCTGACTCGACTGTTTCGCTACATGAAGGTACTCAGAAGGTCGATTTTTTCGACTTCTTTTAAAGACACTTTAGAACATCCGGGCAAAAATCCGCTTCGAATACAGCGTCACCGAAATTTTCTTCAAAATGCTTACCCTTGCCGGTCTCATTCTTATTTGGGGCCACTACGGCGCTTGTCTCCTCATCTTCACTGCAAAAAAATCAACCAGCGGTACTCTTCATTTCTTCATCAGAAATCTTTAATTCGTTGCAATAGATGGTCATCGTCCAGAAAACGCAATTTTCACTCCATCGGAAAACATGAATTTCAACTGGTACTACGCCAATGATTTGCACGAAGCAACAAAAAGTAATCACCTCCGAAAAATCCCTCTTAAAAACCCTCTTTCAAGCTTTCGGTGAAATCTACATAACTGCTCTTTTCAAATCGATGTCCTGCACTCTCACCATCGGATACGGCCTCTACACCCCCGTCAACGAAAGCGACGTGGTTGTAACGATGGTCGTCATCTTTTTCGGAGCGATTATTTTCGCCCTGATTGTGTCGCAGCTCATCGCGATGATGGATCAAATCAATGTTGGATCGCTCAAATTCAAGGTAAAAAAATTTCTGAAAAAAAACCATAAAGTAGATAAAAGACTGATAAAATCTATTTTTTTTCTGTGTATCTTTATTTTTGATAGAACAAAATAACTTCGTTTGATCTTCTTCTTCCGACAAGGCCTAAACAGAATTTTAAAAAGAGAAACCTCTTATTCATTTCATTCAAATCCTCTTCTAGCGGCATTTGCAAGAAGTTGGTGATTACCTCCGATTCAACCGAATCCCCAAGCCATTGAGACAATCTGTCCGAGAATTCTACGGTAACTCCCTTGTTACCCACTTCAATAAGTCCTCTCATATCAGATGTCCACTATAAAAAGCGAATCTTCGACGAAGCATCGATCCTCAAAGAACTGAATCCACTGCTCTCCGAAGAGGTCCGAAACTGTGGCAGAATCGACAGCGGTAAGTCCAAGAAAATCAGCGCTTTTTTGCGCAAAAATCCGGCTGTTATCGTGAAAAGGTTTTTTTCCTTGATCAAAAGACCATGAACCCGAACGACTCGAGTCTTCGACATGAAAAATGGACGACATGCTTTTGACAAATGATGGCTGATGACGCAATATCCACCGGGAAAGAGATAAGGGGGGAGAGGTTCAGAAGAGTTTACAAGTTATTACGTAATCTTCATCCATTCTTTTATCAGTTTGAACTTGGAGACACCCTTAGGTGAAAATTCACTAATTCGCCTCTCCGAAAAAGACCTTCCCGACTCGAAAATGGAATTGGAAATGTCTGATAGACAGTGTCAATGTCTACTAGACATGGATTTGAATGCTGAGATTTCTGCGTATCGCAATGACACCCTTAATTTTTTTTCTGTTTTATGAATTTTATTTCAAGAAAGAATCCCTAGCTGTGCAGGTGTGTTTAAATAAATACAGTCAGAAATACTGTAAAAGGTGATTTTTCTTACTTTGAAAGTTGTTTTTGTTTTCTTTGTTTCGTTTTTTTGTTGTTTTTTGCGATTCTGTTGAAAAAGAAGCGGCTAGCCGTGGCAGGAGATAGAAAATAGTAATAAAAAGAAGGAAGTAAAAGTTGGAGGTACAAGACACAGAAAGATTTCTTAACCCTGGCGAACCTAAGCTATCGTAGAGAGACGTCCCCTTTTCGCGCCTTTTTTCTTGTTTTGACGGCAATAATGAAGAAAGTCTGAAGAAGAAATCGTTAATTAATGCTTAATCGGAGATTTCAAGAATATTTAACAAAGCGACACCCTTATTTTTCAATAAAACTCTAGATAAAGATTGAAGCTTTCTTTCGGTATGATAAATAAGGGTATCCCGATGTTAACTCTTGAAAGCTTTAACGGAGATCTCGAAAAAGATTTAACAAAGTGACACCCTTATTTTTTCAAATTGAAAAAAGATAATCTATCTTAAATGAAGATTCAACCTTTCTTTGGGTACATTTTAATAAGGGTGTCATTCCGTTTATTCTTCTAGAAAAAAACGAGCCTCCAAAAGTCCTTTTTTGGGATCTGGCTTTGCGGCTCAGTTCCGGGATAAAACATTTTACTAAGTTATTTGAAGAAAACTCACAATTATAAATTGGCTGAGGTATGATTGTTGAATTCTCCGAAACCAGAGTCGGCAGTGTTTGTTCGGGATCGGAAGTCCTTTTCTGACTGGCTCGGAACTTTGACAAAAACGGGGTCGAGGAACTCCAAGTCACGTGCCACCGTCTTCGGGATCAATTCGAATGTCGATGTCGAAAAATTCCAGCGCTGTTCTGCGCGGATTTCTTCTTTCTCGAAAAGACTGTCCAAGAGCTCATCCACTGAAAAGCTTAAATTTAGACTGCAGGTCAAGGAAGGGGATAATTTATTTGATTATGTAACCATGACAAAATGCAAAAAAAGAGAAAAAAGGTAAGTAGGCCAGGGCCTCTCACGTGAGACGATTCTATTTGTGGAACTCATTGAAATACTTCTATTCAAGGTGAAAAACTTCAATCAAGGAGGACAAATTGTAAGCTCTTTTGATGATTTTTAAGGGAGTAGACCTTAATAAACTCGATTTTTCTTCTGATGTTTGCGAGGAAAATAACTTAGTTACACCCTTAATTTGTCACTAGAAATTTTCGTACAAATGGCGATGAAAAAATGAGACAATTATGATTTTTGAAAACAAGAAATTCGACAAAATTTTAGACAGAAAGGGGGAGGAGCCTAAGCGTTTAGCCTGAAGGTTATTGAAGTGAAAGATCAGGGTCATAAATCATCCAGTGCTTAAGAAAAGTAGACAGCTCAGAGTCTTTGGCTTTGAAACCTTTGTAAAAATCTAATAAAAAAATGGCGAGATTAAAAAATACGATTTTATGATCAATTTTGAAGAAAGAATAATCTTTCGCCGGCGAAATAATTTATTGCCAATAAATCTTTCAATCAAGCCCGGGCCGGCAAGGTCAACGAGGACAAATCAGCCGGCGCTGTCTTTTCATTTTCCTTTTTTTATTTTCAAAAAGAACGAATTGGAACGTGTTATGTAACGAATGGGTTTGCTTTTGAGTTTTAAATTCACGTGAGAAGCTGAATTCCTGTGGTTTTTTGGCCGAAGGCTAACTTAAGCCCTGCTTTTTGATAATAACGATAAAGGGAGCTAACAAAGTGATACCCTTCATTTTCATTTCACCGACAGTCTTTAAACGTTCAAAATGGACTTTCTGGCTTTTTGCCAAGACATAATTGCCCTCAGAAAACATGTTGTTTCTCAAAATAAAAAAATAAGGGACTTGATTCTTACCATTTTCTGGAGGCCCAAGCTCGGCGAAAAGGGTTTCGCCCTGGTAGTCTGACCCTGCCGAGCCGCCGATTTCGATAGTCTGTAGTCTCTCAGAAGTTGAAATTTCACCGTCACTCATAATTTTTTTCGAATTTCTCGATTTCTAAAAATAGAAAAAATTATTTTTTTTGTCAAAATTATATTTTTTTTTTACTAAAATAATAAATAAAAATTTTAATAATTTTTTTCAGTGTTTTAATAATTTTTCTTCAGAAATATAAATTTTGCCAAAATTTGTTTTTTTTTCATAATTGGTGTAAAAAAATCAATCCGTCTCTATAACTGTCGAATTGAGAGAGAAAAAAGGAAAAAATAATTTCAAGTAGCGCTCAGAATGTGGCGCCACTCCTGGGTGCTTTCTACCACGTGATCGCTTTCCGTGAGAGCGTCACTGCCTACGCGCAGAAACAGAGACATCTGAATTAACTTATCAGACAATTTTTAATTTTTACTTTTAAAAACTTTCTTTAACTTTTATCGAAAATAATTAAATATTTCAAGAATAAGAATAATAATATTTTTATGATCAATTTTTCTTGTAAAATAATTTTTCCCTGAAATCGATTTTCCGTGAAATCACCTTTTCCGCAATTCACGAAAATCCAGGTTTACGGAAAATACCATCAATTGAAAATCGAGCTCAAGGAAAATCGAGTTCATGGAAAATCAAATCGTCCAATTCAGCACATAACTTTTGACATTCTCTTTTTTCAAAAAAAAATGTTCGTGAAAGAATGCAGAAAATTGTCTCTCTAAAATTCACGTCGCGAAAAACTGCTGCTTTCACTTGAAACTCGGCTCTCCATTCGTCTAGAAAGCGGCAGTCTTTGAGACTACCGCGCCTGTCAGACCTACTGTCTCTCCGTCTCCCCCTTTTTTCGCGCCACTTCCGCTTTTGATTTCAAAACAAACCCTTTTTAGCAAAAATCGTAAACGTGAGTTTAAAACAATAAAAATGCCAATTTGAATTTGACCAAGTTGACGACTTTGAATTCATAAAAAAGCTGTCAAGCGCTGCGTAAATCAAACAAATCTTCGGCTGATCAAAAAAGCATGAAAATTTGATGATTCCGTTTTGACAAATGCTGAAAATCCATCAATTCTCATTCTTTTTCGAGGGCCGTTTCTAGGAATTTCGAGAAAAGGGCGCTCTTTATTGATAATTTTCTTCAAGAGCCACTTGAGTGGCGATTTTGATTTTACTCCAGAATCGGCTGATTGACCTTTTTCACCTTTTACTGATGAAATTTTGCGACCTGAATCAGGAAGAATGTATACAGCGCTCGAAAACCTGTGTGGAAAACCTGAGTTAGGGTCCTGAAAAAGCTCTGAGAAAATCCGCTTATCGGCCTCGTTTTTAATGAAGCTGCTCCGCGGCTTTTGTCCGAGCTCTTCCGGGACCCTGAGTCAGGTTTTGCACACAGGTTGACAAGCCGAGACTGTTTTTGCTGTATTTTTTAATCAAAAACAACGTAATCGTAACTTTCATGCTCTTCTTTCAATAATGATTTTCAAATTTATATGTTCCTCTATTTCTAGAGCTTTATTTGAAAATTTTCCTTGATGAAAAAGTACTTGGAAAGCTTCGCAAAGTTTCACTAAGTTTTCAGAAGGTCTGTTGGTTAGGTATCTCGACCAGGACAACCATTGGGGGCAGTCTTCCTTGATTTCAAATCTTATTTTCGACCAAGAAGTGGCTGCAAATGAAATCTTTCCTAAGTGATTGTCCGAAATTATTGCTATTCCTTCAACACTCGATCTTAAAATAACAAATAACAAACTCAGCATTCTGTTTTTTCTCTTTTGATTTCGAAAAGAGTTGAACTCCTTGAAATTAAAGCCAAATATATCGTTTTTATGCATGAAAGATTGATCAAAAAGGAACTTCAATTTATTGATATTGAAAGGCATCGTCGATTTCAAAATTAAAATTCCTGACTTCGGAGTAAATAATATAGGTTTTATGTTCGATCCAGTCCAAGTTCTTTAAAAAGATGAGCCAGCAAATAATTCCAAAGATCTTTAATTTAAAAAGCGAGAACTCAGGAAACTTTTAACGCAGGAAAGACGTATTATCAAGGTGTTGCTAAGCAAATCTCTGAGCGACCTTTTCTCATTAAATATACCGCGATATATAAAAATTGAATCTCTCTCTTGAGCTCATTTCTGATCTTTTCGATGCCGATATGCCAAAAATTGGAAAAATAAGTGTTGAAAAACGAGAGATTCCGGCAAAATATTTAAATAATGGAAATTACTGGTTCGAGTGGGGGAAAAAACCATCTGGGGCAAAACGCGTTTACAAATGCAGTATATGCTCGTGAGTTTTATTTTGAGTATGTATAAAATTTTTCATAAAAATACTTCAGCGTTGTTCCGGAGAAATTCTACGGGTTTAATTGCAGCGAGAATACAACTGGTAACAATGCATTTTGTCTGGATTGTTCTTCAGTCAAGAATTTTCGTCACAAGCCAAATTGCACTTGCAAAATTTTTGACTTTAATCAAATAACATGTGATGGAGACAAATGTTCAAAAAACATTCGCTTTAAATGCTTTTACCTTGAATGCACGACTCTTTGGGGAACTGAATTGTGCCCCTCTGCCTAGCGCAATCGTCAATTTACTATCATCTGACCAAATCATGATCGGTTCTGAACAATAGTGAGTCTTGACCCCGCCAACCAAATGAGTTCTTTCCCAGATAATGCGCGCGTAAGGGCCTTTTAAGGGCTTCCGCAGGGCGGCACAATTCAGCAACTCACGGATTCCTCTTACTTTCAATGAGTTTCTGGTGCATTATCAAAGCTGTCGGCCCTCTTCAGCTGCTAGACGTCGTTTTCCAGAAGATCAAGCAGTAAATTCTTTCGTTAACTTCACTGATTCACGACACGTGGATCTCCCTATGATTTCGAAAGAAATCTTAATTCTCGCGAAAAAGAGATTAAGTCGTTCAGAAGTGAAATGGAACAGATTATTTTGGAAGAAAAATGGAAAAGGAAAGAGCAAACAATCTTCAAAAAAGGATGGATGAAAACTCAAAGAAGATCGAGCATCTTCTGCAGGATAATGACAGAATTTCTCGGGAAAAACCAAGATTGACAAAAACCTAAAAGCCTTACTAAAGAAAAAGAAAAAGCAAGTGAAAAAATAGCCAAGTCAGCAAATCAAGGTGGATCATCCAAACATATATTTATTATTTACTGTAATTATAGACTTTCAAGAATCTGATGAATATTCTTGCCAGATATGCTTCTTTCCGTTTGATAAGAACCAGCATCATAGGTCCGTCATAGCGAAATGCTATCATTCGTTTTGTTTCTCCTGCCTCAGTTCTATGGGCTCGAAAGTCTGCCCGAGTTGCCGGGCATCATTTCGAATGTACGATGTAAGAAAAATCTTCTAAGAAAACAGATATTATTCAATTCTTTGCTGATTTCTATTAATTATCCGCGTTTACTTAGTGGGCCTTATCTTGAGCTTCGACTTTACTTTTTCTTTGATTCGAATTTACATGGACAATTTTAGATAGTCTCAAACGCAATAAATAAAAAACAAATTTCTTGACATTTACATGTTCTTAAAATCAAGTTGGCATTTTTTAATTATTCAAATCAAAAACTGGCATATTATTTCTAGGATCTTTAATTACAAAACAGGTAATAATAGGAAGTACTCCACGCTCAGTTCGAAATCAGTTGGGCTTGTTTTTGTGCTTGAAGAAGTTTTTCTTTCAGCGCATTTGCGATCGCCTCAAGTTCAACGCGTTTTTTCTCGGCAAAAGCAAATCGGTCTTCAGCGGCATTGACGAGATCTCGTTTCTGGCGCACTTCTTCCAAAAGATTGTCTTCTGTGCTGCTGTGCTCGATGTTCTGAAAGGATTTGATTAGAAAGAGGTGGAATCAAGGAAGAAGACCTCAAGTTCGCGTTGTTTTTGAAGAGCGAGTTGTTCTTCGAGCAGATCTTCGTTGATGTTCCCTCGCTCCTCGGCCTAAAATAGGCATACCCAATCAACCAAACAAATCTGGAGACAACCTGGTCTCCTCGAGCCTTGACGGCAGCAAGATGCTTTTCCAAAAGAGCAATTCTGACGGTCAATTCTTCGTAATGAACAGTTCTTTGCTCCGCTCGATCAAGTTCCATCTTCAACTCGCGCTCGTTTTTCTCCTCGTCCAGTTGGAACTAAAAAGATTCATTGAAAGAAAGAGCAAAAGATCCCACATCAAGAAGGCGTCGATTGTCAAGAGTTCTAGTGGATCGCTCCTGTCGCAGATAGCCGGCGATTTCTTCCATTCGATCCTCGATTCCGAGCTCTTTTGCGCGAGCCTCGGCGATTTCCTTTTCCAAGTTAGTGGCTCGGCTAGTCAGCTCTGCGCCCAATTTTTGACTTTTATCAGCAGCTTTTTCTAGCGCCTTGATTTTTCTTTGCGAGGATCAAAAGATTGAAACATTTTCAAAGTGAAAATCAAGTTTTTTGAAAATTATTGATTCCTTTCCTTCAGTAACAGAAATAAGCGCATGGGTCTGTCCACTTTGGTCGTCCAACTGCTGGATATATTTGGCTACCTAACTCTTCAAAAATCATAATCTCTCATTTGCCGCTTCTTACCCTTCTCACTTCCTCATCAACCTCTTCGAAATGTTCTCGCACATCGCGCAAGTCGGTTTCTAGCTCTTTTGCTCGGACAACGGCGTCCTTTGTCGCTGCGATTTCGTTGTCCAAATTTGGGTTTCACAAAATACTTTCAAAAAATCACTAAAAATCTCGGATTTTTCTATCTTTTGAAGCTCTAGAAACCCTTTTCTAAATGACGAAGAGTCTCCTGAATTGTCATTTTTGGATAATGCACAAGAAGAAGGCCCTGAAATTAATCATTTTTTTCATAAGGAAGCCTTTGTAAGATTAATTGAACCTTTTAAGATCCGCAGGCGATTCTTACTCTCTAACTCTTGCCACACGCTTGATGATCTCTTCGCGCCACTTGTATCCAGAAAAAGGTGATAAGCTATTCTTGCACTTAGAGCCTTACGTCACGCTGTAAGCAAAATTTTAAATAACAAAAATTAGTTTATTTTAATCACGAAAATGGACTTTCAAGGCAGAGGCGAGAATTTTCAATAATCAATCAAAGCAAAAATTATAATAAATTTAGTAGATGGTTATATTCCGGCTTCTTTTAAAAAAAGTCTTCCAGCAGACGCTCTCCTCCTCAGCTCTTGGGAAAAAGAGTCCTCCGCAAATTTTTCACACGCGAGAAAAGTGAAAAGTCGTTTCTTCGAAGATTCCAGCTGATAGAGCAATTTACCGCGGAGAAAAACAAAGAAAAAACGTAATAATGAACAAAAAACTTAACTTTTCTTTTCAAAATTCACTGCTCGTCAAGACTTTTCGCAATTTCGGGTTTTGGGATTTGAATCGGACAAAAAGTCGGAAACGTGAATTTTGAAAATAACCCAAATTGTACAGTAAGATTCCGTTAACGAGACAGTAACTGTAGCTGAATGACAGTATGAGGTCCCGGTGGACTTATTTTTTCAGAACAAAAAATTAAGGAGAGCCTTATTTTTTAGCCTAAAAAGCCTTTCACTTCAATCTCTGTTTTTGGCTAATCAAAATGCTGGAAAAACTGAAGGGTCCAATTAGAATCCTTTCATTTAATTTCGGCTTCTTTGATTAGCCAGACTGACGGAAACAATTAGCGTTAGGGGCCTCCTTAAATTTTAATCATTTCGGAGTAAAAATCAAGTCAAAATTCACGCCGTGATGTTAAAAAAAACCTAAAAATTGATAATTTCTTAATAATTTTTTGTCTCTTTCATCTCTTTTTCAGCTTTTCAAATACAATAAGCCAATTTTTTTAAAAAGTATCAACTTGAAAAGCTGGAAATATCCTCGTTGTAGTGATTTAGTATATATTCTTCAGTATCATTGTGAATTCTGATCTAAGCCTGTTTTTTTTCTGTTATTTTGCTAATTTCACCCTAACTAGTGAGCTTCTTTCAATATGCCGTCTTCTGATCGACGAAGAGACGACCGTGATCGCGACCGAGACCGGGATCGAAGAAGGGATGACCGAGATAGGGATCGAGACAGAAAACGAGACACAAGAGACAGGGATAGAGACAGAGATCGGAAAAGGAATGGTTAGATAAGCAAGCTTTTTTGTAGATTTAATGGGCTTTTTTTCAGAAAATTAGAGATCAGTATAGGTAAACCTTGTCCAAGACAAACGACCATTGGTAGACATACCCATACTGCCCACTGATATGCCCAGAAAAGGTTATAAAACCCCATGTTTTCATTACGAACTTCGTAATACGAAGCATCTGCGATAGTACTGTTAGATGAAATTAAAAAACTTCACTTGAGGCAAATTTTCATAAAAAATTTTTTCGTGCTCAGAAGATAGAGCAGAAAATTCTGAGTCGAATAGGCTAGAATTGACCCGAAAATTTTTACTTTATGACGTCAAAAATTGCGTAATAAAGTCCAGATTAGGGCATTTTTGGTAAACTTTTGGGGAACTTTTAAGGGGGTTTCTGTTGGATTTATTCGACGTTCTATAGCTCAAAAGAATCGCCGTCGAAAACTGAGGGGGGGTTTCCAAGGGTTTTGAAAAAATTCAAGAAAAAAATTTTGACCATAATGCGACCGGTCGGTTTCAGCGTGTTTCGCTTGGAATTTCTCAAAATCCAAGAAAACCCCCCCTCAATTTTCGACGGCGATTCTTTTCAGCCCAAGAACGCCAAAAACTCCATCGGAAACCTCTTCAAAAGCTCCCCAAAAGTTTTTGGGGAAATGAGTCATAATGACGTCATTTGACGGAATTATAGAGCCGGAAGTGGACCATTCGACTCAGAATTTCCTGCTCTTTCATATTAGCCAATAAAATTTTTTGAAAAATTTGCCTCAAGTCGACTTTTTAATTTCATCTTACTTTAATTCTAACCTGAAAAGGGAAAAGAGCCGCGACCGGGATCGAGACCGCGATCGAGATAAAAGAAGAGATGATCGCCGCAGAAGCCGTAGCCGCGATCGCAAAACTGAATCGTAAGAACAGCCCTTCTTTCTTTTTCTCTCAACACTTTCTAGCTCTTCCGCTCCTCCTGCCCAGCGTTCTCGATCGCGTTCGCCGCCAATGACTGCCGCTCGTCTCGCTGAACTGGCACGTGGCCCTGAAGGCGGTGGTGGAGGCTTTTTCGTACGCGGTGGAGTCCAACAATCGACGCTCAAAAAGTCCGATAATGTCGACGATCACGTCTTTATGCCTGGCGAGAAAGTCAACATTGCCTACGTCGAGGAGAAGCATGAAGAAGGCGACGATGATGCCGGAACTGCTCAGGATCGCGAACTTCGCGATGCTCAGCGTGCACAAGCAGGCGACGACTATCAGAAGAAGATGTATGACGCGGCGACAAAGTTCTACGGAACTAAGGAGCGAATGGAATTGAAAATGACGGCGAATCGGTTGGGCATGCAATCTGGCTTCAAACCTGGCGGAGGAATCAGAGCTAACGAAATCAAAGGCTTCCTGAACATTTGGTGCAACCAGCGACGACTCAAGCCAGAATACGAGTTCATCGAACGGGGAAAGCCGCCCAAAGGAACCTTTATTTGCAAGCTGAAAATTGAAAGCTTTGACTACATCTCTGAATGCGAAGCGAGGACGAAGAGAGAAGCTCAAGCCGATGCAGCCTGGGACTACGCACTCAAGCTGGTTTCAATGGGTTATTGTTCCAAAGCTGATCTGCCGAATAAGACCATGGCGACTGTTAATAATCAAGGCTGCGTCCCAACCGAGTGGAAAGCCGTTTTAACCGACGACCATCTGGCTGCTGCTGGAAACTGGACGCCGGACAACTGTCGAAAGCGACTGTCAATGTTCTGTAACTTCGAAAAAATCTCATGCGAAATTCTCAACACTTCTGTCGGACCAGATCACGCGAAGATCGCCATTGCCGAGTTGAAATTGACGCTGCGAAAATATGGCAAGGAATTTTACGCGAAAGAGCAGGCGAGGACAAAGAAGCTGGCGAATTCGCTCGTTGCTTGGTCGATTATGAAGCAACTTTACGAAGCGGACATGATCGAGGCGTTCGGACAGAGACTGAAGAGAGCCTGTGAATCGAAATTTTTGCAGGCGGCTGAGGGAGGACCTGAAGCCGGCTATGCGATCGGAAACGACATCCAAGTAGACACGGGAATGAACGAAGACACAGGCGATTGGACCCTGGACACCGCTCGTTCCCGCCTTCACGAGTACTTCGCCGCTCGAGGAATCGAAGTTGAATACGCCATGAAAGAAATCGGCTTCCCGCCAGATCGAGTTTACCAGGCGCTTTTGGTGTTCGAAATCGACGGTCTTCGATACCGCAGTTTCCATGAATGCGACAATAAAAAGATGACCCAGAAAAAGACTGCCTTTGATTTGATCGTCCAGCTGTATCATGACAAGAAGATAGAGCCAAATCATGGACGACGAAACTGGGGAGACGGGCCAAACGGAAACATCCTTGGCCAATTCATGCCAGGAGCATTTATGCCGCCGCAAATGCTCGGACCGATGCATGGACCACGAGACAAGGACGAATTTCTAGTAAAAACGAAGCTCTCCCAAATCACTCCCAATCCCAACTTCGCCAACGTCGTCAATTCAACTCTACTGATGCTTGAGCGTTTCCTGAAAGAAGTGTCGGAGGAAATGATCGCCACAAAACGAGAAGACGATCATTGGAAAGACAAGCCGGACGAAGAAGTGCGCGATTTGATGGGAGTAATGCGGGTCGGAGCTTTGAGCGCAAATACCGTTTTGACGAATGAATCGGAATTCATGGTGATTATGATGATGCGAGACAAGCCAACGGCTGGAATGTTGTGCGAAATCGCAGCGAGACTCGATGAAAAAGTGCCGAAAGATGAGGAGTTTCCGTTCACTGTCACGCCTAATATTTTGCGAGGAGGGATCGAAGTCACGAGGGATTGCGTGCCTTATCTGTCCATTATGATCAGCATTACGAGCGCGATGTGTAGGGAAGATGCTTATGATGATGCCAAAGAACTTTTGAAGGTAAATAATCTTAAAATATCATTAATATTTAATCTATCTTTCAGGTTCGGCCAGATACTCCTCCCGTCAAAGCAGAGCCACCAGGGGCAGAAACGAAGACAGAAGTCAAAGAAGAAGGAAACGGAGATATAAAAACTGAAGGAACAGATGTTCCTGAAGCCGCTACGGCCGACGATAAAGCTCCCGCACAGCCAGAGAATCAGTCTGAAGCCCAAAAAGAGGCTCATGCAGAAGCTTCTTCCGAGGAAGCTCCTACTCAAGAAGCTCCTGTAGAAAGCGCCTCGGAAACGGTCGAAGAAAAGGCCGAAGAAGCATCAGCAGAACCTGAGAAAGAATTACCGCCATGCTATAAAGACCTGCCCTTTACTCCTGCAGATGAACCCGCGCCAGAAAAGCCAGAAGAAGCTATAGTAAATGCCGAAGAAGTGAAGCAAGAACAAGTCGAAAATGGGGCGACGGAAGAGGTGGAAAAGATGGAAGTAGATGGCGAAAAAGAGGAAGCAGCAGAAGGAGCTGCGGATTCAACTGCAGAAGATGGTGAAATACCGGACTCGCCAACGCCGGATTCGAAGCCAGGATCGGCTAAAGGAAGTCGTCCACAAACTCCGACGCAAGATGAAAATACTGCTGTTGTGCCTGTGGAAATAAAAGAAGAGAAAAAGCCAGAGAAGAAAGGGCTTCATCACTGTAAGTTTCAACGGGGAAGCCCGACTTCATTTTATCAAAAATTTAGTAATGACGAACCCTGGCATGGAGAGATTAATCGACAAGGAGCATTGTTTAGCCGGCCTTGCCGAGCTGCGACGAGCGAAGTGGTTCCAAAGCTGTGCCTGCAATGTTCCAAGCTGCATTCCAACGATTCGTCTCTTCAGAGACCTCTCTCAGGTACAAACTCAAGCCTTATCTTCTCCCTAACATTATAACCGACAGCGTGTTCAAACATGGGGCCTCCTTACCGACTGGCAATTGCATTTGCTTATTCAAAAGAGCTTGGAATCGTTCCAGCAGCCGATGCTTCCGTCCGACGCCGTCCGCCGCGTCTTTTGCGCAGTTTCGGGCGGAGTACTCCTCAAGGGTGGACTTGGAATACGCGACCCTTGCGAGCCAGGAAATGTCGATGCCTTTGAAAATTTGACCGAACAGGATCGCCACGATCTAACTGCCAGGTACACTCAACTTTGAACTCGGCCACCTGTGCGGAAACCTTAGTCAGAGCGCTAAAAGGGCCGATAGCCAAGCCGCGAAGCTCTTTCAGGACCCTGACTCAGGTTTCCGCACAGGTTGTCGAGCAAAGATTCAATCCCATCACACCTTTTCAACCCTTTTTTAGTGCCCAACATGCCCTCCGTCTTATCTGCTTCAATTATTTCTACAAAGTACTTGGTCTTCTTCCGCTGCAATGACTGTAGTTTTTAAATTAATCGTTATCTAAGTAACAATTACTAAATATTAGTTGAACTAATTTAGTTCATTTAAAAAGAATCTATTCCTGTCCTTTATTGTTCATAGAAAGCGTATCCTTGACTGTAACTCTGTGCTTTGAAGTCGTAACACAAAAAAGAGTCAAGTGTAATTAATAACTTCCTTGTGTATTTGTTCTTTCAGTACTTGACGTCTCGTGACATCGATAATTAGGAGAGTCTTAAAGTGCGTTAAAAGCTCATCCGTGACCTCAATCGAGGAACGAGTTCAAAAAAGAATGAGCCTATCTGATAATTTGAGTTGTTGCCAAAAAGCTTGCAGTCGCCAAAAGTTGCTGAAAAGTTTATCAGATTCATAAACTCAGAAGAATCTTCATTCTGACATTTATATTAGTTTTTTAATGCGCAGGTCTTCAACTGTGTCTATTCTTTCTCATGAAACAACGCAGATGGAGAATTTTGTAACCCAATTTTTCAACAGATTCTTTTGTGGAAACTTTGGCAGTATAAAAATATTCTTCTTGGTCATCTGTCATGAGAATCCCACTCATCAGTAGTATTACGTTTTTTTACTGTCATTAAAAGATGTTCCCCTAACACCTCTGATCCAGGAGGTGGACGTAATTGAAGACCCTTTATGACGTAAATTTTGCTACAGTTAGCGTTCATGAGACAGGATAACTAAATAAGAGTGCAAACAAAGTTCGTTTGGATACTGATACCTGGGAAATCAGAATAAGAATAAGTCTACTGTGCAAAGAGGGTGTTTTTCTTATGTTTGTCACATAATTTTCCCTCGCATTCTATGTTCACCTTTTTCTGCTTCGAAAACAATCCTAACAACCCTATATTTGGGTAGCCCAGTCTTGGGGTTCTTTGAAGAAATCAAAGCTTCTTATTGGCTTTAACTCTCCACTGAACCCCATATTTCGGGAAAAGGTCGGAAAATGAAAAGGCTCGATCTAAACAGTAGAAATCATCATTGAGTTATTCCAGAATCAGAATTACTTTAACCCAGTAACTAAAAGCCTCATCGTTTTTGTCCGAGAACAAAGAAGATATGAACAGGCCGGTCTACTGAATAGAATCGCAACATCGAAAAACGATTCGTTGAACATCGAAACAATTTATCATCCTAGAACGACCTGCCAAGCCTCGGGCGGTGATAACATTCCTTTGACATGCATTTTTTTACTGATTCTAGTGCTCAGAACTGCACCGAAAGCGAAAGTAGAATTAAGCTACTTTAGCTTAATTTTATTTTTTAACTCGTAAAAACGGCGAGAAAAGAGGGAGCGGCGGTCATTAAGCTGATTCCTGCCTAGAGCCAAAAAGCTGATTGACGGGAATTAAGTATCTTTTTCATTAAAATTTTGAGAAAGTTTAGCTGCTATGTTATAGCGCCAACAGAATCTCAGGAAACTCCCGCGCTCTTTGAACAAACACGGGGATAAAAAAAGACCCGAGATCGACTGTGAAAAACTAGAAATCAAAGGACACCCAGAGGATTTTCTACAATTTTCTAAAAAAGAGAGACATACACTTTTCTACGTAGCAGCGTTCCTACTCTGCTGTCTTCTGATAAGGTGTTTTGATTGATTGGCTTTTGGAATTAGCTCGCTGGAATAAATAAGAAAGAGAAAAGGATGGAAAGACTGAAGGTGTTGCCTAAGAAAGTGTTGCCGATTATCACCTGGCTTCCAAAGTACAATGTCCAGTTTGCTATCAGGAAATGTTTGAAGCTTTAAAATTGAAACATCATCTTTATTTCCAAGTACTTTTTAGTCACTCTATTATAGACTGTAGTTGTCTTGAATTAACGAAAAGAGCTCATAATTAATTTAATGACAGTCTGGCTAATTAATGATCTCGTTCATTCTCCGCTTAGTTTACCTCCCTGAATGACTTATTACGACCTTGAGGAAGCATTACTTTTGTATTGTAAATATTTACGCTTCGAATAAATCGGTCACATTTTGACCTTGAGGCTGTCCCAAGGAGGTAGTGAAGCAGCCCGCTGCTGAATCTTCAAACTTTTGACAGAGATCTCATCGCTGGACTAACAGTCGGCCTTACAGTCATTCCACAAGGATTGGCTTATGCTAACTTGGCGAGTTTACCTGCGCAGTATGGACTGTATTCTTCGTTTATGGGAGTTTTTGTTTACTGTCTCCTGGGAACATCGAAAGATATCACGCTCGGTACGCCATAAAATTCACTGACTCATCCTCATTTTTATTCCAGGGCCGACAGCAATCATGTCAATGCTCGTGGCTCAATTCTGCAGTCGCCCAGACAGCTGGCCGACCGAGTATCCCGCTGCTATCAGTCAATCCGACCCTGCTTTGGCGATAAATCTGACGATGCTTTCTGGACTTATTCTCCTCGTTCTCGGCATTCTCGACCTCGGATTCATCGTAAACTTCATTTCTCACGCTGTTATTGTCGGTTTCGTCTCAGCTGCTTCTATTCTCATTTCCTTTTCCCAAGGTTGGTTGTATCATCAAAATCGTTATTAACAAAAACACCAGTGAAAAAGCTGTTCGGAATCAAGCTCCATCACCGTGAATTTTTCAAAGCGCTGCCAGAACTAGTCTCGGAAATATTCAAAGGACACATCAACTGGTACGATTTTGCGATGGGCATTATCTGCATCGCGCTTCTCAAGGGGCTTCAAATTCTCAAGCAAAAGAAGGAGAACGACGAATCACTTTCACCAGTCGTTCGAAAAGGTAACAGTTGAATAGGGATCTCCTTATGATTAAGGGTGTCACTTCGCTGCCACGAAAAAAAGTAAAGAATGTCTAACCTTGCTTAACCCAAGAACGCTTCTGGTAGTCGCTGCTCTTGACATTTTGATTTTAGTGATTTGGCTGATCGGAACTGCTCGAAACGCATTTGTTGTGATAGGAGCCGCTTTGGTCGCATTTGCACTAGGCCGGTGAGGCAATGAAATTTAATTGACTTGTGTAATTGCTGTCATAACCGAGGAAATAGATTTCTCGCCAACTTTGGAAATTCTCCGAGACAGTAAATGTAGATCTTGAATTTCCTCATCGCTAAAAAGAAAAGGACAATATCGACTTCTGGAAAGACGGTTGCAAATCAGGAACCGCCAACTGCACCAGCCTGACTCTCACAAAACTCGAAGACGCCTCCCTTCCTCCCTTCAAAGTCCCGATGCTTTCGTACAGCTACGAGTTTTTGAACGAAACGACGCAAGAACCAGAAGAGTTTCATGTTGGACCAATGATGATCATTTCCAAATTGTCCATCGGATTGTTCATCATCCCGTTGATGGCGTATTTGGAATCGATTGCGATTGCCAAAGGGTTTGCGATCAAGAATGGATACAAAGTAGACCCGACTCAAGAGCTTGTAAGTAGAATATGACAGTTATCATTAACTTATCAATCGAGAGACACCCTTTGTTCTAGTAGAACTTCTACTCCAAAGCTAAGTTCAAAGCTTTATTTATCTTCAGCTTGCTATTGGCCTCTCAAACTCAATCTCCGCCTGTGTATCCTCCTACCCCGTCACTGGTTCATTCTCCCGCTCAGCTGTTAACAGTCAAAGCAACGTCGCCACCCCTGCAGGAGGAATCGTATGTGGCGCACTCGTCCTTCTTGCGCTTCTGTTCCTGACTCCAATTTTTGTTTACATTCCAGCCGCTTGTTTAGGAGCAGTCATCATTCTCGCCGCCATTTCCATGTTCGACGATGCCGGAATCAAGTAAATAACCACTCATCATTCCTTTTTTCATCTCTTCTTTTCTAGGCATACTTGGAAGCTGTATCGACTGGACATGATCCCACTTGTCGTCTGCTTCGTCGTTTGCTTCCAAGACATTGCTCATGGCATCATCGCTGGCATCATTTGTCACGTGTTGATCTTGCTCTACAAGACGTCAAAGCCTTCGGATGGAGCATCAGAATCAGAGGGACACATTCAAATGGCCCCTGCTCAGGGTCTTTACTACCCAGCAGCAGAAGTACTTGAGCAATACATTGTTGAAATAAACCCTGTTTTCTATAGATGCTTGCTGAAAGAATCGAATCCGCCGTCCAAGACGGCAAAAACATCACCCTCGATCTTGGAAAAGTCGCTGAAATCGACTCCGCTACTTCGGACGCCTTCAAGAATGCCTTGAATTTCGCCAAGAAAGAAAGCCTCTCTGCTGTGGTTATTAATGCCAATGTACGTACCCAACCCTCAATCACCCCCTAAATTGTCTTTTCTAGAGCCAAGTCGAGCAAATCCTCCGCGACAACGGCGCAGGTGATTTTATCGCCGAAGAAAAATCATCTGGCGAAGACGAAAAAGACGCTTTCCTCGAGAAAGTATGAAAAACTAGCATCAAGAATAACGAAACAAGTTCAACCTCATTCTCAAAGTTCACAAGTGCCTAAAAGTTTCATTCATAAAAACGCGTCGTAATATCGCTACTGACAAAAACTCAAAACTTCTTCGTCAAGTCGAAAATTATTTATTGCTAACAAAAAATGATGAATAAAACAAAAACCAATTTTCTTAGACACAAAGTGTTGATGAGTTCAAAAGTAAAAAAAGAGGAGGTGGCCTGGCCTATGCAAATAGCAAAAAAATAGACAGAGGTCCTGAAAAATTGCATAGAAAAATTGAAAGAGAGATTGAATTAAGAATGCTAACGCTCAAATATTTCTCTTTGAAAGCAAGAGGAGAAGTTCCCAGGCTATGATTGCAGACAGAATAGTTTCTAGCATCTTCTTTCCGTTTGTATCCCTTTCAAAGGCTTATTTTGACAGCAGGAGGCGTTCCGTTCAACAACGTAAAATACGATTTCACCGCGCGCCCACCAAATCACCCGAAAATCGCGGCAAAAGTAGCTGAGTACAAAGAAAGCCCAGCCGATTTCACTGGGCGCCAATGGATGGAAAACAAGGGAGACTATCCATTTCAAGCGCTTCCAGTGCTGGAAAATGTTCCGGAATTGGATGGAGCGCCTTTTCCGCAATCAAGAGCGATTGTTAGATACTGCGCGAGATTGGCAAATCTTGAGGGATCTGATGAAGCTACAAAGATAAGGTAAGAGACCAGAGGTTCATCAAGAGTATCGTCAAATTCAAGGGCGGATATTTTTGCCGAAAGTGCTTATCAATGGTTCGAAAAAGTGTGGATGAAATACACAATTCTCGTTGGAATGGATCAAATGTCCATGAAAAGTGAGAAGAAACTCGAGCGAATGGACAAATTGAAAGGAATGATGGGTACCGGAAAAGTTTGAGGAGTTTCTTTACAATTTTCTTTCAGAGGGCGAATGCGAAGACTACCTCGAATCGCTTGAAAAACTCCATGTTTCCCACTGCGGCGAGAATTCTCCATTTTTCGCCGGAAAAGAAGTCACTTATGCCGATTTCCAACTCCTTGTTACTTTCGATTTGATGAAAGACATGGGCTACGAAGAATTGATTGCAGAAAATGCTCCGAATCTAGCTCGAATCGCAAAATCAGTCGCCGCCCTGCCTCAAATCAGTGAATACATAGAAGAGAATCAAGGAGTCGCTGTTGTTGCTGCTGGAATGCTCTTTTGAATAAATGAAATAATCGAAGCAAGGGTGTATTTTCTCCTCAAGAAAATCGAATAAAAGCGTATGATTTTGCAGGGATTTGAACAGGCAGCGTTTTAGTAACAAACATTTCCGTCGGATCAACTGTGTTCGTCAAGGGAAGCTCGTTTCCATTCAGAAATACGACTGAGCTTTGATCGTCGGGCGAGGACATTTTCCAAATGTCGACTTCAAGGTCAAACAAGCCATTGATATTTTTGATTTCGATCGGCTCGTCTCGATTGAAATTGATAGCAAGGAGGACTGTTTCATTTTTCTTGTTTTGGTGCGCGTAAAGATGCAATTTTTCATCCCCTGAATTTCAATAAAAACCAATCTCGAAAGTGATAAAAACCTGAGTGAAGAACATCATGGACAAATTCGCCCATCAGCGAATTGAACAAAACAGTTCCCCAGAAATCTGGATTGATAGAATTCTCCCCGTTCGTTCTCTGTAACAGACCGTAGTTTCCTCCGATGAGGGTTTGTCGACAATAAGCATCGTGCTTGTACTGGGCGAAGATGCCAAGCTGATCTGAACGTTTTTTTTTGGAGATTTTCGGGAGAAAGGGAAGTGCTTACCGAGGTACCACCGGTGGGACATGAAACGATTGGTTGTCGTATTTTGACCGCTGTTGAAGGCTCCGCCGGTTTCGCCCATCCAGAGCTCTTTATCTCGACCATGCTGTCTTTAGTTTCAGACTTTGCTAAAACCTCACACCCTGTAAATTTTTGGAAAAATCATTTGAAAACTATTCCTGACGCTGCCATAAATTCACAATTTCCAATCTCTCCTTGATCTCCGTCAGCGTAAAATTCTCATTATTCACATTCGGAATAACTTCATCACTTCTTCCTGCTCCAAGTGGATACCAATGCCAAGCAACTCCATCCCAGCCGTCGTATTTTTCGATGAATTCGGTCATAAAAATATATTCCCAATTTCCTGATAACGTCAAGATCTTCATTCTTCCAGGCCCAAAGACTTCATCAAGCTCTTTTCTCAACAGAGCATAATCTTTCGCTGCGTTTTCGGGAGTAAAATGAGCATCGCCAGTTTTGACTCCCCAAACTTCATTTCCCAATTCGAAGCCGTAGAAAAGATCTTCTTTTCCCTGGTTTTTGATGTATTCGAACAGAGCTCTTGCGTTTGCAGAGTCCCAGTCGCCCTCCCAAATTGTCGGTCCAACAAGTGTCCGGCCAAATTCAGCTGAAAGATCGAACACGAGCTTTTTCTTGTTCCGCTCCGCAAAGTCCATTAGAATATCAAATCGGCCACCAGGGAGGCAGGCTTTTCCAAAGCCGGAAAAACTGCCGTCTGAAAATTTTTCATTATGTATTTACATTTAAGCTCAAGTCGTTTAATTTTTATTGACCACCAATCAACAAAAATTGATGTCAAAACGAGAAAACATAAAAAAGGGAAAAACAAGAAAGCGAGTGAAAAATGTAATTTTCAACTAAAGATATTTGATCGATGAGAAATTCAAAAAGATCAAGATCAAGCGCTTCCCAAATATATTCGCGCTGGCAAAATATACCGAGAAATATTCAACCGACTTCTTTTCGAAGCAGAGTAACCGACTCTCCTGTGAGCTATTCAAGAGAATCTCAAGCTTCTTCTTCAGGTTTTCAAAATTATTCTGATTTTCTACAATTCTACAATTTAATATTTCATAGATGAGCTGGAACAGATTGTGGGTCAGCTTCAAAGTCGTGTTTTGAAGCTTGAAGCTCAGGTTAAAACACTCATCGCGAAATCGGAAGCGGAAAATTCGAAGCCATCTCAAAAGAAAATAAAAAACAAAAAGAAGAAAAGCAGAAAGCTTTGCCGTATCTGTTGAAATTATTTAATACAAATCTTCAAAGAGAAAATTTATTCAATGAAGACTACCTGGATAACCATGTCCCACCCAAGGAAAGTAACAAAGCGGATCTGTCGGGTCATTTGGATCAGGGCAAGTGCAAGACCCCCAAGTCGTCGATCTATCAGCAGTGTCGACTTCCACGTGATCGCAAAGCGTTCCTCCAACTCTCAGTAAAGATTCATTTCCAAGCATTTTTGTCGCATTGTTCAAAAGCTCATCTTCAAAATCAAGATCCATGAGTCCCATCTCCACCCAGCTGCAATTCCCATAGTCGCATTTCTCAGAAGGCCAGAAATCAAGAGTTTGACAAGTGTAAGAATGCTTCTCTGAAGGCAAAACATGCAAAACTGTCGAAGTAACGTTGAGAAAAACTGGCAAAAGAGCCATCTTTTCAAGCGATTCTGAGAGAAATGAGGCCAGAAAGAGTTGGCGAACTTTGTGAAATTTACTCAAGAAGGGAGTTTCATATTTGAAAATCAGTAAAATGAAGCACTAAACAAGCCATTGCTTAAATTCACTTTCAATAGTCATCTTTATTGTTAGAATTATTATGAGTATGAACCCAAGAGTCAAAATTTTCTTTATCCATGCCAAGAATGAAGATTTTGCGATTCTTGTTTTTACGGTCATTTCGAACATATTTGATCAAGTCGATAAGATTTGGACAGATCTTTGTCTCTACCATTTTATAGGATTTTTAAAAAGGAGAAAACTCGAGTTTTTGTCGAAGAGGATTCATTTATGAGGGTCTCAACGCATCCAAAAGAGTTGTCAAGAAAAAGCGTCGAGAAATGGCTTCAGATATTTATAAAAAGGTTGAAGAGAGAAACAACTCTGACTGACTTGGATAGATTAATTTTGTCTGTTGAAAGAATGGATTTCGAAACAAATGAGTCTGCTGATTGGGACGAAGTTATTTTCAAAAATGGAAGAGGGATGGCAGCTGTCGAAAAATGGGACATTAATTCTACTCAGAGAAAAATCCTAGGATTTTTTAACGCTTGGTATGGAGGAGAAAAAATCAAGCGATCTCAACTGAGAGCGGAAACTGGAAACTGGTTCCTCGAATCTTCCCTCTCTCATAAATTGATTTCGATTGGGGGTGAGGCAATCGTCCTGGAAGATAACTTCGGAATTCTGGAAGTTGCTGTTCGTGTTCAAATTTTTGACCCAGTGCTTTTTACGAAAAATGGTGAAGAAGTTTCGTATGAAATTCATCTTTCATCAGGTGAACCAATACTGTCTCAGATTATTTAACATGAATCGTAGATTACGAAATCGCAGTAGATGATGCAGAAACCGAAAAGAACGTTATCCCTGTTCATGAAAACGTGATTAAAAACTTTGTGAATATTGAGATCTTCTCGGCAATCGACGAAATGAAAGAAGATTGTTTAGGCTGGATAACAATAATGGAAAAATGTGACTCAAATTTGAGAAAACGATTGAAATCTGAAGATCTTAGTTTTGAAGAAAGAAAAAGAATTGCAATTGGGGTTCTGACTGGAGAGAAGTATTTGAATAGTATTGGCATCGGTCATTACGATAAGAAACCAGGGAATATCCTTTTAAAGAATGGAGAGCCGAAATGGATAGACTTTGGCCTGGTGGAGGAAAGAACAGGAAGAAAAAGTTATAGAGAGATGGGATACGTAAGAAGAGGAAGCAAATATAGGCATCATAAATATTTACGTTAGTTAAAACACTTTAAAAAAAAAACTTACGATTTATTTGAGGGTCTGGGTCAGCTGGATTTTCTTTGCTCTCTCAGCTTTCGATTCATAAGTGCAGAAAGAATTACGCCGAAAAAAGAGGTAGGTTATTTTTAAGAAAATTATATTTTTCAATTCACTTAAGCTGGATCTGTTCGATTTTCCTCTGTTAACGAAATTACTTCTGTATTAAAATCGAAAAGTAATGAGAGAAGCATTTATATTTTTATTTTATCCGATTGGAAAACAGCGTGGACCTTGCATTTCAATCCTATCGAACCAGATGAAAGAAACGAGCTCGAGGTAAATTCGGTCCTTTTGGGAAATATGCATCGTATTAAGATTTATAAATATCGAGGGCTTATAAATGATGACACAACTATCGATGAAATACAGAAGCTGTCAAGTTTGATTTCTTTAAAGAATGCTCCATCAGACTTCTGTCTTGACGATCCGAACTTAACGAAATCATCCGCTGTAGCTTATTTAAAGCCGAATATGACAAAATATTTCGAAACTTTCGAATATCTGACAAACCATGTTCCTGATCAAAAAGATACGAACCTCTGTGTCCCGATCTCAGTTACCCTTCTTTTACGATGGGCGCTGAAAAATGATGTAGATTACGATCCGATAGAATCCGCTTTTACTTTCGAAAACATATTTACCGCACTGACAATGGTCATTTATCCTCGAAGCTTGGCTGGACTCAATCTTAACCCAAAAAATGACGAAAAAGACTATCAGTACAACGATATTGAGATGCTTTTAAGATGTCTGAAATATGAGACTTGCTTTAGAAAAAGTGGATGGTATATACTTAAACAACTAGGCGGTCTGGATATTGGAAGTTTTAACTATGAAACAGGTAATAATGAATAACCAAGTATCAAGATCAATCTCTTCAGTCCTTCTACACAATAATTTCGTCTTTGACCGCCCTTTGACTGTTACATGTGCCTATCTGGAGCCCGAAGAAGAAAAACCTTTCTTCCACCAAATGGTTCTCGACCGCGTCGAAGGAGAGGAATACGTTCTTCAAAACACTCTTCTTTCTCATTCTCCTTCTCGAATTCGAATCTTTGTTCAAAACCGCTACTACGCCAATTACGAAATGATGGATGATTGTTTGCAATCTTATGGGGCTTTCGATTACCACGGACCGAACGGAGAATTTCTTCAACTTGCTAATGAAACATGCGGAAACATGATTACTCGCCAGTGGTATCTTTTTCCTCAGGCCTACTCAATAACTCTTACTAAATCTTAATTCAGACCGTTAAAGAGACTGTCTGACAATTGTCTATTGACAATCGATAGCGACAGATTTCCGTTTTTGAAATTATAGATTCTTCAATCAACCGGGCTCAAAATCCAAACATATGACCTCTTTTACTCCGAAATGCTGTATTTATTGTCTGAACGTATTATAAAAATCATTGATGCTGTCAAGATGATCTCATTTTGGCTTCCATGAATTTCTTCTTAATTAATTACTGAATAAATAACGAGAGCCAGACCTTGATAAGGCTTCGGTCGTTGCATTTTGTTTCCTCTAGTCAAGAGATTCATTTTTGCGATTTGGCTCATCAGCTGTTGAAATTTCTTTGTCTCTACATATCTCTCCACAAATTTCGCCATTGTTTGGTCATCATATTGAGCTTGTACTAACTTTTCTATGTTCTCAAATTTTCTTCATAAAAACGACAAAATCACTTTTGAAAACGTTCCGAAATTGCTAGAAACAAAAATTGGGCAAAAATCTTCATCCTATTTTTAAGTGCTCTTTGTCTTTTTTGTTCTTTGGCAGGGTATCTTCCTGGTTTCTTTTTTATCTGGCAGCTGGTTAATTATTAACTTGATAACCTGTCAAATAATTTGAAGACATGGGTTCTCCTTAATAACTGCTATCTGGTAGAAGAAAGGTCTAATGGCGGTCAGCATGGTGCCAAATTAGTTACAGTTTCGACACATTTTTGGATATTGCTTTTCTATTACAACCATGGAGAATAAAAAAGGCTTCTTTTCTCTCTATTATTTTAGTACTGGAAGGTGCTTCCTTTGCTAAGTATTCTCAAGGATAATTTGAATAAAGCAGTTGGCTAATGATTAAAGTTAAGACATGTAAGATTATTTAACGACAGGAGTTTAGCATTAAATAACTTTGATTCAGAAAAAAATTCTTGATTTTGAATAAAAATTTGAATTTTTTTTTATTTGCATTATATAAAAAGAAATAGTCAAAAATAGCAGTTCAGGGAGATTCATCGGCGCAGAACTTTCGGTTCCACATGAAATCGATGACAAAGTCAAATCGCTTTTGGATTTTCTTCGTCTCTTGTTTTCCTTCTTTTGCAAGATTGTCAAGACAGAGGTTGTTCTTGGTCCATCGAAGATACGATCGAGCTACTTTTCGAGCGTACTGGCACTTTGTCGCTAAAAATAAGGGTTGGTTTAAAAGACGGTTGTTTTAATGTACCTGTTGCTGGATCCCAAGCATCATCAGCCTCGGAAAATGGTGCCCAGAGATTGCTGCATCCGTCGACGGAAGTTTCTGCCATTGGAATAGCATCAAGGGCTTTTCCAAGGATTCGATCGAATCGGTCCGCAAATCGATCGTATCCTTCATCTCTCAAAACACTGAACAAAAAAATCATCATCATCATAAAAATTTTTGTTTCTTACGTGAGAAAGTCTTGGTGTCGCTGGTCGAGATCATCTTTCTTTGCGGCGAGGGCAGCAGAAGCGAAAAGAGCAAAAATCTTCATTGTTGACGGTTGTCTTGAAAAGAATGATATGAAAAATGCCCAGGCGAAGAGAATTTATAGTGGTATCATGATTTAATCAGAGGGCGCTCCTGGTCAATTTACGCGCATGGAACCGAGGAGAGCTGAAAATTCTGAGGATCAGGAAAGGCTGATTGTTGCAGTATGAAAAGAAAAAGGTGATTCTTGCCGAATTCCAAAAAAAACGTGCCTAAGATGCGTTTTTGCGAAGATATATTATTTATAAAAATGTCAATTTGATTGTCAGCCGGGAACTCCTTCTGCTACATTGTTTCTTTTTTCTCTATTGGTAAAAGATATTGAGATGGCGTTTTTCTACGAGAAATTATCTTCTTCTTCTTTTAATTTACGAAGAAATCGAAGCAAAAGGTAGAAAATTTAATCGATTCTGAAAAATTTAAAAATTTAGGCTTTCCCGGATCGTAAAACCGACAGTTTTCTACGTCCGAATCCGAGAACTGCAAGAAAAACTGATCAACGAAAACTTCGAGCTTCAGAAAAACGCTAGCGAAATCGAAAAACCATGCTGCTACGGATGCAGATGTTGTGATATGTGCATCGCGCTATTTTGCTTTTTAATTACTGTTTTTTGCCTTTTGTCGTATATTTCAAAGCTGAACATAAATTTTAATCTCTTCTGAGTTTTTCGAAATTTCTGCTCAGAAAGGATTAAACAAACATTGAAAACAACGTTTATCACTTTTTTCGTTCACGTAGAACCGCGACAGGGAGTGATAAGGACTTAGCCCCGGCGATACCGATGGAACAATCCCAAGCATCATCCGACCAAAATAGAGATAATGATCGCTTATTTCTAAAAATTCAAAATTCAAGAGCGACTTTTTACAACCAATACTAACGGAAAAATAAAGTGTTTAGTTTAATTTAGGGTTAGATCAAGATTTAAGGTACCCTCATCAAGAATTGCGAAAAGTGGCCTCCTAATCTAACTATCTTTGCGACACCCTTAATTTCAATTGCAATTTTTAGATAGAACCCTTGACTACAGACATTCCTCTTATGGCGATCTCTCGATCAGCAATTTAAGGATATACAGGCCGTTAAAGGTCAGGTTTCTAGGAGCAAGCTTTTTTAGGTTTTTAGATGAGGGAAACCCTTAATTTTTTTAGGAGATTATTTTTGCTTTTTCCGCAAGTTTGGTAGAGGATCTTTATTAGCTTTGAAATTGGCCTTTTGATTATTTTCCTGATAATACTTTTACTCGTAATAATTCACAGCGATTTCTCCTCAAAGCATGAATATTTCATTAGTATCTAATTTTTAGAATTCCTTTACTTATGCATGAAATTCAATCAATTCGTGTCCGCTTCTAAAACCGATTATGAAAACAAAGCGAGAATTAGTGACGTTCCAAGCATATCATATTCATTTATTCAGCAAAAAGTACGGCTCCTTGAAAATTGAATTGTGTCTTCGACAATTTTTCTTCTGAAATTGCTCCATCTTCTTTGCCGACTTAATTTTTGTAGAGAAAAGAGTCTTTGATTTCTTACTTGATTTGACCCCTTGCTGAAAAACTTGGGACTTTGGGAAGCATTTCTGAAGCAAGAAGAAATCTGGCGTCGACTTCGGCATTTGAAAGCTTCCGGAAGTCATTTTCTTTTATTGACAAGACCTGGCAGCCGCAAGAAATCAGGTACTCATCTTTATTTGCTCGAGAAGGCGTGAAGAAATCACCGGATCTTTCTACAGGTAGATATAAGAAAAGATAAAGCCTCTAAATTTTAGAGTCTAAAACACAGGATCTACACGGTATGAGAGCAGGTGTTCAACTAAAACCTGCACTTAACAGCTGCCAAAAGAAATGAAATGGCATAAATTGAGCGAATTTTTGAAAAATTAAAAAATTTTTGAAATGTATCCGAAGTGATTGAACGGTAAATCGTAGATACTCCTTTTCGAGATTTGATATTTTTTACATAGAAAATTCTCATTGAGTTTTTGGCTCAGTCATTTTTATATATTATTATAAAAATTACAATTATAAAATTATTATAAAAAATGCAGCAATTTATCGAAAATTATTAATGAGAAAGAGTTCCACCTGTTCCTTAACTCCCTGACTAAAATAAACACATTATTGACCACTTTCTTCACAACTTTAGCCAGTCCACTTTCAATAAAATGCAATTTTCGCGGCATCTCATTCGGGTCCGAAATCAGTCTTTCTTTTCGATAAAATGTTCCGGTGACGGATTCATCGGTCAATTTGCCAACTGGAAAGTCTCTCAAACAACGAATCGTTTTGAGAAAATCGTGGACTTGGGAGATTTCTTGCTTTCTGTGGAAAATTCGCATGTAGTCGGCGCGGGAGAGGGTTAACACGTCGAGCGCTTCTTGGACGAAAACGGTCTCGCGGCGGGGAATGTTTCGGCGGAGGCAGTCGTCGTCGTCGCCAATGCATTGGCCGGCGGAGATGCTGCCCGTCACTGAAGAAAGAATTGACATTCAGGTAAAGGACAGGGGAGTACAACGAACAAGGCCACGTCTAAGCCGGAAAATCCGATGCTCACGACGATTTTACCTCATCAACTTGGATCGTGATATTTTGAAAGATCATGGTTAAAATTCAATGAAAAAAAATTTTCTTCCGTAATCTTTAGGCCTCGGACGTAAAAAAGACGATTTTCACCTTGTCCAATATTTTCAGACATTAAATTGGGGAGGTTTTTGGAACCGACAAAAATTTGGACAAATTTTGCGTGGAAATTTTCAACCAATAAGAAACACGGATTCGGCTCACTGGCCAATCAGCAGTCGAGTAGCCGCCCACGCAAAATTTGTCGAAATTTTTTGTCGATTCCTGATCTTTGGTCGGATCCCCATAAAATTGTCCGTTTCGACAATTTTTCCCATATAATCGTTTTTTCGACAAATAATTGGACCGTTTAACATATTTTTTTTTGCAAACCAGAGTCAAAGAATTTAGTAAAATCATGTTTTATATCCAAAAAGCCCGTTGAAACAAGAGAATCTCAATATTTTTATTTTGGAAAAGCCTTTTGTGTTATCTTAATAAAAACATTGATTACCTTGAAGTCTGTCCCCATTTAACAGTCTAGCTGTCTTGCCCTTCAATGCTCTTCCTTGAAGAATAATGTAATAATTCTCCGATCTGTTGTTTTCTTTACAAAGAACTCGGCCAGAATTGAAATGCTCCAAATGCGCACATTTGCAGATTTCAAGTTGGATTTCCATGTTGAAGCTTGAAATTGGAGGAAAAATTCCAATCGCCCGGGCGCTCGTTTCCAGAAGGGATTGGGACTTGCGGAGAGAGGAGGGGAGGCGCAGGTATCGGCGGACGGAGGAGTGGATGTTCAAACTAGAATGAAAACCTGTGTAGAAAACCTGAGTTAGGGTCTGAAAAATTTCTAATGAAAAAAAGCGAATGATCGGTCAGACCCTGACTCAGGTTTTCTACTCAGGTCCGACTCGGCAATGCCGAGCCAAGCTTTTTGACTAGCAGAAATAAGGGTGTCAACAAGTTAATTTCATAAGAAAAAACTATTTATCAACTGTCAGTTAAATGCTCTAAATCACTGTTGATTCGTTTAATCTCTTCTGACTAAATGGATAAGTCCAAAGTCAAAACTGTCAATTCAAGATTTACGCCCGTCGTTTTTAATTCCAGTCAATGTCAAAATTATTGAAATAGCCCAACTCACGTATTGCCGACTTTGTAGAGCGCAGGATTGAAAACTTCGTTTCCCAACTTCATCTTTTCCGTCAGCTCGGATCTCTGACGAAGCAGCTTGGAAAATCGTTCTTCAGAAGATTCGTCGTTGAATTTTACTGACTTTAAAACGCCTCTAATTACAGTCAACTTACTGTCAAAGAAAGTAGTCTTACCCAGCTCGAAGAAGAATAATCGTCTTTCTGACTGCCCGAACAAATCTCTCTAGAAACGAAGATCAGCTCAACTTTTTCCGACTTGTAGGAAGTGTTTTTTGAAAAAAAAAATGGAACTTACGGCGGGGAATGTTGATTTTCAATACACCTGCACGTCGCTCGGGTATCATCGGCATCCAGGGGAAATCGATAAACTCTGATAGAGTCTAAAATTGGATACGAGTTATTCTCAAATTTAAGGGCGTGCATTCGTTATTTTTTAAATGGGTCAAGGCAAGTGGAGGGTATTTATTCTAACTTTGATGTCGAAAAATAACGCTTTGATACCCTTAATTTTTGCCCTTAATAAAGGGTCTCTCCGAGTCGAGAACTTGTGTAGAAAACCTGAGTCAGGTTCTGAAATATAGTCTAAAAATCTGACTCAGGTTTCTTTCACAGGCTCCCGAGCTCAGTTAAGGGCAAAGCTTTCTCTGTGTTCAGTATTCTGACTTTGATCGAGCAGAATGGATCCCCTTATTGGCACCGCTAAACCAACACTTCTATTGTTTTTGCTCAGAAAGTTCTCTGCCCATCACCTGGCTACCGTCTTGTTTTTTGTCTCTCCCGAAAAACCAGATCTTACTTGATTTTTTGAAAATCTTCTGAAACTTCTAAACATCTTTGAATCTGATCTCTCAAAACAAAGATTCAGGCAGAGGCAAGATGCAAAAATCTGATGTCAATAGAAATTAATCCGGGCGGGGTACTTTCAAGATTAAAAGTTTCCCAAGCGGGAAGTCCACGATCCGCAATATTTTGAGGAAGCAACTCAGGAAGCACCAAGTCGGAGGACTTATTTGAACCAGAACTTTTCTACGGAGTTTTTTCACTGATCTAACATGGTGACGCCCTTATTTGATTTCATCAAATTAAGAAGAAACATTCATTTAAATTTTTTGGCTATGATTTTGAGACAAAAACTGAGCGTGGTAAGGGTTTTTACTAAGGAAGGTTAGGGTAAAGTTTAAGGGTGTAGAGGGTTTAAGGTGAAGAATATCTTTTGAAATACAATAATTGATGGGTAGACCCTTAAATCGATAATCCAAACACTAACGGAAAATGAATCATCAGAAATTTAGTCGAGCATAATAAGGGTATTTCCTCAAAAAGCTAGCTAGGGAAGGCTTTACTGTACCTGATTTCTTTTAAGATGAAGCCTGAGATCCTTGAGTGTCTCCATTTTTTCTTTCGACTTCAAGTTCTTCCTCTTCACCGGAAATTCAAAAATGCTCTGACAAACTCTCCTTATTCCCGTTTTTTTTCTTTGTTTATTGTGTACCAAAAAGAGTCAAGAAGTGGCGAAGTTGCACTAAGCCCCTCACATCCGTCGCATCCGCCGTAAAGACGGCATCGTAACCATTTAAATAAACAGAAGCGAAGGTCAGATGCCACTGAAAAAGAAGAATTTTCAAACAGACAGGTGTCAGAATATTTAGCTAAGGGACCGCAGCTTCGTGGAGTTGACAAATTTTGGAGGAGCGTGGGAATGTTTTTAGAAGCTACTTTTTTGAGTGAAAAACATAATCAAATCAAGACCAAGAAGGTCTAAGCTCTAGAATACTTAATTGATTATGTTTTCGGTTTGAAGGAAATCTTCAGTTGGAAAATGTCGTATTTTAACGATCAGGGCTCAAAAGAGGATCTGTGGGCTTCGTATGGTAATGGTAAGAAACTGTACTTATATCCGCAAAATAAGAAATAATGAAGCGGCGTCAGATCAAGCATTTTCATTCTCACCTCAGCCTACCAATGAAGCGTCCATCCCTATGGCAGGTTCGATCGCAACTCCCGAAGCGCCTGTTCATCCAACTCCACCTAAGGCAGGCGATTATCTCCCTCAACCATCCGTTCCGTTAGCAGGTGCCCCTGAACCACCTCCTCAGCAGCAACATGCTTATCCAACTGAGCAACCTCTTCCACTCGACGCGCATTTTTCTGGAATTTCTGAAACTCTTTCTTATTCAACTTCCTCATCGATGACTTCTTACTCAAGTGATCTCCCGTCGAATTCCCGAAGAAGAAAACAAATGGATGATGATGTCTTAATGGACTACATTTTGCGCTGTTTCTGTTGCTCGATCGTGTTGTTTCTCACGCTTGTTTTTGTCGGATGGATATTATGGGGAGATAATGAACACCATTACGATGGAGGGCCACCACTTGGATCACCTCAGAATCCGTTCGTCTTCGCATCCAGTTTCGTCGACCAAGGGAGCATTGATAATCAAACAGTCAACATTTGCGATGGCAATTTCGAATACGACGTCTCTTCTTTTGGACACTTTCAGTAAAGGCCCGCTTTTAAAACTGTATATTTATTTTTTCAGGTCACCAAATTACCCGAGGAACTATTTTTCCGGCGCTTCCTGCACGAATAAATTCACCTCGACAAGCAACGGCATCACCTTCGAATTTGTCAACTTTCACTTACAAGCATTGCTTGAAGGAAGTTACGATTACGTCGTTTTTCAGGATGCAAATAATAAGCGTTATCCATTTTCGAATCCTGTGGAGGTATTGTCTTAAGGAGGTCGATATCAAGAAAAAAATTTTCCATTTTTTCGCTTCAAACTTTTTCTACGTATAGTTTCGAGGTCAAGGAGAAAACTTGTTAGCAAAAATTTTTTAATGAGACCACGTGATTTTTCACAAAATCGCCTCTAAAATCTCGAAAATTTGCCCTTTTTATAATAGATCGACCAATTTTTAGTAATTAAATACGTAATTACTTAGTTTTCGTCCAAAAAACATTAACAGAAACCCCTGGGAACATTTATAGAATGATTTTAATACTGCTGAATAAAAATTCAAAATTTTATATTTTCGTTGAAAATTGCGAATAACAGGAAATCGAATATTTTCTAAAAAATATTTTTGAAATTTTAAATTCTGGCCTTCATAGGATCTAGACAAGGGTCTTATCTAACTACTGCGAAGAAAATATATTCCGCCCAATATATGGGTTTCGAGAAAAGTCTGCCAAGAAAATGGTCATTTTTAGCGATTTCTGAGTTTTCAAAGCCATTTTTTACGATTTTTTTCTGGGAATTTAGAAATCGGCCTTCCATAGGCACGAGATAAGGGCCTCAACTCTTTATTAAAACAAAAAAATCATCGGTCACTATGTTAGGATTGGGAGAAAAGTCTGCCAGAAAATCCCGATTCTTGATATCTACCTCCTTAATTAGCCAAGCCGTCTATTTATCAAAATAAGAGCAACTATTGGAGAGGAGTTCGAATTTCGTTCGATTCACCAGATGTCCGCGTTCTTTTTGTCTCCGACTACGACTTTGAAGACACTGGATTCAACATGAAAATCATCGATGGATACGAGGAATCAAACGACATCGAGACTCAGTGGCCGCAATTTAAAACTCAAATGCCCTACTTACCTATGGGCTGGGGTCGGCAAACGGACAGCAAAGGCAATCGCCCTCTAGAATTGCCTACCGGATACAGTAAAAACCCAAAAATTGGCCGGTTTTCAGATGTGAATTCCCAAGAAAAGCGGCCAAATTTTGGGTTTTTCGCCGGGTGGCCAAGATTCCCCTTCAAAAAGCAAAGTTTCGAAATTTTCGAAAATCGGCATGATTTTCACATTTTTGATGATTTTTTTTTCAAATTTTTGCATGTTTGAAGACATTCTTATTAGAATTTAGTTATTTTCAATGATTAAAACACTTTTAAAAAGCTGAAAATGATCAGAAATGGCATCATTTGGGCCCAATTCTGATGGAAAATTTCTTATTTTTGAAAAAGCGGCCAATTTTTGGGTTGATTTCAGGTTCCAAAAAAGGCTGATTTTTACATAAAGCGGCCAAATTTCGGGTGGGCAATTTTTGGGTTTTCACTGTACGATTATTTGATGTCCAGTTGCCGACCCCAGCATGTAGGCTATCCCTGATCTTTTCAATTACAAATATATTTTTTTGACTTTGTTCAACATTTTCTATAAAGAAAAATAACGCTGGAGTCTTCATTGTCTTCTTTTTGATCCTTGAGAGCATTGCATTCTCCGCTTGTTTGCGGGGCTTCGAAGACGGAAATATGGAAAGTTTCGTGGAATCGGATGTTTTGTATGTTTCGCTTAATTAAGAAAGTCGACCGAAGACCAAGTACCTAAGACTCTAGAATACTTCTAGAATACTAATGAACTATGTTTTTGGTTTGAAGAAAATCTTCAGTTGAATAATGTCGTATTTTAACGATAAGGATTCGAAAGAGGATCCTTGGGCTTCGTATGGAAATTTTCCTTCTTATTCCTTTGGGGATCAAGCTACAAATGGTAAATTACTGTTATTTCCGCAAAAATATGAAATAATTAAGCGGCGTCTGATCAACCGGCATTCTCATTTTCGACTCAGCCTGAGTCATTTGCTCCTACCACTGAACCATCCTTTTCTATGGCAGCTTCTTTCGCTGCTCCTGAAGGTCCTGTTGACTCGACTCCGCCAAAACATGTCAATTATATCGCTGAACCGCCCATTCCTCCTCAACCATCTGTTGACTCAACTCCCAAAGAGCCAATTGCTTCCTCATCTGAGCAAGTTCTTCCATCACTGACTTCTTCCTCCAGCGATCTCCCATCAATTCCGATCCCGAATTATCATCCTCATTCTCCAAAAACAGAAAATAATGGCGAATCAGAATTTGATTCAGGTAGCTTCGAGAAATGCCTCAAATGCTGTTGTTGTGGTTTCCTTCTGTTAATTTTTCTCAGCGTGATGTTTGGAAAGGATGATGGACCACCACTTGGAACACCTTCAAACCCGTTCCCCTTCGCATCCAGTTTCGTCGACCAAGGTAGCATTGATGATCAAACAGTCAACATTTGCGATGGCAATTTTGAGTACAGCGTCTCTTCTTCCGGACATTTCCAGTTAACCAACTTTTCAATTGACACTGGCATATTTTTCTTTTAGATCGCCAAATTATCCAATGGACTATCCTTTCAACACTGAGTGCACGAATAGATTCACCTCGATGAGCGACGGCATCACCTTTGAATTTGTCAATTTTGAAACAGAAGTTTTCCATGATTCTGTTGTCTTTCAAGATGCAAGGAACGAGCATTATCAATTCACTGGACCCTTTGAGGTACGCTCGTAAATTCAGGGTTGTCGCCTATTTTTCAAAATAAGAAAAACAAGTGGAATGGAGCCCGATTTTCGTTCAATTCATCTGATGTCGAGGTCCTTTTCGTTTCCGACGCCAACGGAGAAGAAACTGGATTCAATATAAAAATCATCGATGGATACGAGGCATCAAACGACATCGACGCTCTATGGCCGCAATTTGCAGCAGATATGCCCATGTAAAACCGCTGATCTTTTTATCTTCAAATATATAATTTCGGTTTTCTACTTCTTTGTTTTCAGCTTTTTTTTATACAGAAAAAGTTTCGCCAGAGTCTTCATTGTCTTCTTTTTGATCTTTGAGAGCATTACATTCTTCGTATGTTAGCGGTGCTTCGAAGACGAGAATTTGGAAAGTTTCGTGGAGTCGGATGTTTTGCATGTTTCGCTTAATTAAGAAAGCTGACTGAAGACCAAGTACCTAAGACTCTAGAATACTCTGAACAATGTTTTTGGTTTGAAGAAAATCTTCAGTTGAAAAATGTCGTATTTTAACGATCAGGGTTCGAAAGAGGATCCATGGGCTTCGTATGGAAATATTCCTTCTTATTCTTTTGGAGATCAAGCTACAAATGGTCAGCTACTGTTATTTCCGAAAAATATGAAATAATTAAGCTGCACCTGATCAAGGTGCATTCTCTTTCTCGACCCAGCCAGAGTCATTCGTTCCTACCACTGAACCGTCCGTTCCTATGGCAGGTTCTTTCGCAACTCCCGAAGCTCCTGTTTATTCAACTCTACCTAAGGCAGGCGATTTTATCGCTCAACCATCCGCTCCTTTCACTGGTGCTCCTGAACCACCTCCTCAGCAGCAAAATGTTTATCCAAATCAGCAAGATCTTTCACTCGGATCTTCTTCTCTTTCATATTCGACAACCGCATCATTGTCTTCCTATTCAAGCGATCTACCATCAAACGAAATCCCGAATTATCAGTCTGACAATCCGTATACGAAAAAGAAGCCGACGGAGAATGATTCCGAGAACTGGAAAGCTTTTCGCGGATGCTGTTTGTCTATTACATTTTTCGTCGCCTATATTACTTCTGCAGTGATTTTCGGTGGTGGGCCGCCATTTGGAACGCCTGAGAACCCATTCGTCTTCGCATCAAGTTTCGTAGACAAAGGAAGCATTGATGATCAAATAGTCTACGTCTGTGATGGCCATTTCGAATACAACGTTTCTTCCTTCGGACAACTCCAGTAAAAATCCTTTTTTTACCGATCAATTATTCTTTTTCAGATCTCCGAATTTCCCGGGCAACTATATTCCGAACGCTGAGTGTACGAATAGATTCACCTCGTCAAGCGACGGCATCACCTTCGAATTTCTCCATTTTGAAGTAGAGCAATCTTACGATTATGTCGTTTTTCAAGATGAAAATGACGAGCTTTATCCATTTTCTGATCCTATTGAGGTATCCCCACAAATTAATAATCCACATTATTCCAATTAATTTTAAGAGATTAAATTGGAATGGAATTCGAATTTCATTCAATTCATCTGATGTCGAGGTCCTTTTTGTCTCCGACTCCCAATTAGAACAACCTGGATTCAACATAAAAATCATCGATGGATACGAGGAATCAAACGACATCGAGGCAAAATGGCCGCAATTGGTAGCAAATATGCCCTATTTGCCATGCCCTTACATAAGGGACCCTAATGTTGCCTGCGATAACGGACCCTGATTTTGTCAATTTCAAATAAATATTTTCGATTTTCTACTTCTTTGTTTTCGGCTTTTTTATACAGAAAAAATTTCGCTTGAGTCTTCATTGTCTACTTCGTCTTCATGATCTTTCAGAACGTTGCATTCTTCGTATGTTGGCGGTGCTTCGAAGACGGGAATATGAAAAGTTTCGTGGAATCGAATGTTTTGCATGTTTTGGAAAAAAGGAATCAGGGATCGGTCTTCCAGGATCGAGCTCAAATACGATGGCGGATCGGATCGGTTGTCGATTTCGACGTCTTCTCGGTTCTGAAATGCGCTAATAGCATTGTTAAAGGGGGGAAAAGAGTACATTTGGACGAGCAGCTCGTCTTGAAAGTCCATATTGCCGAGCAAGTGAGACTGGTGGAGGGCGGCTGTTGAGATACCGCTGGACTGGGCCTTCGAGGAGAATCGCAATTACAGTAGTGCAGAGAGAAATCATCAGGATCAACATGTACCACGACTGAAAAGAGGAATTTGATAAAGGGTAAGGGAAGGTCCGTCATATTTCAACGAGAAAGACCTTGAAATTGTTCCATATTGAGTATGTGAAATTGCCCGTTCTGCCTGTTTTGCTTGTATTAATACTGTTGATCTCACCTGATCAAGAATAATATCCGCATCGACAATTCTGAATCCGATAATCACGACTAGAATAATCATCGCCGCGACCCAAAGACACACCAAATATTTTTTCAGCTTCTCGACATTTCCGATTCCTCTCATGTTCTCTTCTCTATTTTTTCAAAATAATAATTTGCGTAAGAATTTGCGGCTTTTATGTCTCTTTCAATATCACTTGTTTTGAATGGTAATTTATCATGCTGAAATCGGCTCTTGCCGAAAAAGACTGAGGCAATCATTTTCCGTCAAAACAGCTCTCAAGTCGCCCGGACACTAGATTTTTTATCGGCATGTTGTTGGGAAAAGAAATTGGCCCTCGGGTCAGAATAAAAGCAGGAAAAAAATCGTCGAAAAAATCATTGTTTTCGGCCTTTTTTCATTTTGAAATCAACGAAGACTCCTTCAAAATCCTTCAAAATCACCGCCGCCTAAAAAATTTTCATCCAAAAACGCTCTTTTCCGCCCATTTTTCATCGTTTTAACCCTCCTTGACCCTTGTAAAGAGCATTTCTGAGCGACAAACGGGCGCCGTAGTCTCCCAGACAGAGAAATGCCATGACCCTGCTCGAAGCGTCTTTCTGTTGGAAAATGCATTCAGCTGAATTCATATCGTCTTATCGTCTTGTTGACGAGCTGAGGATGGATGGTTGGCCTTATCGGTGTCGATGACGATTATTTTTGTCTGAAAAAAAAGGTTTATTTGGAAATACATTGTTAAATTAGCGTAATTCTTTTTGGTCGAAGCTACTAGAAGGGGTTAATTGTGTGATTTGAGAAAAAATGGAGCGTGATGAATTTTTGATTATCAATTCAAATTAATAACTGGAAAGATAAATGCTTCGTCAGATATTTTATTGCATAGATGTCAATGAAAAGTGACTCTCAATTTAATGATTTGATCGGCATGAGAGCTTAATTATCAATAACCAGTGAGATGAAATAAGTATATTTCGCAATTTCGAAGAAAACTGTTTTTACAGGAAAAAGTTTATATGGACTCAAAAATGGTTAAAAAGCAACAGTTTTTTAGATTCCCGGTAATGGGTAATCATGATTATTATTATTAACAAGTTGACGTCTATTTTGGAAGGTGACCCTGGTTTTCGAATTATTTACAGTAATACCGTCTTTTTCTGAATACGGCATTCAGAAATTCATTATGCATTAGGGGCGCGTTCAAGTCTCAACTTTATTAGAGTAAGCACGCTGTATTAGCGCGAAATGCGGGATTTATTCGCAATAATGAGATTGAATTCGATAGGCATTTGACCTAGCAATTTCAACTGACCAATATGAAAGATTGAATACAGGAATAAATAATGCCAAGGGAGTTTATTAATCGATTGAAACAAATCTGATGAGCGGTTCATCATGAACCCTACTTCTTCTGGAAGAAACCTGATACAAACTTTGGACTTATGAGCTTTTTTTGTGACAAGTTACTTCAGTTTTTGAAGCTTTTTGACATTTTTTTTTTCTGAGAAGTTCTGTGTGAGAACTCTGAAAAGGGTATTCTAGATATTTATAACAAATGCGCTCGTTCTGGAATAACTACAGTACGAGTGACTCGAGTCTGCTTTTCTTCGTACGCAAATTAATAGAAAATTCGCGTTCTAATAACAGATAAGCCACCTTGGAAAAGACCGTTGTGAATAAATTATCGGAGAATCAAGAATGACGACTCACGCGGGCTAAATCTCCAAGAGCTCTCCTGCTCAATAAGTATCAATTATGTACACTGTGCCACCCAAACACTCGTATAAAAACTCGCCGTAGGCAAAAATCATTCCAAAGATTTTCCACATCGAAACTTTTAAATTATAAAAAGAAAAAGAAAATGCTTTTTGGTATTTTGCGAAGGGTCAAAAATATAATAAACTAAACATCCTACTACTGCCGCCCCCCCTTGAGCGCAAAAAAGGGGGCGGGAGTAAAGGAACCCATGTATTTGAAAATTCTTGACCAAAAAACAGTCCCTGATATTCTCGGCTTCTGCCCAATTCAACGGAGCCCCGGAATTTATGAGAAGAGGCAACGATATGGTCCAGGTAACACTTTTTAAAATACAACCCTTGACGAGATTTAAGGGGACCCCCCCTTTTTATCAAAGTCGTTTAATGAATTTTAAAGATGAAGGATCTCAAAGAGGTAAAAATTAAGCACCAAGTACTTCAGCTTGTTTCACCATTTTTTACAGAGCAAAAATAATTTTGCTCGAAATTATTAAAATTATTGAAAAATGTGAATTTTCAAAACCTTATTCTTGAAATTTAGAATTATAAAAACTACTTGATGAATCCGATCGACGACGACGCTGGCTCTATGAGCGATTTTCTTCTCAGAAAACGCGGCTTCCGACTTTAAAAATTAATTTCTTTATCAAAATAAATTGGAAAAGAATCTCCATTTCCTGGCAAAATAAATTTGACTTCAAAGCAACTCTGGTCATTTATGGTTGACTCAGGCCCTGTGTTTTCGATTCAGGCGGGGCTCGCCAAACTGTTTAGAAAACCTGAGTCAGGGTCTGAAAGATCTCTGTTAAAAAGTGACCTTGCTAGAATTCGATTATTTATTGATAAGGAAAATTTGCGAGATCTTTCAGACCCTGACTCAGGTTTTCTTCACAGGTTGGCGAGCCCAGGACTCAGGTCCTGAGTCAGTGTAAATGAGGCTTAGACGCGGGGTCAGGTAAACTCCTGATTTCACAGGTCAGGGTGGCTAAAAACAGGAATCAGGTTCCCTGACTCAGATTTTTACACAGGGCAACTAACAGCAACCAGCTGAAGATAATCACAGGAGAAAAACATAAGCGTGAAAAATATTTTCTCGTTATCTCGAAAACTCTTGACACTGATCCAGAACGGCAATAAACACATTTCAACCCTTTCTACTACTCCCTCCCGTCACTATTCTGCCCCTCCTGACTTTTAACTCCACAACTCATTTCATCAATTCAACAAAACCCTTTCAAAAAGTTCTTTTCAAAAAGACTCAAAAACTCATGATTATCGATAAAAGAGATTCTGCGATGCGAGAAGTGACGAAAATTTCAGGCGCTGCGGAAGGTGCAAATAGCATAAAAGGAAGGAAAGGGGATCAAGTGATGCGTAAAGGAAGCTACGAGAAAAAATATTTTACTTTAAATCTTTATTTTCTGCCTTTTACTTTATTCGCCATTTACTTGACCTTTCCGCGCCCCTTTTTATTGATTTACGATATTGTGTTATCTGCTTGACCGATTTCGGGCTTCAGCGAAGCGGTAGTGACGCAACCTGCTGAGCTAAAGTTCCGATTGACCTCTTTCTGATACTGCGCCAGATGACGCTCTCAGCTGTTTTGTGCCTTTATAAGCGAGTCATGCCTTGTCAAATTATTCGAAATAAACAAACTACCAACTCCGAGTTAAAGTCTAGATTTTGTCAGAGGTAGCGAGTTCTATTTCGCATCATGGTGAATCCGATGAAACACCCACTTGATGTTCTACAGAGCTTCGAAGACAACTTCCTGATGAAAAACCCGACAATTTCACTAAAAACGACTAGGAGAGAGATAAAAGACATCAAAGCCGATTTCGACAGAGCCCTAACAAGAATGAGACTTGCCTTCAATTTCAGTCTTGCAAACGCCGGAATGAATGAGGAGACAGCCGAGAAGAAAGCTGAGAAAGAACAGTACAATCAACTCTTCAAAGAGACCAGAAAAGAGCTATGCATGTCCCTTCTCACCACGGATTTCAAACGCAAATACTACGCCGACCTTCGTCGGATCACAGGATCTACGGAATTTTTCGATTTTATTGATGAGATTTTTGGAAAATTTTCTGATAAGGATGCTGTCAAAGACGCGAAACGAAAACTTCAGGATCTCAGTCGAAATTCGGAAGAAGAAGAGACATTCACGCGATATTACAAAACGGTGGAGCAATTATCGAAAGAGGCTAGCGAGAATTGTGCCACCCTCCAGAAATACTTCATCACAGAGACATTCAACAGATGTCTCACGCCGGAACTCAAGAGATACCTGCTCGATCAAGGGATGAACGACAAAGACGCAAAGACCACTGCAGAATACCTGGATAAGAAACTAAAGTACAAGAAGAAAGTGGAAGTCAGGGCGATATCGACACAAGATATTCTCCTCGAAGAAAAGATGAATGCTTTGACCGAACGATTTGCATCAATTCCACAGATGATTCAGAGCTCTATGGAAAATTCTCTCACATCCCTGATGAAAAGCAAAATCGAAACACTGGAACAAGAGCTTGCTGAAATCAAACGAATCGGCCGCCGCGACAACGACAGAAAAATACCAAGAGAAGATTCAAGATATCACGACAGACCTGCTGATGACCGACAGACAAGCCGATACACACAATACCAAAATTACACAGCTCAGGGAGCACATCAGAAAAATACAGCTCAGGGAGCATACAACAATAACACAGCTCAGGGAGCACAGAAATCAAACTCCAACGGAACAGATGAGAGATCATGGCCAATGAACTTCGAAATCGGACCTGGAGGATTCCCGTATCGATGCCATAAATGCGGAGTTCTGGGTCACCGAAGCTTCAATTGCCGCGGAACCAAGCTGACTTGCAATATATGCCGCGAAGTAGGACACATCCAAGCTGCATGCCCTCAGAAGAAGCCAAAAAAACTAGACCGCGGCTCTTATTACGCGTCAAATAAGAGCCGTGCCGGCGTTTCGTCGGTCAATCCACAAATAGGTCCCAAACTCAACATTTTTGGTCAACTGTTCGACCAAGATATCCTCTTTCAACTCGATACAGGAGCCCAAGTAAGCTGCCTGCCACGCAAATTTGTTCCAGACTCACTCATGAAAACGTTAATTCCCGCGCCATTTCAACTCGAATCCTATAACGGCACCATCATAAAGGTCTTCGGATGTCTCAAAGCTAACCTCAAAATTGGAGCCCTCAACCTCGACAACTGTATATTTCAAATAGTGGATGATTATTGCTCGCCGATTCTGGGAACACCCGAAATTACCGAGAACGAGCTCATCATCGACATCAAGAAGTCACTTCTTATCCAAAACGAAAAATCAGAATCGATGACGATTTCTGGAGGACAAACATC